GCTGTGGACTAATGGTTTGTGGTCCTGGTTTCCTGAAGGATCTGGGTTCAAGTCCACCTGCAGGAGAATGTGGTTAACTTTCATGTTCATGATTCGAATGTGACGTTCCATTTTAAAATCCCACAGCTGACACGAAGACATTCAGCACTGATTTCTTTTCAAATTCAAATAAACCTTATTGGCATGAATGTATAGCAACGATATTGCCAAAGCTACATGTAAATTACATAAGCACAGTTAATTTCATACACTTCATTAAATAAGGAAATAAAACAGCTAAAGTTGTTAAAGTGTTAATACAAAATAAAATAATAAAAACAAATATATAAAATATAAATATATATATATACTTACTTTTAATTAATTAAAACAAACTAAGTAAATGACACAGTAACGTGTTATTATAATAATATATTAAAATTTTAAATAAAATAAATAGATTAAATCGTAAATGTGCGTGTGTATATTAAAAGAAAATTCATTAGTTAATAAAAAAAACCAAAAATAAATAAATCAGTATCAAAGGAGAGATTTAAAAACATAACAATTATTAAAATATCAAACAATCAAATTAATAATAATTTGAAAATTAGTACAATTATTTATCAGTCTGAGTTTCCACTGGTTTTCTTTTCTCACAACAGAACATGAAGAACATGAAGCTGCAGTTTCTGGCTCCAACGTTCTTGTCCACAAAGTCTTTGAACACAACAACATGTGAGACAGACGCTTCCTGAAACCGTCCGTTGAGTCTGATGTTGCTTTATTTTCCTCTCCGTCTCGTCCTGCTGCAGTTTCACACCTCCAGTTAATGCAGGACACGTTTCAGCTGCAGATTAATGACAGCAGAAGAGAATCCACCTCATCATCATCATCATCATCATCATCCACCCTCAGCTCAGACTCAAACCTGCACGCCCTTCTGATGTACCTCTGCTGTCAGCTTCTCAACAGCTCTGACAACATCACAACTGTCCTAATGTGATGATGCAGCACTGCGTTGATGAGCTGACTGCATGCTAGAGAAACAAGAGAAAACAATATATACAGTTATGGCACATGCAGCAAATAATTATACACATTTACAACCAGAAAGTTAAAAGTATGTGAGTATAGGCAGGAAAACGTCCTCAAAGTATTAAAGCAGTAAAATGTCCCTGTTGTACTATCACAGATTCTTCTTCCTCCTCATTAATGTGCAGCAGGATGTTGCTGCTGTGAGCTGCAGCTCATTCTGAACTCTTTAGTTTCAGACTGCAGCTGATGATTCTTTTTATTCTGGATCAATCTGCTGATTATTTATGTCTTAGAATCGATCGATTATTTGGTTTGTAAAGATTTTGAAAATAGTGAGAAATGTAGAGAGCAGAGACTCCTCTCTCGCCCTGCGGCTGCTCGTTCTGTTCTCTGCCGCCGAGCTTCATTCACCTCTGATCAGGAATGTTTATGCACAAGAACAGGCGGCTGGTTGTAGGCGTGTAATCGCTTGTAATGCTGACGGAGATTATGTCACCGCGCTGGGATGTTTCAGTGCAGAGCGTGCCATGAGGCAAAGATTGCACAACCCACACTGACCAGCACTTGTTTGTTCAGGTGAAGTGAATCCTGATCTGAGACTGATCAAATATGTTCAATGATGAGTGTTTCTTGCTTTTCTACCTAATTTTCCCTCTTAAGATTATTTACTTTTGTCTTTCAGTCTGAAAGATTTGATTGATTAAGTCTTCAGGCTGCGCAGCAAACCTGTAAACCGGACAGGAGACACAACCTCAAGTCTTTTACATGATTTTACTCAGATTAGTTACTGTGTCAGTAAATTTCATGTAAAAGAATAAGTCTGGTGATAGTCTAGATTTTTAGAATAGTAGTTAATAAATCCCACGTGTAGACTCACACCAACAGTGAGCATATCTACTGACAACTTGAGCTCCTAGAGCTCCATCTGAGAAGATTCTCAGGCCCCATCCACACTGCGGCGTTTTGGTTTTAAGACAGAGACCTTTTGCTATGTTTGCACCTCCCGTCCAGACTAAAACGGCAAAAACGAACACCTAAAACGGAGAAGTTTGAAAACGCTGCGACCCCGTTTTTTGTTTTGAAACTCCGGGTAGCGTTGTAGTGCGGACGGGCAAAAACGGAGGACTTTAGAAAGGATGACTCAGACGCTCACGATCAGCTCTCTGATTGGGTCTTATAAGTCATGCAAAGCAGAAACACGATGCTACTGACAGGGTTTTTGATTTGGTATTTTTATTTAAATATTTTATAGGCTACCGTGTAAATAACACTTACAGCCTACACTTGTACTCTGCATGTCGCCGTTTACTCCGGTGTTACATTCAGTAACAGTCCCAGCTCGTTATTGATCCATGCAAAATAAAATCTGGTTCTTCGTCTGTATCTCTTTATTCTTTCACCAAATCTTCTGTAACTATGGAACAGACCATCTTCTTCCTGTTTACACAGCACGTGCATGGCCAGTGCACGTGAACGGCCACTAGATGTTGTTTCAGTCGTTTGAATGTAGAGGAGAATAATTCGTTTTTAAAATGCCGTTTTTAAACTAAAATGGAGTAGTGTGGAGGGGCCTCAGTCATCTAGGCCACAGTTATCAAGGAAGGTTAAATCAAGTCAATAAAACTGGACGTGATGGATACAGCTTGGTTTGTTAGTGCGCCGACAGCCGTAGTAGAAGTAGAAAGCAGAGCACTGAACTGGAACTCTGTCAGATGAACAGCGACTGGACAACTCAAGGGTCAAAATCAAGCCTTTACAGAACACATCAGCTCAGTGGACAGTAACGTCGAGGTCACATGAGAGCATGTCAGCAACAAGAGGACTGCTGTAAACATTATAAAGAGGACAGAGCCTCCACGTGGAGTTTAGGGGAAACCCACACACAGGCCGATGCTCACTTTTTGACTCTCATCACCCTCTGGAGCAAAAGATAGAAGTTATCAGGACGCTGCGCCACTGAGCTGAGAACACACCAATAAATGCCCAAGCACAAGAGAAGGAGCATAAACACCCAGAGGAGGTACTTCCAGCTTGGTGGGAAAACTAAACAACCTTTACACAAATGCATGGCTCAACACAGAAGGGCCAACTCGTCAGGTCACTGAAGGACAGGGTACTTTCTTTCAGTTGCAACACTGTTCATATTCTGGACAGGGAGGAAAGATGGTTCAAAAGAAAGAAAGAAAAAAGAAAGAAGCCATTTACACCATAGTAGAGAGACCATCTCCCAACAGGGGAGGAGGGCTGAGACACCACTAATACCCAAATTTGGCCTCATGTGACAATGCCAATGGCGGCCAGGTGACTCCAATGATCTTCAGCTCCGGGGTCCTAGTATTTTCCATGCATACAGTGCAGCGAGCTGGCGTTATAACCCTGGAAAATAAGACAGTGTGAAAGCAGCTAAAGTGACTTATTTGAAAATTACTGGAGGTTTTACTAATACTGTAAATAAAATAACAGCCAATCGTGTTTTTAAATGTTTATTTTTTATCATAAATGTTAAATTAAGATTTCTGAACAAAACAATACAGCTTCATAATATGCAGCCGGGAACACAAAAAACTAATTAATGCGCATAAAACAATCTCTCAATCATATTTTAATGTCACTGCAGACTTTGCTCTGTGTACAGTTTCTTTAAATCTGAGGGTGATTTGTGTACTTGCTCTTTAGGTTTTTTTGTTCCAAAACTGAAACTACTATTTAGTTGTTTAATGTCTGTAGAGAAAACAAGAATAGTTAACATGACATTTAACTGATCTGAGTTCTGATTTATCTGCAGTGACGACTTCCTGCAGTGACATAATGCACTTCAGTATTTCACATACAGTAGCCGACAGTAAGTTGAGGTCTGATTGAGGAAGAAATCCATTGTTCTTCCGCAGATTCTGGCGAAACGCCCACTGCAGAGCTGGAGGGAGGTGGAGGATCAGAACAACACATCGCATAATGAGTTGAGGCTCCTGCGTCAGGCGGCGGCTCTGTGAATGAAGCGGCGGTCATGTGGTGTGACGGCCTCACTGAGTTTCAGTGCAGCAATGCAGGATGACAACTCGGAGGGGAGGATTGTAAAGAGACTCTGAGGTCACAGATTCATTCACGCCTCCTTACTTTCATCGGTTACTCAACAGATCTGATGTTTTTAAGGCTCTTTTAATTCTTCACGTCAATCAAAACAGAACTGGTATTAAAAAAAACATGTTTGTAATTGTAGATATTTGATCTATAATTACACACAAAGGAACAAATCTGCTTAAAATGCAGAATGTAACCACTGAAGAGGTGGTATTCTGCTTTCTGGCTTTTTCCCTCTCCTTTATTGAGTTATGTACCTTTTTTTGTGCATGTAACAGGTTTGCAAAGTGAAAAAGCCCAAAGTTCAGCCGAACCCAAGCTGTTTACCGGCTTCTCGCTGACCTTGCTGAGCATGTGCAACTTCCAACAAAGATCATTTAGAGACAAGATGTATCACTCCATAGCTAAAACAAAGCCTTCAACACAGGCTGAAAAGAGGAGCTGCAGCAATGTGCAGGATGACAAAAAATATGGTGTTTTTTGAAAATTACACCATGAGGGCAGCGGACGCCAACAGACTCATCCAAGGCCAGTGACGTTGTGGGGTTGGAGCTGGACTCTAAGAGAGGAGGACGCTGTCCAAGCTACACGTCATCTTAGACAATGTCTCCCACTCGCTCCATGACCTGCTGCTCAAACACAGGAGCTCTTTCAGTGCAAGACTCCCATAATGCACCACAGAGCGCCACAGGAAGTCATTCCTGCCTGTGTCTGACACTTAGTTATTAAACTAGACCTCTTTATCTATTTTCTGTCCAATATTACCTGTTTAATAATTATGTGCAATATTCTCTGCTGCTATTTATTCACCTGTCCTTTTTGGTTCACCATAATAATTCTTAATAATGTAAATATTGTACATACCCACACACCTTTATATTTGTCTTTATTTTTTTTATTATTATATTTATATACTCTTTATGTATCTACCTTTGACAAGTGCAATTGTGACAAAAGAATTTCCCCATCAATAAAGTATTTCTGATTCTGATTCTGATTTTAAGGTAAGAAAAAATCAATTGTTCTAAACTGTAAGATTTAAAAATAACTTCAAACCACCCGTGAGGTTTTGTTTACAGAGTGAATGCAGCCACGTGTCTTTCAATGCGTGCTCTTCCTCTCGTAGTAAAGTCCCCCTCTTTCTTCTTCTTCCCTTTTTCTCGCCTCAGTGGTTCAGGATCTGAGGTGGAAATCAAAACCCCTGCAGAGACTCAGCCCCGGTGTTTTCCCTCTCACTGACTGAAGTGAAAGTATAGATCTTTCCTCTCGAGTCTTTGCAGCAGATGACTGAAAAAACACCTACTCAGTCTCACTTTGTCACTTCTCTTTCTTTCAGCAAAGGGTGCGGAGCGTTTGGTAGCTTCTTTTCTTCTGTGCCCTCAGGAGAGGCGTCTGAGTGTCCACGTCTCGGGATAGAACCCTCCTGCCGGCTCGGCGGAGATGTGCACGGGTCCATCCGTAGACCAGGCAGTTTAGGAAACCCTGAGAGGCTGAGGTGAAAGCCTGAGGACAGAAGACATGCTCCAGTTACTCAAACTATAACAGCTCAATTTCCCTGCACATTTTAGAGGATCATTTCGGTTGTTTTGCACTTTTTATGCTGGTTGCTGGTTGATTTTTCTGTGCTTGTTTAAGTGATGCTTATTTTGTCCACAATGAGCTCACAGTTGTATAAAAGGCTTGTTCCCATACCAGGAGTTGAACCCAGGCTGCCTGGGTGATCATGTTAAAGTCACAGGTCCCATATGGTCTAGCGGTCAGGATTCAACTCCCGGTATGGGAACTGATTTATTCCAAAGCTATTATAATTGGTTTGGGCCTTGCTCGCTCTCTACATACTGTATATAGATGCAGCACCTGCAGGGTTCAAATATTAGCACCAAGACTCAGGTGACTATTTCATGTATTCAATTCAAATACGTGTTCACGTGTAATTAAACAACTCACTGTCATAATTAATTCAACCCAGGTGAAAACCAGGAATCCTGACCACTAGACCATATGGGACATGTGACACCAACATGATCGAGAACTCTGAGACCATAATGAACTCATGTTCCAAAACTAGTGTAGTTTCCTGAAGTAACCTGACAAGTTATTTGAGACTCTAAACGTGTTCTACGGCACTTATTAGTTTCTCACTATGGGAAAGCGGGAAAGGTTTCCTGCTTTTCAACTCGGTTTAAGTGACGGAATGGGAAATTAATTTTGATGGTAAGTTGTTTAACTACATGTGAAGACAAATTACTCATATTTCTCCAGGTACTATATACACATATAGAGTGAGGAACACCTAAACCAATTGTAGCTTTGGAACAAATCAGTTCCCATACCGGGAGTTGAACCCGGGCCACCTGGGTGAAAACCAGGAATCCTGACCGCTAGACCATATGGGACATGAAAGTAACAGTTGTCATGACTTCAAGAGTATAATGAAATCATGTTACCAAGCTAGTTTAGTTTTCTCAAAATTTGTTATTAGACACCCAGGAAACCTGTTCTAAACTTGATTATTTTAAGTATGTCCCATATGGTCTAGTGGTCAGGAGGCCAAGCTGTTTACCGGCTTCTCGCTGACCTTGCTGAGCATGTGCAACTTCCAACAAAGATCATTTAGAGACAAGATGTATCACTCCATAGCTAAAACGAAGCCTCCAACACAGGCTGAAAAGAGGAGCTGCAGCAATGTGCAGTATGACAAAAAATATGGTGTTGCTCTGGTAGAACCCCTAAATAAGATTTGGAAGCTGAAAATGAGCAGAATACCACCTCTTTAAATGTTTTACTTTAATCTTTGGGAAGCAGAAATCACCGTGCAGATCTGCAACCAACGAGACAACGAATCTGCTGAATACCTGGGAGTGCACATGGACAATAAGCTGGACTGGGCCAAGAACACTGAGGTCCTCTACAGGAAGGGCCAGAGGTGCATCTATTTTCTGAGGAGGCTGAGGTCCTTCAACATCTGCAGGACCATAATGAACTCATGTTCCAAAACTTGTGTAGTTTCCTGAAGTAACCTGACAAGTTATTTGAGAGCCAACAAAGCTGTTCTATGAAAACCAGGAATCCTGACCGCTAGACCATATGGGACATACTTTAATAATTGATAAAGTTAAAGTTATTTTTCTTTCCAGGAGCTGAACCTGGGTGAAACCTAGGAGGTCTGACCGCTAGACCATATGGGACAGGTGACTGAAAGGTTATAGAGAACTCATGTTCCCAAAGTAGTGTAATTTCTTGAAGTTACCTGACAAGTTATTCGACACCCAAGAAAGCTGCTCTAAAGGGAATCCTTTTAACCCTCTCCCATATGGTCTAGCGGTCAGGATTCCTGGTTTTCACCCAGGCGGCCCGGGTTCAACTCCCGGTATGGGAACTGATTTATCTCCTGGTAAATTAATAGTGACGTTGGTCTTTGACAGACTTTAATCAGGGTTCAGCACATCAACTGAAACTGTGCAGCTGGTTTATTTTTATGGACATCTACGTTTCCTACATGCTTTTGGAAACGTGTCCCTACCGTTCTGTCTCCGGGTATTTTGAGCATCTCAAACTACACAGAGCTTTGCTTGATGACTTCATACCCTGAGAACGGTGGCGTTAGTCTGTAGATTAACTTTAAGAGCGGTCATTGCAAGATGACGTTAGCTTTGTATCAAGCCTCAACAATCTTCTGCCAGTCATCTCTAAGCTTAGACATGTCCCATATGGTCTAGCGGTCAAGATTCCTGGTTTTCCGTAGGACAGACCTTTGTTATGTATTTGCTTTAGTCTGAAGTTTTGTCAAACTATCTTGGCTCAGTTGGTGAGTGTCTATGTGCCCTTTGGGCTGGACTTTGGGCTTTATCACTTTGCAAACCTATTGCATGCACAAAAAAGGAATATAACTCAATGAAGGAGAGGAAAAAAGCCAAAAAGCACAATACCACCTCTTTAAAGAAATCACATAGAATTCTATTTACACATGATCCATGATGAGAAAGATAAAAAAATAGAAACGCATTGCAAAAATAGCACATTGCCAAAATGTAACAAATTATTGGGGAGCCCCCGTAGTTTGCACCCTGTCTACAATCTCAACCATCGAATCCAGTAACAGGAAATAACGTCACTCCGTTACTCACAGATTTTATACATTTTTGTGGGTGTTGAAATGTTCCGCTGTGTTGCTGAATTACTATAGAAAAAACAAAACACCACTTAATTTCAGGTTAAAATGCATTCTAATGCTCGTTACTGAGATTGTAAGGGGTATAATATTACAGAAATTTTATTAGTAATGCTTTCTATTACTGCGTAACAGCAAAAAGCAATACATCACTGTTACGCTTTTGTAATGTGTTACTCCCAATTCTGGGTTAGCCTTAGATTTATCCTGATTAAGTTTGAGGTAGTTGCAGCTCATTCAAGCATTAATGTAATTTAAGCACTCCATCAGGTTGGATGGTTACAGAGTGTCCGAAGCCTTGGTGTGTATGTAGAGTTGCGTGTCGTCTGCATAGCAGTGAAGGTTGAGGCCATGCTGATGTGGGAGAATATAAGTATTTATGAAATGGTCCAGGAGCCGAGCCCTGGGGGACACCATGAGAAAGGGGGGATGTGGAAGACATGGAAGAAGTTTTGTCCAGCTGTAAACCATGATTGTGGAGTGCCAGTGACACCAAGTAGTGATTCTGAGCTGTTCAGCAGAAACATATGACAGACAGAATCACGAACCCATAGACTGTCCATGCATGTAATTTAAATGTTACACTGTTGACACTTTTTCGCAGGTGTCCGGCTGCAGACTGACCTGTGATATGTAGAGGGCGACCCCGGCCTTGCCCTGACCCGCTGTGGGTTTCACCACCTGAAGAAATGCCAGACCCACCGCTGAGGAAACAACACAGAAGCACAACCTCAGACACAGATTCAAATCCTGTTAATGCTGCTTACATCATCCATCACATCAGAAACTTCCAGTCTCATATGTTCACTAACCACGGCGGTCTGAATTAGGATGAAGGAACAAACCTGGACCCCAACAGAGGACGAAGATCAGCGGGTAAAGGAGCATCCGCCGGTCCATCACACGAAAGGAGGCCCGCTGCTGGTTGCCTAAGTAACCGTTTGATGTCACGACCCGCCTGTAAATATGACAGGCTTTGACCACGAGCACCTGGAGCACAAGAGGAGAGTTTGTTATCAGCACCATTTGGTTTGTGGTCCAAACACTGAACAGAAACACTACTGCTCCACAGCAGCTAGCTTAGCTGCAAAGTGCAGTTGAAGTATTGAATGCTTATTAAGGCCCATGAGATATTTGAACAACCTATTAATTCAGCAAAAGATCATTACTTTCCCATACCGGGAGTTGAACCCGGGCCACCTGGGTGAAAACCAGGAATCCTAACCGCTAGACCATATGGGAGCACACACTTATAGCATAATGAACTCCCTGTTCCCAAGGTTGTTTAGGTTCTTTAAGTAACGGCTCGTGCAGACTACACGACTTTCAGCGTCGGCCGATTGCCGTGCTGTTCACACTACACAACTTATTGACGGGAGTCTTGAAGTCATTTTGACTGATCGGTGACAGGGGGTCACACACCACATGAGCTGACAGCGGCTGTGTCACCCGACACTGGTCTCCAAACCACGTTTTGTCAAGAAAACACACGTGAAATGTGAAACGGGAAATGACGCGAACCTACACATAAAACAGCTCTTTGTTATTATAAAGATAGCAATTATAAAGACAAAGAATCTGTGTGAAAGAATGGATTACCAAGTGCAGGTAGCAGGGATCGTCTGAGCTACAGAGAGCTGGAGGGGAGTAAAAAGTGTATTGCAGTGAAAAAGTAGCTGCCTGCTCTCATTGGCTGGATGTGGATGTCGAGTCGGCCGACTCTTCCAGATATTTGGCGTGCTAGATATCTGGCTGGAGTCGGTGATGTGTCAGTGATGTGTCGAGAGCCGTTTTGATGCGTCCTTGAGTAGTTCACACATATAACGACTGGCGACCGCTGATCGATCGCTGTTTTACCCCTGATCACAGCCTGACGGTCGCCGAGCTTGCCGAGCGGCAAATCGGGCTAAAAATCGTGTAGCATGAACTAGGCTTAACCTGACAAGTTATTCAACAACCTAGAAAGCTGGTCCTGTATGAGTATATACAATATGGTCAGGACTCCTGGGGCGAGTTCAATCTCAAAACGTTTTTGATTGAATGACATGTTTCCTTGAAACGTTCCACAACGGGCTTCTATGTTTGTTTTCTTCTGTTTGGTGGGCGTGTCGCAGGTGTTACCCAGTCAGTTGCAACAAGTTTGTAAACACAACGGTGTTAAAAGGGCAGGGAAATGCAGTGCGCTTGCGTACTCAACAGGGTGTTCAGGGAACCACCCTTTCGCTTCGTTTTGTTGCCGTTGAACTCGCCCCTGGTTTTCACTAAGGAGGCCTGGGTTCAACTCCTGGTACGGAAACCCTTATTAAAGCCCATCAGACATTTGAACTACCTATTAGTTTAGCAGTAGCTCAGTCTGTAAGGATTAGACTGGGTAGCCGGAGAGGTGCCAGTTCACCTCCTGGGCACTGCCGAAGGAAGCCTTGAGCAAGCCCCTGAACCCCCAACTGTTCGGGGCGCCGCACTGAGTGGCAGCCCCCTCACTCTGACATCTGACATTGCTATTGGTCCTGCATGTGCGTGTGTGTATTTCGGACCTGTGTGTAAAAATACTAACATAATAACAGAGTGAAAACAGTGAGTTTCCCCTTGTGGGACTAAATAAAGTAATGATCTTCTTCAAAAAGAAGATCATTACTTTCCCATACCGGGAGTTGAACCCGGGCCACCTGGGTGAAAACAAGGAATCCTGACCGCTAGACCATATGGGAACTAGCTTTAGATACTCATAGGCAGTTTTGCTCACACAATCATTACCTTGTGCATTTTATAAAATTTAGATTTTATCAGAACCGGCAATACTTTATTGATGCCCAAGGGGAAATTCATTCTCTGCATTTAACCCATCCTCTTTAGGAGCAGTGGGCTGCCATCCTACAGCGCCGGGGACCAGTCCAGGGTTCGAGGCCTTTCTCAGGGCGCAGCTTCAACATGGGTCGTGCTAGACTTGATACTGCCAACCACTGCTTTCCAAGCCAAGTCCTTAAAGACTGAGCTAATGCCTCCCATCCCAAAAAAAAAAATCAAAAATAGGGAAGAGCGTGAACGCAGTCCCCCACTACCACAAATTATGCAGTTGAGATTCCCACATTTGGGAAAGTCGCAGGGGTCAGCACAACCGGAGTGCAACGGCTAAGCCTCGCCTGGGTGAGCCACCTTCTTGATCATGGTATCTCCCCTGCCAGGTAAGTATAACTAACCTTCATGTCTGGATTTTGACGTAATTATTTTGAAATAAAACCCTCCTAACCTACCCTTAGTCTTTCTGTCCTATATGGTCCAGTGGTCGGGGTGACCCCGGTTCAACTCCGGGTATGGGAAATGAAATATTCTAAAAGGGGCATCAGTTTTCAAATGAGAGATCTTTTTCAAGTAGTTTCATGTCACATCACATCATATTCTTTTATTTCCTGCCATATCACTTTATGTCCTTTCATGACATGCACGTGGCAAGTCACGCCACGTCACTCACAATGATGCTGAGAAGTGTGAGGAAGAAGGTGGCGAGGAAGATGCCCATGCAGTAGGTGTGCAGCAGGCTGCAGGCTCTGATTGGCTGCTGGTGCTCTGAGGTAAGATAAAGCGCTCCGGTGTGCATCAGCAGACACCTGGTTTGGTATGGTGCACAGTGAGGGTCAAAACAAACAATTTTTAATACACACGTTCTAAAAATGAAAACAGTTTTCAAGCAGCTTCTGTTTTAAGTGAAATAAAATATTTAATCCTTTCGAAATGAAAGTAAATAACCCACTCTATCATGAGTGACTGCAGACGTGTTAGTGAGTGTGCCTTGATAGTGATTGCAGGTTTTCTCCTCACCTGTATGGCTCGCTGAAGTTGGCTTGACATTGGCTGATGTTTCCTTGTATGAAAACAGGTGCCATCAGCAGCACAGGAAACAGACTGAGGACCAGAGGAGGTTAAATACATTTAAAATCCAAATTCCGCAACAATACACACATGTGTTCAATTTTTTTTTTAATTGGACCTCAGTAGAGAGATCATTATATCCCGCTGCCTGACAGTTTGTACTCACCCTGAAAGCAGCGCGGTGATTTTGCCAGCGGTGCTCACTCTGTTGGAAAACTGGTAAAAAAAAAAAGATGGGAAAGATTATTTAAAAATGACAAAACTCATTCAAATTCTGTCTGAATCTGCAAGTTATCAGAGAAACAAGCTGAGCAAATGTTAGCGGCAGCTCGGCTCGCAGTGTGCGAACGGCGTCGGAGAAACACTGAATTTTAACGTGAAACTGCTTTATTCAGTGTGTCTGCTGGTTTTATTCACCAGGTCCGTTTGTTTTGGAGAACAACCGGGAGGAGCTGCCTGAAGTGAAACAGCCTATTTTCATTCCCAGGGTGACAAATACCTACGCTTTGTCACATCCTTTGGTGTCCAGTAACGACACATATGGTATCTTTTAGCATCATTGAATGCTGAAAGGAGGCCTAGTATAAATAAAAGAATAGTCAGAATAAAGAGGTGGTTGCGTAACTCAGGAGAGTGGTGTTTGTTTCCCGTGTGAAAGAAAAAGTCATGAAACATTGACTCTTTTTAGTTACTTAACTTACGTAATTTAATTCACATAACTAACATACTTATTTTAACCCAAAACATGATCTTATGCTAAACCTAACTAAGTTTTTGGTGCCTAAACCAAAACAACCCGTTCAGATCTCAACTCGTCACATAAGGACACTTTGTCAAGACCCCTTGCTGTTGCTTTTTAACGCCCTGGGTACCCTTTAGCGTCGTTTGTGCAGGTGTAGGGCTCCGTGGTCAAGTTAGGAAGAATAAATATGCAACGCCCCGTTAGACTTTCAAAATAAAACTAGTGGTTAACGTTGTGAAACGTTTTAATTTGATAAGGTTTAAGCACCAAAACTACTTGGTTAGGTTCAGGAAAAGATCATGGTTTGGGTTAAAATAACTAACGTACTAACGTGATTTAACTTACGCAAGTTAAACATCGTTACTTGCATAATTTATGCTACTTACGTGATCTAAATAAAAACGTTTAATGTTTTTGTTTCTCATGGGAAACAAACGCTGGTGCCCTGGGTGTCCAGTTTCTGATCATTTACATTTATTCATTTTAGCTCACACGTTTATCCAAGGTGACTTACAATTGCTTTATATGTCAGAGGTCACACGCCTCGGGAGCAACAAGGAGTTAAGCGCCTTGCACAGGGACACAACGGGTCTCAACCATGCGTCCGTATGTGATGTCCTGGGATAAGAATGATCCCACGCTACTTCACGATGTCACCAAACTACGTCCTTTGTTACTGTTTTGATGTGAGAGACCCCTGGTGGCAGAAAATTACAAACTAGTTTGACATTTTGGGGCTTTTGTGCTGGAACAGATGAAAACATAAATGCCATGATGCCATGGCAATGAATGCTGGGAGCAGTTGCCAGGAAGTTACTGGTCCTGACCCAGAAATAGTCCGGCACCCAAAATGCCCCAGTAAAACCAACACTTCGGTTATTGAAAAGATTATCAGAGGAGACATAGTGTTAATCAGCCATCTTTAGAGGTGTTGGTAGGTGGATTTAGTTATCTTTGGACAGAGCAAGGCTAGCTGTTTCCCCTTGTTTCCAGTCTTAATGCTAAGCTAAGCTGGTGTTTGAGATGTTCAATAAGAGGAAACAGATTTTAAATTAACAATATGGCAACAACATCCCTGCAAAAACATCTCAGTCATTTCTTATTCTAAACACACACACATAAAAACATAGAGCTCAGTCAGACGAGGCCTTTGCCGTGTAAGCAAGGAATAGATATGTGTAGTGGTTGCACGTACGTGTACCGAGTATCCGGTCATGCAGCTGTAGAGCTTCTCTCTGATTTCGGTGTAGAGGTTCCACATGTAGTTGAGCGTGTAGAAGAAGGAGGCCATGTAGAGGATCTGACAGAACAAAAACAGGAGGTTTTCAGTTCGGGAAAATCTCACCTGACAGGGCGATCAGAATTACTTTCCTTGGGGCTTGTTTGTGTTTGGCGGCACACTCTCGCCTAAACAAGAGATAAATAATTGAACCAGAAGCTGACCCGGGCTCGATGCTTCGGAACAATAAATGTAGGTCAGGAATGTGTTGTGCTGCTCTTTACGTCTGCCCTGGTTCTGCTGCTCTATTTCATCCCAGACTGACCCAGTTCAGGATCAGTTCTGGATAGGCCCCAAAATACCAATATCAGTCTGTTTACTGTAGAATAAATATTTCAACATTAGACCAAATACTCTGACTACGAAAGTAAACAGGCTTTTCAGATGACTTTAAAGGACCACTGTGGTCATTTTGAATGTTGAGCCAAATTGAATACAGTTTGCGTTTTAGGAAGAAACATGTATAACCTCTAAAGAAAGCTGGAGCACGTTGCAGTATGGACCTGAAACAATGTGTTGTCTCACAATCGTGATTCAATACAACAGTGTAGGAGTCAGGCTTCCTGGTTTTCACCCAGGTTCAACTCCCAGAAAGAGAAATACCTTACCTCTAAACTTTAGTTACTCTAGTTATTTCCTGTACTGGAAGGCATCCTAACCGCTAGACCATATGGAACATTTGACAAGAAGGTGATTATGGTTGCAACTTTGGGAGTTTAAGAACTCATGTTTTTTACATTTACATTCACTCATTTAGCTGACGCTTTTATCCAAAGCGACTTACAATTGCTATATATGTCAGAGGTCGCACGCCTCTGGAGCAACGAGGGGTTAAGTGTCTTGCTCAGGGACACAATGGTGGATGTGTCACAGTGTCACACATCTCATCCATTACACCATCACCACCCCAAGCAAGTTTAGTTTCTTGAAGTACCCTGACAACTTATCAGACACCCAAGAAACCTGTTCTAAACGTAACTGTTTTAATCATGTCCCATATGGTCTAGCGGTCAGGATTCCTGGTTTTCACCCAGGCGGCCCGGGTTCAACTCCCGGTATGGGAAACAATAGTTTAGTGTTGGATAAAACTATTAGTGTTGTTCGGTTGTTTAAATTTCTGGTAAATGAATAACCTCACTGGGTTGTTTAAACACATGAAGAAGAAAAGTCTTCCCCCTCTGGCTCACATACAAAGATCGTTCCTGCTTCATTAAAACATCCGGTTAGTTTGATGCATTGAACTCTCATTTAGGCCAGTCAACAGATGCTGTACTTAAAAGTCGATGCACGATATTGTGTTCATGAGACGAGAAGATATTTTAACACTGCTTTGAAGAAATATTTAATGCTAAAATATATGAGTATAAGTGTCTTGGGGTCATTAAAAACTTAATTTCATTCATTCTGGAGAAATTTTCAGCACCAATTTATTGTGGAAACACAAAAACTCAGTTGGCAGGTGACAATTCAAAATATAAAACTATAAGAGAATATAATGGAGTAATGAGTAACTTTTATGCATGTCTTATTATTGTGCAAAGAAAGCAACTACACAGATACAACTGAGCTGACATCATTATAAGCTTAGTTTCCCATACCGGCAGTTGAACCCGGGCCGCCTGGGTGAAAACCAGGAATCCTGACCGCTCAATTCAAAGTAATACGTGTTCACGTGTATTTAAAAAACTCACTGTCATAATTAATTTTCCATACTGGGACTTGAACCCAGGTGCAAACCAGGGATCCAGGGAGGTTTTCAAAGTGGGAGGTGAGCCTACCCAGGGGGGCTCCAAACAGTTTCAGGGTCCAGGTTTCAGGAACTCATATTTGTATGTGCTTCCACACAGGTGGTACAATTAAGCAACAAACATCCAATCATGCTCTGCAGCAGGTATAAACATGCTGAGCAGGCCCAGTTGATTCTGGTTTTGTAACAGGATGGTGAGAGAAAAAGATCTGAGTGACTTTGAAAGAGGGTTCATTGTCGGGGCTTCAGTCACAGAGATGGCTCAGTTGGCTCGTGTTTCAATGGGAACAGTGACTGAAGTGACATCTGCAGATCTATAGGAAAGCCATCAGCAAACAGGGTCGGAGACTGTGCTCAGTCAACACCAAAATCAGTCATCATCAGTGTCATCATTAATACTTTTGGAAGAAATACTTTCCCATCCCAGGAGTCAGTGCTGCTGTGAGAAAATAATTAAATCATGTTCACAAGATAGCTCAACTATCATGTGGGTCTTTGAAGTGATGCTCCAAACTATTCTGTTGTCAACATCTCAAGACGACATAATCTATTATCATGCCCATCTTTAACTTTAGCCAAGGCCCATATGGTATTATGGGATTTGAAAGTCTGAGACTATGGACCATCATGGTCATGTTATTTGATCACATTAAAACTCAACAGTTGAGCCACGACAGTCAAACTAGTGGAGTTTCTTGAAGTACCCTGACAAGTTATTTGACAGCCAAAGTAGCTGTTCTAAGCGTGCACATCATAAGCATGTCCCATATGGTCTAGCGGTCAGGATTCCTGGTTTTCACCCAGGTGGCCCGGGTTCAATTCCCGGTATGGGAATTTCCTTATTGGTTTAGTTGTTGCTCACTCTATACATATATAGTACTTGGAGAAATATGAGTAATTTGTCTTCACATGTAATTAAACAACTTACCATCAAAATGAATTTCCCATTCCGGGACTCAAACCGAGTTGAAAAGCAGGAAACCTTTCCCGCTTTCCCAGAGTCAGAAACTAATAAGTGCCGTAGAACACGTTTAAAACAGCTTTGTTGGCTCTCAAATAACTTGTCAGGTTACTTGAAGAAACTATACTAGTTTGGGAACATGAGTTCATTATGGTCTCAGAGTTCTCGATCATGTTGACATCACTTTTCCCATATGGTCTAGTGGTCAGGATTCCTGGTTTTCACCCAAAAAACAACATTAAAATCCCCCTCTTTAACCACATCACACACATTTAGCCTCTTCTACGTGACCTCCTTTTGATAACTAATGACTTTTGTTTTTAACTTCCACTCACTGAGCCTCCCCTGAAACAGTTTGGACCCCCCTTTGGGGAGGCCCACCTTCCACTTTGAAATCCTCTGGTTATCAGGATCCCTGGTTTTCACCTGGGTTGAATTAATTATGACAGTGAGTTGTTTAATTACACGTGAACACGTATTTGAATTGAATACATGAAATAGTCATCTGAGTCTTGGTGCTAATATTTGAACCCTGCAGGTGCTGCATCTATATACAGTATGTATAACCAGTAGCAGCAGCTTTGGAACAAGTAATTTCCCATACCGGGAGTTTAACCCGGGCCACCTGGATGAAAACCAGGAATCCTGACCGCTAGACCATATGGGACATGGGACTACGATGTGATCGAGAACTCTGACACCATAATGAACTCATGTTCCCAAACTAGTGTAGTTTCCTGAAGTAACCTGACAAGAACACCCTGAAGGGAGAATCTTTGTTGTCACTTTGTTGTTGTTGTCATGTCCCATATGGTCTAGCGGTCAGGATTCCTGGTTTTCACCCAGGCGGCCCGGGTTCAACTCCTGGTATGGGAACTGATTTATCTCCAGGTAAATTAATAGTGACGTTGGTCTTTGACAGACTTTAATCAGGGTTCAGCACATCAACTGAAACTGTGCAGCTGGTTTATTTTTATGGACATCTACGTTTCCTACATGCTTTTGGAAACGTGTCCCTACCGTTCTGTCTCCGGGTATTTTGAGCATCTCAAACTACACAGAGCTTTGCTTGATGACTTCATACCCTGAGAACGGTGGCGTTAGTCTGTAGATTAACTTTAAGAGCGGTCATTGCAAGATGACGTTAGCTTTGTATCAAGCCTCAACAATCTTCTGCCAGTCATCTCTAAGCTTAGACGTGTCCCATATGGTCTAGCGGTCAGGATTCCTGGTTTTCACCCAGGCGGCCCGGGTTCAACTCCTGGTATGGGAACTGATTTATTTCCTGGTAAATTAATAGTGACGTTGGTCTTTGACAGACTTTAATCAGGGTTCAGCACATCAACTGAAACTGTGCAGCTGGTTTATTTTTATGGACATCTACGTTTCCTACATGCTTTTGGAAACGTGTCCCTACCGTTCTGTCTCCGGGTATTTTGAGCATCTCAAACTACACAGAGCTTTGCTTGATGACTTCATACCCTGAGAACGGTGGCGTTAGTCTGTAGATTAACTTTAAGAGCGGTCATTGCAAGATGACGTTAGCTTTGTATCAAGCCTCAACAATCTTCTGCCAGTCATCTCTAAGCTTAGACGTGTCCCATATGGTCTAGCGGTCAGGATTCCTGGTTTTCACCCAGGCGGCCCGGGTTCAACTCCCGGTATGGGAAACTGAATTTACCACATGTTGGATATCCCAGATAAATTGCTCTTTAAATGGACTCTCTGAACCTTTCTGTAACCTGTTCACCTCTCAGAACAACATTATCTTTGTTTCATGCCCATCTTTAACTTTAGCCATGAGCCATAGGGTCTACAGGAGGTTTCAAAGTCTGAGACTGTGGGCCTCCTGTCAGACAAGTCCTGGAAAAAGGCCTCCCCTCACCCGGCCTTAGTTTACCTGCTTAGCATTGCTTACTTCCTGGATGCCTGTGGGACCCTGATCATGATCACATAGACACTCACCAACTGAGCCAAGATAGTTTGACAAAACTTCAGACTAAAGCAAATACATAACAAAGGTCTGTCCTACGGCACTTATTAGTTTCTGACTCATTAAAAAAACATTAAAATCCCCCTCTTTAACCACATCACACACATTTAGCCTCTTCTACGTGACCTCCTTTTGATAACTAATGACTTTTGTTTTTAACTTCCACTCACTGAGCCTCCCCTGAAACAGTTTGGACCCCCCTTTGGGGAGGCCCACCTTGCACTTTGAAATCCTCTGGTTATCAGGATCCCTGGTTTTCACCTGGGTTGAATTAATTATGAGTTAATTACACGTGAACACGTATTTGAATTCAATACATGAAATAGTCATCTGAGTCTTGGTCCCAATATTTAAACTGGATGCTGCATCTATATACAGTATGTAGAGAGTGAGCAACACTCCAACCAATCATTTGTAGTTGGAACAAGTAATTTCCCATACCGGGAGTTGAACCCGGGCCGCCTGGGTGAAAACCAGGAATCCTGACCGCTAGACCATATGGGACACGTCTAAGCTTAGAGATGACTGGCAGAAGATTGTTGAGGCTTGATACAAAGCTAACGTCATCTTGCAATGACCGCTCTTAAAGTTAATCTACAGACTAACGCCACCGTTCTCAGGGTATGAAGTCATCAAGCAAAGCTCTGTGTAGTTTGAGACGCTCAAAATACCCGGAGACAGAACGGTAGGGACACGTTTCCAAAAGCATGTAGGAAACGTAGATGTCCATAAAAATAACCCAGCTGCACAGTTTCAGTTGATGTGCTGAACCCTGAATAAAGCCTGTCAGAGACTAACGTCACTATTAATTTACCAGCAGATAAATCAGTTCCCATACCGGGAGTTGAACCCGGGCCGCCTGGGTGAAAACCAGGAATCCTGACCGCTAGACCATATGGGACATGACAACAACAACAAAGTGACAACAAAGATTCTCCCTTCAGGGTGTTCTTGTCAGGTTACTTCAGGAAACTACACTAGTTTGGGAACATGAGTTCATTATGGTCTCAGAGTTCTCGATCATGTTGGTGTCACATGTCCCATATGGTCTAGCGGTCAGGATTCCTGGTTTTCACCCAGGCGGCCCGGGTTCAACTCCCGGTATGGGAACAAGCCTCCGTATTAAGTCATGCTCACAGGACGATGGTTTTTTCATGTTATTAGCCAGTGGACAGTTTCAGCTCTGGGTATAAGGATCCACCTGAACTTCCTGGGATCAATTACTCTTTCATGAGTTCAACACAAAAGACAAAAAAAAAATCTCCTCATCATTAAGTGATAAAAAACTGCAGTTTATTTGGGTTTTCAGCAGCAGAATGGAAAAATAATTTCACTGCTTTTATCCAATGGAAGCTGTTTGTAGGAAATCACAAGGTTGACTGACACACCCATCCTCCAATCCCTGTGCTGGCGGGAGGGACCAAATTTAAATGTTGACGATGAAGGGCTGCAGCTCCTGAGTCGGTCAGAAACCGAATGTTTCATGTTTGTGAAACGGTGACGCTGAGTGAAATGAGCTGTCGTGTGTTTTTGAGTCAGTTAAACTGCTGTGTTGGTGAACCAATCAGCACTGTGTTCCTGTAGAGTGCGTGGAAGTGTTTTTTAACACCAGGATTACCTGATCATTTCGCTGAATACCGGTTGTTTGACTTGGGTTCAGTTTGGTGCGGATGGTAAAACACACTGAGACTTTAGTCAGCCGCACTTCTCAGAAGGAAGTTGAGATTTTCCACTTGTATACGGATCAGCTTCATGTGAAGGTTCCTTATTTTGATTCATTATTAAGGAAACATGATTTAGTTTGTTTGAGTGACAGAAGGAAATCCCATAATATCTTCAAACAATAGTGAAAAAGCCCCCAAAAAACAGATCAGAGGGTCAGTGTCTCTCTGACCTCAGCTGACCTGCTGTCTGTTTACGAACCCGATCGCTGGCTTTCACGTGAATATCTTGATTAAATATTACATTTTTGAGAGGAAATAACACTTCATACAAAAGAATCAGACAAAATGCAAACACAGAAGTCCTCATGTGAAACAGTGTTAAGCAAGTTACTTCCAAAATGTAATACATTATTGATTACTAGTTAGTCATTAGTTATATTACAATATTACTGTCTCTGAATTATAATGCTTTACACTACTTTTTTTTGGGGGGGGGGGGGGATTAGGATGAATCGTCTCCCCACTTAGAAAGACGCTGTGCGCATTTACGCACAAGGTACAGCAGCGTAACGTCACTGATTATTTGAATATCTGACAGGATCAGTCAGGATGAACTGACAGCAGCCTCTCTGATCAGGAAAGTAACTCATTAAAGCGCAAACACACAGCCTGTAGAAATCTATTTACCCATGATCCATCAGGGGAGCTACCATCTCGTCTCCCCTGTAGTTTGCACTCTGCCAACAATCTTGACCATCAGATTCCCGCAACAGGGAATCAGGTCAGTCTTTTACTCCTGGATTTATTTTCTTCCGCTGAAATGTTTCTCTGTGTTGATGAATTATTAATAAAACAAAACACCTGAGATTCTAACGGGTCTAATATTACCGTTTTTTGTTTTTTTTAGTAATGCGTTATATTTCTGCGCTACAGCGGAAAGCAATACATTACTGTAATTGGGTCCCAACACTGGTGTGAAATGACCTGTATGGTTCTAACTCTGGTAGAAAATATCCTTTGGTAAACAGCTGACTGATAAGATGCAGATAAGTCTGGTGTTAATCTTTGCTTTACTCAACAAATCTCATGTGCAGACCCCGGCTGCGGTCCGGTACCCACACTCCTCTATTATTCAGTATGCCAGAAAGAGATTTGGTATGTTCCACCACATAGTGTGTCAAATGCAGTAGGCCAAAAATACCAGGATGTCCTACTGCATCCATTCGCTGTCTGTGGCCCGTCGGTTCCTACTGCAGATATTAATTGTTCTTCTTCTTTTTGAGTTTTAACGTATTTGGTGCATTATTGCAACGAGGTAATTCTTTAAAAAACACCTCACAGATATATAGTTTCATGTCCAGTAAGCTCAGTAATTACAGACATCAGGAGGAAATAGTGCTTCTGTATTTGGGGCAGCAGGGTGTCTGTTCATGGTGATGAAGGAACATGTCAGCCAGTGTTTTTTGGCAAAGAAGGAGCTCTGTGGCTCAGAGGAAGAAGATAATCAGGCTGAGTTACCTGTTCCACAGTGTGCAGGTGGTAGCAGTGCGTGTGCAGGTGGCTGCAGTGTCGAGAGAACAGAGCAGCTCCGACCAGCCAGCAGAGAGCGAGCAGCAGGTCCGACACACTGAGCAGGAACAGAGGCTGCAGCTGCACACACAAAACATCCACACCGGGAGCTCATCAGGACAATAATGCTTTTATCCAGTTAACTCACCCCCCCCATCACATTTTACATTATGTCACAAAGCCCCCGCAAGGACATGGAGGGAATTTTTCGATGGAAAGTCCAACCTTGACCTTTCAGTGACTCCGTAAGGGTCAAAAATATTTAGAGATTGTGAAATCAAACCTGTGGTTGCACATTACCCTTTTAGGAGAAATAAAAATCAAGTGTATGAGTAAGCAGGAAAGCAGTGAAGTTCCACAAAGAATCTGAAAGAGAAACTAACTTTTCAGAACATCTGAGTAAATATTCAACTCAGAAAACTGTGTAAGACTCGGCTCTCAGAGTTAAACAGGTAACGAGTATGAATTTAGGTGCGGTAAATGTTGGTTTTCTGCTTTGAATCTTAACCCCAACGACAAATCTTTTCTACCCTTTCACAAACTCAACGCGTTCTCATGTATGACTGCAGCGAGCAGAAACATGTCAAAAGAAAGAGAAGTGACTGACCTCCGGCGTCCGGCTGAGTCTCTGTAACATCACACAGACGATGATGGAGCCTGAACCCAGAATACTGCAAACATGAAACACAGACGGGTGTTAGAAGAGACCTCATGTGCACACTGTACGGACAAAAGTACTGGGACACCTGCACATTACATTTACGACGTCCCATTCTGAATCCATAAGCATTAATATGGAGTTGGTTCCCCCTTTTGCAGCTCTTCTTGGAAGGCTTTCTACAAGACTTTACAGTTTGTCTGTGGTCATTTTTGGCCAGTAAGATACTGATGTTGGACGAGAGTCTGGCTCGTAGTCTCTGTACTAGTTTATCCCAAAGGTGTTGAGTAGCGGTGAGTTGGGGTCTCTGTGCGGGACGTTCAAGCTCTTCTACACCAAACTGGGTAAACCATTTCTTCATGGAGCTGCTTTGTGCACGGGGGGGTGTTGTCGTATAAAACAGGCAAAGGCCAAAAACAAACTAATAAGACTTAACAAAGACCACAGCATGATAAAACAGCCCCTATTAAAAGTATTATGACTGGGGTGTCCCAGTACTTTTGTCCACATAGTGTGTGAACATCTCATGAGTAAAATGTTTATTATCTGTAAAACCTTTTATTTAATAAACGTTAAGCTGCCGTTTCTCTGTGGGAAACGTTACAATGCGAAGAAACGAGGTGAACAAACGAGTTCTAATCAGATCATTTCACACTGATTGGAACTTATTCTTCTTCTGTTGTGTGTGTGAGTACTTTGACCTTTGACCTCCCTCCTGTTAGCCAGTTACAGTGCAGATGACCCAGAAATGAAAGTTTAATCTACTGAGGACTCTCTGGATGAGACACATTCAGGCGTCATTTACGTTACATTAAAAACTAAATTAACGACTGCGTTTATATAAATAATAAACGTCATCTACGCTTAAACAAACAAACAAAGACCCCCCAATCCTGACGACTGATTTATCGACATGTAAAACAAACATGTCACATCTGACAACACGTGAAAATGTTCGAACCACACTAATGATTCAGTGTCGTTATTGTTATTTCATTTTGTTGAGTTGCTGGAATTCAGTCTTTCCTCATTGGTTTCCTCCTATTTTTCCTTTCTTTTAATAAATAATTGATGGACATTTTGAATTGCTTTTGGGTATGACAAAGTAGATGTGTAAATATTAATTTGGAAAGCAGGTAAATTATTAAGTATTTGATTTCTGAACACGGGGTAAGAGTTTCAAAAATGTCTTCGGCTAAAATGATTATTATTCATTTATTTATTATTGTGTTATTTAATCATTTTGATTTGTTTTAATTACTATTTCTTCTCGGGGGACATTTTTAGATTCTGTTGTGATTGTTACAGGTGTTAAAGTTCATTTGATCTTTAAAGTAGCTTTTGTCTTTCCCATTTTTCTTTCCCCAGTGTAGTGGATTCTCAATGTTAGAGTAAAAATCTCTTGCATAAAAATGATCATTCAGCTCTGCAGGCACATCACTGCATCCTGTAACATATTTACAGATTAAAATTAAATGTCACCCCAATATCTCTGTTAAAACTACAGTTTTTTCTAGATTGCTAAAACGCACTTAATGAAATTGGGATCCACTTGATCGCCATCATCGCCTTCTGAGCACAGCAGAAGTCTTCTCTCTTTCATTTGATTCAAAACAGTTTGCACAGATCTTTCAGAACTCCACTGGATTAACTGTGTTGAACATCTAATCCCAGCTGATAGGAATTACTTGCATAATCATAAATCTCTAATTTCACCTGTGTGAAACTCCTTTGACCAGCAGTCGCTCCTCATCTGTTTATCAAAGATGCCGCCGCTGTGTTGCAACAGGACAGTGCAATAATAGAAAATAATAGAGTTCATGCTGTGATTTGCTTGCCTGCCTTGTTTGGTACACACAAATGTTTAAAGTATCAACAAAGCTGGTGTTTTGTTTTCCACTGTGTAATATTTGATTGAAATAATGTATTCATTTGACCACAAGTTGTGTTGTTTGGTGGAAATATTTGCTTTGTTGCATGTTTTTAATGTTTTGCGAGGTGTTTCGGTCCGTGAGCTTCAGTTAAATGTGCATTAAATGTGATTTCAGAGAAAACAAATGTGTTTAAGGAATCAAGAAAAACTGTGAACTAACTCCTCTGAATTGTGCAACACATGCGTGAATCTGAAAGTCCACATATCCTGTACCCTACTTTTCTTTTTCAATTTCCAATTAAATAACATTTATTGATATCAAACATAAGTTTAGTTTGGGAAACATTGTACAGTGCTGCAGAGTTATGCGTCAGTCACCAATCTGACTGTAAACTTCACGGCCGTTTGTTTAAAGTGAACAGTTTCACCATGAGGGGAACAAACCAGGCGGCGTTGAAGTCACTGACCTGAGAACAGCCATGACGAGCTGGATCCACCTGACGGCTTCGTACACCTGCAGACAGCAGATCAGTTTTAACATCAATGCTGTCACATTAAAGACACTTTCTAATTCACAAACGAGGCACCGAGGAAGTTTCAAAATTAAAAAGGAACTAAAGACAGATGGTAAGAGTGAACAAAGAAAATACAAACCTGATAATACCGAAGTATTTAACTGCAGAGGCTCGTGTGCAAAACAAATAAATGGAAGTAAAGGTACATAAGCAGCATTTTACAAATCATCAGTATTCTGTCTTTCTTTTCAACAGATCTCACGTTCAGACTGAAACCATCAACGTGCGAATCTGTCTCTCAGCACGGTCTGACTTCCTGTCTGCGTCCGCCGCCAAAAATAGTGGCGGCGGACGGATCCACGTGTGGCGCTCTCTGGTGAATGTTTGGGGCAGTGGGAATTTGTTGACAATAAAACAAAAAACAGACAATAACTTGTTATTTTGAAGTTAAGGTTCATGTCAGCCACAGATGTTGGAGAGTGAAAGTGTTGAAATAGAGAAGAAGGCGAGACGCAAAAAGCCCAGAGAGTCTGAAAGAAGAAGAAAGTTTGAAGACGCGACTGAAACCAGCCGTTTGTGTTTCCACAGCTTCGCCCTGCAGCTGATCATCACTCAGGAGATTCACCCCATCAACCATTTCTAACCTGGGAGCTGAAACTCAGTCAGTACAACTGATGAAACTCACCAAACAATGTTTATCGCTTCCTTCATTTGCATTCTCTGTTCCTCTGAGGTGGCAGACAAAGTGCTGCAGGATTTCTTCTGTTACATTTATTTAACAGTTATTTTACCAATTTAACAAACCAAACATTTGATTAAAAACATGTTTCCAGTTCTCTGATCCTTTAAATCGAAGCAAAGATCTGAGAAATGTCAGAAAAACAAACGTGATTTGAGCTGCAGAAATGTATTTTAAGTTAAAAACCATCTCTCAACCCTTTTTATTGCTTTATCTTTATTATTAATGTTATTATTTATTATGTTGATAAATTTATCTTGTGACCCCTTGAGAGGCCCCGACCCTCAGGTTAACCAACAATATGTAAATTCATTAAAATCAGCTCCACCTTCACCTGCTGCAACATTAAAGTGCATCAATAATTATAATCCAGTCATATAATTCTCCTGCTGTTGGTACTGTAAGTATATTTTGCTCTAATACTTTTGTACTTTTACATGTGTATTTTTACTTGAGTAAAATATCTTCCAACACTAACTTTAAGTACAATTTGTTGATACTTGCGTCATTTTCTAACAGATTCTTTTCTCAGGTCGCAGTAAAGAAAACTGAAGTCCGGACTCTCACCTCGGTCCAGTCCTGGGCTCTGGTGGTGTTTTTCTCGGTGCTGTTGGTGAAAACCTCCTGCAGACTCTGTGCAGTCGACATGCTGGAAACTCAGAGATGATTTCAAAATGAAAGATACTTCAAATGCAGATCAGGGTGCAGCCTGGACCTGAGACTGATCCAGCAGCCTGGCAGGAGGAGCTTTTATCCTGCAGCCCAGACAGAAGGCTGGATATGTGTCCACTGACTCCGCCCACTGTACAATGCTGACCACGCCCACTTTACCACACCCCCTTGAGGAGCTGGACCAGGAGGCAGGAGATCAGACCTGATGAGCTCTAATGTACAGTAACTTTGTTTTTATTTACTGTAAGAACGGTACTTCTTTGTCTGACACTTGTTGATGCTACTTGTACACTTATCTATCTCTGCTCTTGTCTTTGCTGTTGCAAACTACAATTTCACCGTCTGTGGGACAAATAAAGGTTATTTTATCTTATCTTATCTCCTGACCTTTCCCTCCAGCGCCACCCTCAGGACCTTTTCGCACTGCGCATGTTTTCTTGATGAGTCACATGTAGTTTTTTCACACCAGCTGTGAGGGACTCTACACAAACTGAAGCCCTCAGCCTGTTGGTCACATGATCACGTCCAGTAATAAAAACGTCTCTTCAGCTTCAGGTAAAGCCAAAGGTCTCGCGCTCTCAAACCGAAAACCCAGAGTTTCCCTCATCTCAGGCTCAACTTACTCAGAGTTTTCACTAAACCCGCTTTCTGAAACAGGGCCCTGCACAGGTGACCTTTTGTTTTTACTTTCACTTTTACTAAAATCCTGTAGGTAGTGATAGTACAGATACCCTTGCTAAATATTACCCCACTAAAAGTAGAAGTCTTCAATTTAAAGTACAAAAGTACCTGCATTTACATTAGTATGGTTGTTTTTCGGGGGTTGCTGACATGGCAGTTTAAAAACGGTTCTCAAAGAGTTGCCCATTAAATCGACTAATTGTTTCAGCTGTACTTGTATAAGCTGTTGGTTTATTATATATTTTATAAACCCTTCATGTGTTTTGTGTGTAAATCTGATTTTGTAAAGTAACTGAAGCTGTCAGATAAATGAGGTGTAAAAGTAAAAAGTACAATATCTCCCTCCGAGATGAAGCGAGCAGAAGTAGAAAATGGCATGAAAATTCTCAAGTAAAGTACAAATACCTCTAATACAGTAGTACTTGAGTAAACGTACTTAGTTTCTGCATAGTAGTTTGCAGTATGAGACTGCCAGGCTCAGTGAGTTTCAGGTTTTGGGAAGCAGAAGTAAAATATAGGAGGAATTAAACTGACATTTAATTCTAATTTGATGTCTTGTGAGGAGAACAAGGCTGCAGCTGATCTGTAACATCCGGGAACCTCTACTGCACATTTAGCTTTGGTTTGCACACTGCCTTTCAGGCTGAATCCGCACATACTGCATGTGTGATGAGGTGGTTTCCAATACGAGCCTTCGTCTCTGGAGGAGAAAGTAACCCTGATGATGTCACAGTGATGTCATCTTGGTTATCCGGGGCGAGTTCAATTGGGCGACATGTTTCCTTGCAACGTCCCGCGACGGGCTCCGAGGTACGTTTTCTCCCATTTGGTGGGCGTGTCACAGGTGTTAGCCAATCAGCTGCGACAAGTTTGTAAACACAACAGCGTCATAAAAGGCTGGAAAATGCAGCGCTACGAGGTGTTCAGGGAACTTTAATGAAAGACGCTGTCCAGTTGCATTATGGGAATTGTAGGATCGAGTGTTTGTGGACGTCTCCCCGTTCTCCTGCTGGTTTGAACCAGTTTAATTTAAGTCCAACTAATCAGACGACGCCTTCATGATGGATCTGCAGCTTGTTGTTTAATCTGTGATGATGGACTCAAAACTAGAATATTTCTCTCTGAAATGTACAAGTACTTCAAAGCAGTACTTTCTACCCCCCCATGTGTGCAGACCTTCTTCTTTACGTGACTTGGTCTTTATTTAGATTTCCTACATTTGAAGAGGTTTTAATCTCTGTTCCTGTAAATAAAAAGGTTAATGGTGTTACTTTCAACCATGTTGACGCCACCTGCTGCTGGGAGGGAGAACGAGACACATACTTCAGAAATCGCCTGATCCCAACATTAAACCCATCAGAGAAATGAAACCCTGCTGAGAGAACTGGGACATGCGGTTCCACATGTTATTAAAACCCACTGAAATATTTACAGCTTTGAATTTTAAATATTCCAGATGTCGTGTTCTACACATTTTCAGGTTCTCACTTATAATTCTGCCTCTGATGGGATTAAAAACATTAACCGTCACTACAAATGAAATAAACAGGTTTATAAGAGTTGATCATCTTTTTAATGCACATGCAGCCTGTTGCTGTTGCTTCGTCGTCTTATTTCTAACTTTCTTCTTTCTCCAGTGAGCCCTGTTTCCATCCAGGGGGTCAGTGTGGAGGATTACAAATACCTGGGAGTGCACATGGACAATAAGCTGGACTGGGCCAAGAACACTGAGGTCCTCTACAGGAAGGGCCAGAGGTGCATCTATTTTCTGAGGAGGATGAGGTCCTTCAACATCTGCAGGACGATGCTGAGGATGTTTTCTGAGTCTGTGCTGTCCTGTTTGCTGTTGCATGCTGGGGCAGCAGGCTGAGGGCAGCGGACGCCAACAGACTCATCCAAGGCCAGTGACGTTGTGGGGTTGGAGCTGGACTCTCAGAGAGGAGGACGCTGTCCAAGCTACACGTCATCTTAGACAATGTCTCCCACCCGCTCCATGACCTGCTGCTCAAACACAGGAGCTCTTTCAGTGCAAGACTCATCCCCCATAATGCACCACAGAGCGCCACAGGAAGTCATTCCTGCCTGTGGCAAACTTTGAACTCCTCCCTCTAAGCGTCTGACATACAGACACTTCGTTTTAAACTGGACATTATCTGTTTTGTGCAGTAATTCCTTTAATTATGTAAATGTACATATCTATATTTTCTTTCTCTTATATTTTTACTCTGATATTTATATTTCTTTACATACACCACTATCTTTATTTATATTCCTTTTGACTTTTGTGCAACTGTGACACAGAATTTCCCCTCGGGGATCAATAAAGTATTTCTGAATAATGTCTATTTTATTCTATTCCCACTTTATTTGTATTTGCTTCACTGTTTCTTACAAGGACAATTAAGAAACTTGACCTGATTGAAAGCTAACGATTCATTACAATATTAATTAGTCTAATCAACATTTATTGGCTACAAATATTTTCTAAAGCCAACGTTCACATATTCGAACTGGTTGTTTTGTCCGATCGACAAAAATCCAAAGATGTTCAGTTTTACAGTTATTTAAGGCTGAAGTCTTAAAGAGTCCGACCTGGGAAACATTTTTATTTACTCACATTGTGTGGAATAAGATCCGTGTCTTAATAAATCCTTCTCCTGTTTCTTCCAGAGTCATTTTAAACTCGGCGACCATCATCCACTTCATGATTAACCTGCGGGTTTTTCACAAAAATCATAGTTTCATCACCACCACAGAGCAGTTTGTCTTAATGTCCTGGTTTCAACAAGTTACCCCAGTTACAGAATAATTATCTGAACGTCACAGGAGTGTAAAAAGCTCACGGCGGGTGGTGAAGGGCTGAAACTCTGCTGCGAGTTCTTGTCTGTGCCGCCGACAAGAATCCAGCTGAAATATAAGTGTGCAAAAGAAAAAGAAGAGCGAGCTGAAGAGCACCAAGTACAAACTTTATTCTTCTGTTAACTGGATTTAAACTTTATTTTCCGAGGTGTGAAAGACTTGATGACAGGAGGTTTTTTGTCTCAGCGTCTTTATTGAGCATGATGAAAGCATCAGTGATTTCTACTATAAATAAATGCGATACTTTGGTTACATCTACAGGACTGTAGTGATACGGACACTCAGCAGCAGCACAAAGGCCTCAAACCTCCTCTGGCTTAACTGATCAACTTATGAAGTGTCCTTGAGCAAGGCACTGAGCCCCTGCAGGCTAAAAAGTGGAAATGTTTACGCGACACAACTGCAAACAAGGTCAAATACGACTCTCTCTCTTATGAGTTTTGATCTGGGGGGGTTTTATATTTGAAAAGTTTCCCTCAAAGCGATTAAAACAAATCAACGCCACCACAACGTGAAGTTTACGGGCCAGCAGGAGAAACACAACGGAGCATATTCAGTGGGCCACATAACCTAAAAGTTAAGTAGTAGGCTTCATTAGGTTAACAGGTGAGGTACGGCTCATATACAGGCCCCGCCCCTCTCCCTGCTCGAGGTTAACAGACAACAGGGTTTTCTTCAGTCTGCACTGAGTTTACAGAACATGAGACCTCCAGATTTCATCGGGACCTCAGGTGATGCCCTGGAGTCCAACATCCAGCACACTGACCTTTTGTGGCGTAAGAAGGGATCAATGTTCTGGAGCAGGCGGACGCGTCAGATGTCGGTGTTGACAATGCGTTGCGTTCACACTCCGTCTACCCGTGCTACGATCTGTGTCCCGAGTCCCAGAGACCTTCATCCCCGTGTCTGACACCTGGCTCACATTTATTCCCTTTAACAGAAACTTGTTTGGCTATATGCAAACAATTCTTGCTGGACTGAACATCCACCGTCATTCAGTCCAGGGTCCCGTTCTAATAAAACACCCCTGCTTATTTGTGTTTAGCTAGCTAGCAGGGTGATCATTCTTTCAGTCCCTGTGTTTGGACTGAACTGTTCTTCAGCACCACATAAAGTGAAGTTTTGCACTGATGCTACAGTTAAAAACATTGTAAATGAAACTCTGAGTGTCCGCCGGTCCATCAGCCTACAGCTCATCTAGTCTACCTGGAAACCTCTGCTGAGTGACGAGCTTTCCTTTATACAGACTGCTGAGTCTCCCCGTCGTCTCGTGACTCGCTCGTCTCCGTGTCTCCCGGCGCGGCTGGCTGCATCAGAGACAGCGGTGATTTTGGCGACTTGTGTTTCCTCATGTGGTTGCGGAAGATCCGCGCTCCGCTCAGGTTCTTCTTGCAGATGTTGCAGAAGTACGGCCGGGCGCCCGAGTGCACGTCCACGTGGTAGCTGAGCTCGAGGGCGCGGCTGAAGCTCTTGCTGCAGAGCGGACACTGGTAGCGGACTCCCGAGTGCGTCAGCTGGTGGCTCTTGAGCGAGCTCTGCTGTTTGAAGGTCCTCTGGCAGACGGAGCACTGGTACGGCCGGGCGTCGGTGTGCAGCCGCTGGTGTCGGCGCAGGGCGCTGGAGAAGGTGAAGCTCTTGCCGCAGTCGGTGCAGGTGTAGGGCTTCTCCCCGGTGTGGGTCCTCTGGTGCTCCGTCATGTGGACGTGCTGGGTGAAGCTCTTCCTGCAGGTGGGGCACTGAAAGGGACGCTCGCCCGAGTGGATCCTCAGGTGTTTCTGCAGCGCCGACGCCTTGAAGCAGTCTCGACCGCAGACGGGACAGCAGTGCTTCTTCTTCCCGCCACCGTCTGCCTGGCTCTCTGAGCGGCCATCTTGTTCTGTCAGAGACATGAAGGGGATTCTTAGAATTTAGTTTCTTTAATCTCTGAAAAGAAACTGTCTGCAGGCTTGAAATGAACACAGCGTTTAACTGCAGCGCTCTGTATTTTAAATATCCTTAAAGTGATACTGTGCAATTCTGTAGAGAGTTTTTTGATATTTGAGTCCAACCAAACAAACATTCCCTTTCCCCTCACTGCTCCTTCTGAAGCTCCTCCCCCCAAACTCATGGTATTGCCATGGTAACAATACCACATATAGCTAATATAATAAAAAATATATAATAATATGGATTACAGTGCAGCATTCTTCTTCTTTTATTCCGTCTATGAGCATCATCAGTCCCAGCTGCTCAGATAAAAAGAGTTGGAGATTTGGTCCGCCACTTAATATGTCCGTGAGGAAACTTGGAATTTACACGTTCCACACATAAAACAAGCTTAATGCCGTTAAAGACTGCATTCGGTGCACATGCTCACCGTTCTGAAAGTCCTGAACCGAAACGCGTTACACCCCTAACGTTTACTGCTGAACAAGGTGCTGACTCGTTTCTCTCTATTCACCCGTTCACACACTCGCTCAGTCTATTCCTCACACACTGAGCTAAAAGCTAACCAGCTGGGATCATCACAAACATGACAGCAGACAGATAAGAGAATAACACTGAAGCGGTTTATGTGGAACAGCTAAGCTAACGTTACTCACCTGTCCAGCAGAAACAGATTTTAAAACCTTTCTAATCTCGTAGATTTATTCAGCACTGAAACTCCTCACAGATGTTAACACAGGTCTTCCCCTCGCCTGGTCATATAACTCGTTTCACAATCCCTCAGATCTTCCCCCTCTGTGGCTGTTTCTCAGTCATCTTCACAGCTAAAGTCCCGTAATGAGTCCAGCATTTTCGAATGTACAGCTGGTTGATTACGTTCTCCCTCCCACTGCTTCGAGCGCCACCGACACCTGCTGCTCGCTCAGAACTGTTTGTGCTTAATTTACAGACCCAGGGCTGTGGAGGGGAACAGGATTTTTTTTTTTTTTTCTGAGCACACAACAAACACAGAGCTGGCGACGCACGAGGAAATATTTGCTTAATTTAACAACAAGTGCAAAGTATCCCTTTAAGCAATCCTTTTGTATGGACAGACTCTGGATAGGGTGCACAGTCCCAATAAAACTGATACTAGATTATATAATATTATCAGGTATGAGAATGAAAGTCACAGAATAAAAGAGAACAAAACACAAGAATCATTTGAAAATATGTTAATAAAAAGTTGAGCTCACTGCACCAATCATTATAATGTTCTTGTGTTTATGCACAGAGAAGTGATGACATACCGATAAGCGCCGGCCTCCAGTCCTCTTCCTCGCCATCAGAGTTGATCAACCCGCTGACGTCTCCCTCCTCCTTTTCTTCGCCGTTGTCCTCCTCCGACAGCAAGCGGTCCTGTGGCGTTCTGGACTCGGTGGAGGTAGAAAGGTCTTCTGAGTCCTGGAGACATCGTTAAACAAATCAATCTCACCTCGAGGTCCATCTGGGTCTACAGCGTCAGACTTGAAAGCACTTTGCTGACATGTAAAGCAACTGTAAGTCACTTTTGAAATACGCGTCAGCTAATAGAGTAAACGTAAATTTAGCAGCTGTTCTGGAGCTTTCATCACGTCACATGATGTCGTGGAAAAACTTCGACTTTTTCTGAGCACCTAAAAGCACAAACGCTGAATATAATACCTGCTTGTTCAGACCTTCCTCCTCCTCCATCGTCATCCCTCCCTCCCCTTTTTCCTCCTCCGTCGTCATCCCTACTTCCTCTTCCTCCTCCATCGTCGTCGTCGTCATCTCTTCCTCCTCCTCCTCCGTCTTCATGTTGAGCCAGAACTCCTGAAACAGGCGACATCACATCATCAGTTTCCACTCAAAACGTCAAAATTGTTCTTTTATATTTTCACTTTCCTGCACTACATGAAGGAGAAGTGACCCAAAGACTCCCTCCGTCTGACTGACCTCACGCAAGTTTTGTCTTTTAACTTCCTGTCTACACAGGAAGTGGACATGTGTGGATCACCTTGACCTGCATTTGTTCAGTTTAATAACCTGACGAAGATCTGAGGCACTGACAGAGCTGATTAGATCAGACCAGCTGCTCATTTAACTGATATAATCATCATGGTGACCGGTCAGTGTGTGTTTGTTATTACAACAATATGATATCAGAACGCAGAAAGTTTTGTGGTTGGATCTTTAAAACATGTGTTAATACAATATTCCTTCATGTTCTTCAGTGTTAATAACCTACCTGATGAGTTAGCATCAGAGCTAGTGGTGTAACGGATAAGTTTATATTTTTGAAAGGATCCGATCTTGTACCCAAAACCACGGAACGATCTGAACCTCGAGTTTTGTGATCTGTTGCACCCTTAATCAGAGCTCTTAAATGTTCACTATAGAAAAAGCTGAAACTAGTTGAGCTAGTTAGGGATGCAGGGTAATGTTGGCATGTCGGTGGCAATCGGCCCAAAATGAACATTTCTGCCTATAATACGACACAAAGGACATGGAGCAAATAAAAAAACAAGAGCTGGCTGCTCAAAATCAATAACAACAATGAGGAGTTTCATCCTACAGTGTTTCCCACAAATAGACTTCACTTATGCAGGCCGCCCAGGTATATTAACAGCTGCACAATGCGCCCTTGCGCGATAGTCACATCGCAGAACAATCCAAAGTCCAGCAAGTCAAACGAACTCAACCCCCTGAACTTAAGTGCTGCTCGATACAAAAGGAAAACCTGCACGCATTTTCCATGAATAATCTACAAGAGAAGTCTGTCAGCAGCATCATTTACTCCGCCTGAAGGGTTCTTGGATTCACAGAGCTTGTTGCTAGTGAGTGACAAGCAGACTCTGCACGCAGAGCGATCCACCAATCACTTTAGGGCTCAAACGATTCATTCGATTACTAAAAAGCGTGGACGCTAATTCTTTGCAAGCAAAAGTAGTAAAATCATCGTTAGCTGCAGCCCTAAATTACAATATTACTAACTAATCACAATAACACTAACGCAGGCCCCGCCCCCATTAGTTGTTGACGTCAACTTAAAAATAGGTGATTACCAGGAGAAAACCATTGAAACAGTGGATTTCGTTGCAGAGAGAACTTTTGTAAACCACCCAGAGGGCTGGTGTTTAGCTGCTCTTTTTTAATCTTTGAATATATGTTTACTGCATCAAAGAAAGGATAGTTTGCACTCAAAAGTATTCAGGCTATAAAAACATGTTGGTTTTTTCCAATATCGTGCAGCCCTACCGCCCAGGTACAGTAACAGCCGCCCAGGTATATTTGGCGACCCACTTTAAAAGAGGAGAGTTATATATGAGGCTACAGGAAGTGGACACAGGCTACGTTATTATCGAGCCTGCTGCAGTAAAGACAGAAAAGTCCAGAAGACGGGTTCTGTGTCTTTTCGGGGACTATCAGTAATGCTGAGGCGGGGCCAGCAGGTGTGTTTGCAGGTGCGTGGTGAGCAAGATTCAAGTAGTGAGTGAACAGTAAAATAAAGTGGAGAACGAAGGAGAATTAAAATAGTGAGATAGAAATATGCTCCCCTTGCCTTATTTTGTAAAATCTGTCCTGACTTCTTATGAAATAGAAAAGAATGTGTGATTTCATGTGCACAGTGATGAAAAAAGTGCACAGTAAAGCCGTGGTCTCACTATGTCAGCAGAGTCGGCGATGAGTCCGTCCCTGACGTGGATCCTCATGTGTTTGCGCAGCAGGCAGGGCCTCAGGAAGCTCCTGGGGCAGATTCTGCAGGGGTGAGGTTTGTTGGTCATGTGGGTCTTCTCGTGGGCTCTCAGGTTGGTCGTGGTGGTGAAAGCCTTCTCGCACAACGAGCAGCGGTGCAGCTTCTCCTTGGCGTGGATCTTGAAGTGCTGTCTGAGCCTGGACAGCTTCGGGTAGCTCTTCCCACAGACGGAGCAGCTGTGGAGCTTCGTCACGCCGCTGGGACCCCCGTCTACAAACACCAACACAGGAATAAGGTTCAGCATCAGCAGGACTCAGGCAGGAAATGCTGTTTCATGTTATTGACCCACTTCCTGGAGTCAGTAGAAGAGGTCTTTCCGGGATGTGTGGCGAGCATAAACCAAAATTTTTAACACATTTGGATGGAAAAAGTGAATCTAAATTCTTTGTTTGCAGATTATCTTCAGTTTGTCAGGTTTTAAAATGTTCTCTGGCAAAGAAGAGTTAGCCTACGTTCACTCTGTAGGCCTTAATGCTCAATTCAAATTTCTTTCCCAGATCTGATTTTTTTTGTTTGACAGTTCAGATTGTTGCTTAATTGTGGTCCATATCAGACTCCAGCGTGAACTAGTGTTGTTTACTCGAGACCGGTCTTCAGACCACTTCTTGTCTCGGTCATTGAGGACTCGAGATTTAATTTCAAGACCAGTCAAGACCATAACTTTGGGAACATCAATAAATTGCTTTTACATCCTCTCTTTGATTGGATGGAAAACTTATTGCTTCAGATGAAACCAACAACCCTAAATAAAAATGTGTTGTTCCCGTTAACGACTGCCCCCCCTCCCCGCGATGGTAAACATGGATAAGGAGAGTTGAATAAAGATGCTTACGTTGATTTCAGCTCTTAGTGTTTGTATGTGGGTGTTTTAATGGGAATCTGGATCTTTCAGATCAGTTTGAGAAGCACCTGTGATCTCGTTCCACATTTTATTGTGTGTCATGTAATGTGGGGAACTGGTCTTGGTCTCGGTTTGGGCGGCCTTAACTACAACACTAGTGTAAACTGTCCGCGGCCTGAAAGTGACCCGCGTGCGCAGCAGCAGCTGTTGTACAGAAGTGAACAGAGCCACAGAGGTTAGCTCCAGTTAGCTCCTACTTGCTCCAAATTTGCACGGGAGACTCCCGTTTCTCATTTGTCCTCTCACGGGTCACATTTCTCCCCAACAAGTAGCATAAACGGTCCGGTGGATTTCAGGTGTAAGAAAGGGAATCTGTGAGCAGATGTAGAGAAGAAAGAGAGCCACATGTTCAATTATGGCTTTTTGTGGAGCTGTGACAGCAGCTGCTCTAGAGTGACGTCAAAGTCGCATCAAATGCGACCCGAGTGTCCGATCTGTATGTACCACATATGGAAGTGGCCCAAATCCGAACTGGAAAAGATCAGATTCCATGTTCACACTGTCATAAAAATTAGATTTGGGGTCACTTTGGCCTGAAGTCTGAACGCAGCCTTAGAAACCGGTTTGTCCTCTGCGACTTCATTAAATGTGATTCTTCGCACCTGCTTGTATAAAATGTAATTATTTCAGTCTATCATGTCTGAGGTGCAGGTAGGCTGGGTGCTCTGACCGGTCAGTGAACGCAGCACGTCTTCTTCCTCGTCATTATCGTTTCTGCTCTCGACCTTCAGCTCCTGCAGCCCGTTCAGACCGCAGCTCCCCGCAGAAACTGCCGCCACGCTGCCGCCATCGAGCGACTCGTCTGGTTTCTGTAACGACAAACAGCAGTGAGGTTAGTTCAGCTTTGACAGTAGTGAACCTGTTCTTGAACTTAGAACATACTCATTAAAAGGTGAGGTACGCAATTCTGAAGAAAGACTGCAGGTATCGGCCGGTATCAGGCAGTGGGGAACTCAGGGAACGGCGAACAGGATCAAAACATTAGTTATCTCTCGCCATTCCCTACCCTACATGTTTTTTTCAAAATAAGGTCCCATGGGGAGGACGGGCGGGGGGGTGGGGGTGGGGGGGGCGGGGGGTGGGCGCCTAGACTCTATTTATGAGGCAGCAGGTGAACATTGCGTCCTCAGAGTTGATGTGTTAGAAGCAGGAAAAATGGGCAGCGTGAGGATTTGATCGACTTTGACAAGGACCAAAGTGGGATGGCTAGACGACTGGGTCAGGGCATCTCCAACCCGGTCTGCAGGGGTCAGAAGTGGTCCAACCGACAACGGGGTCATGGACGGCCAAGGCTCACTGATGCACGTGAAGAGCGAAGGCTGGCCTGTGTAGTCCGATCCAACGGAACAGCTACTGTAGGTCAAACAGCTGAAACAGTTGAGTCCATTCCTCCGGCAGGCAGGTGGTCATAATGTTATGGCTGGTCGGTGCAGCTGCAGATTCATTTCCTGCTGATCGCTTAATCAACTAATCTCTTGAGCTTTCTTGGTGGAGCTGCTCGTGCTGCTGCAGCTTCTCGGGCGGTGGAGAAACCTTTGCTGCACAGGAAGCAGCGATGATGCGTTTCCTCCGGAGGTTTAAGGCTGCATTCAGAGCGCAGACCAAACCTTTCCACACACGTCACATGGACTCTGATCATTTCCTGCTTAGATTTGAGCCACTGTCGTAGAAATCAGATACATGTCGGATTTTAAAAGATGCTACCTCAGTCTGGTTAGTCAGATTGCAGGTCACGTGACTCTGTAGTCACTCGACCGCCGTCATAATACCAGCGTGCGGGAGCAGCGATGAACGCAAACGTGGAGGACGGCAGTAACGGAGGAAATCAGTGGACAAATTTTCTCATCTGCTCTCCAAGTCCCTTTCATCCACCTGAAATCAACTTAAAAATTAAACTGTAGTCGCTAACCTCTGTGGCCTCCGTGTTTCCTTCTGTACAACAGCGTGCCGTCATGTGACAATCGTATTATTTCCAGTTCACCCTGGAGTGTGATAAGGGCCACATTTAAAAAATAATGTTTACAGTCAATCAAAATAATTTGGCTCTGGAGCGCTAGCTTAGCTTTAAAAGACTTTAGCAGGTGCGGCAGAGGCTGAAAAGGGAACGTGAATGATTCGCAGGGAGGATGTAAATCTGTGGAGCGACTGGACGCAGGCAGAGCTCGCCAGGGTTCAAGTAAGGGTCACCTCTGCACAGCTGACCAATCCCATCGTACGCTGGTGTGAATGTTGGCACGTTGGATTAAGAAAGTTTTGGAAATGGACGCACACAGCCCCTGTGGATGTTGTCACCCGTTAGTAGCCGGTTCAGTGGTAGAAGTACAACAAGCTGTCCAGTGACAAACAAGTCAAAGAGCTGCAAAGACTAATCCAAGAGAGAAAAGGCAAATTTCTTAAATGTAAATATTTCCTGGTTTGTTTCCTCCTTTGTGACAGTAAACTGAACATCTTTGGGACATTTGAGGACATCATCCTGGGCTCTGGGAAACACTGAACTAACGGAGAAAATAATCAACAGATTAACTCTGACAACAAAAGGAGTCATTAGTTGCAGCGCTACGACTGGATTTAGTGTTTCCGCCCACTCACCTTGCTGGCAGCAGCTTGGAGCACATCGCTGTCCTCTGTGTGTTTCTGCAGGTGTTTCCTCAGCAGGCCGGGCCGGTTGAAGCTCTTGCCGCACAACGAGCAGGGGTGAGGCTTCTGTCCCGTGTGGAGCCTAACGTGGTCCCTGAAAGACGACGGCGTGGAGAAAACCTTCTCGCAGACCGAGCAGGAGTGCAGGTTCTCCACTGCGTGGCTTTTCTTGTGATCGACGAGGCCCGTCCTGGAGGCGAAGCGTTTGGGGCACAGCGGGCAGGAGAACGGCCTCTCTCCGGTGTGCGTCCGCTCATGCTGTACGAGATGGCGCCGCTGAATGAAGCCGCGGCCGCACACCGAGCATTGGTGGGGCTTCTCTGCAGCGTGTCCGAGCCGGTGCCGCCGCAGGCAGCCCGGCTGGGAATAGCTGACCCCGCAGTCTGGGCACGAGTACGGCTTCTCGCCGGTGTGTACTCTCTGGTGAATCGCCAGATTCTTCTTCTTGGCGAAGCGCTTCCCGCATAACAAGCAGCTGTGAGGTTTCTCGCCAGAGTGCACGACCATGTGTTCCGCCAGCCGAGACGGACGAGAGAACTCCCTGCCGCATAGTGAGCAGCGGTGACGGCATTTTGACCGACGGCTGCCTTGTTTTGACGCAGGTTTTTCTGGTGTCTCGATGTTGGAGGCCTCTCCTGTAGGAAAGGATACTGACGTTAATATTCTTAAGGTTCAAGAATTATCCATTTATCAGGAATATTTTATTTTTTTTAACCAGGCAGAAGCCCATTAGAATGTAATCTATTAGTAATAAAAGGGACAACTGGCAAGAAAGGCAGCAAAACAGCATTTAGAAGTTACACTGACACACAAATAACACCACACGGAGACACTTAAATGATAAAATCCACCTACCAGCAGCTTTAACGCTCCCTGGTTGACTCGTTATAGCTCATTTGTTTAATCTGTACAGAAAACTAAGCCTCTACTGCTTCGACCTGTTGTTTACCTGTTTTAGTGTGAACAGGGATCTTTACAAAAAGGGATTTTTTTCACATGTTAACAGTAAAAAGAGAGAGAAAATAAAAAAAAAAGGTGTTCTGTTGATTTATGCTACCAATGGAGATGTGCTACTGAGCGGTTCTGGGCATGTTCATGACCCACAATCTTGATCTCCGTCTCCACACCCATAAATCTATGAAACCTTGCTGTCGGGCAGTCTGTCGAGACTGTGGCTGAAATTAGATGAATCTGGCGTGTAGTAATAATTCACCAGAGCAGAGAACTTTTTTCTCCTTTATTTACAACGTTTAAATAAATAGAATTAAGACATTTTTCGGTCTTTGGGGTATTAAAAATAGATATGTTCCAGCAGAGTGGCAAAATATGTTTCACATATTCTTCTGCGGCTTTCAGACCAAACTTTCAAACAATTTTTCGCCTCGCGACGCTTTCCTCGCGTGAGTACATTCGCTGTAAGTGTTACACACACACACAATGTGATAACGTGGATAAACACGACTCGCCATTACTACAGCTGTATGAACCCAAAGTAAACATTTTGCTGTGATTTATTAGCAATAAACGGATCAAACTAATGCCGAAATAACTACTACATGATGCAGATTTGTTAAACATATGAATTCATGCTTTGTCAGGTCTGTCAGCAGGACAACAGCTTCTAAAATGTTTGTTTTCTGAAGGGAGTTCGGATCGATCAGGGCTATGCTATGCTAACTTGTTCACAGTAAAGACCAACGACAGCTGGAATAAAGTTACAGACATGTTTTCTGAACTCACCAGGTAGTTCAACCTCCTCGCTTTCTTTTCTCCAAGCAATGTCCAGTTTTGTCTGGTTTTTACACAGGGAGTGAGACGTGGTGTAATTTAAAATGATTCAGCAGTGGGAGCATCTGCTATGGTAGCATAAATTGTCAGAACACCGGCTTCGTGTGGAGAAAGAAACAACTGCTGACCTTCAGCAGGAAGCTGCTGACCGTCCTCTCCGCTTTGTTCTTCTTCCTCCGTCACTCCATTCATCTCCTCATGCTCTGCTCCTCCCGAAGATGGACGGGTCTCCTCAAGGCCTCTGAAAATAAGGACACGTCCTGGTCAGGGCTGTGAGGACACTGAGGTTGTGTCCTTGGTTTGGTTCTGGGAATTTGGAGGTTTAAGTGATGCGTGAACAATTATAAAAGGTTAGTTCCAGTTCACCTCCCAGAACGTGGTCTTTGACCGTGTGGTTGAGGTCAGGGCTCTGTGCAGGAAACTTAGAAAACGCTTTCAACATCTTCTTAAGGAAGCTCAGTAGTTTCAATGTTCAATTCAATTCAATTTTATTTATATAGCGCCAAATCACAACAACAGTTATCTCACAGCGCTTTTCATAAAGAGCAGGTCTAGACCGTACTCTGTGATGATATTTACAGAAGCCCAACAGTTCCCACCAAGAGCAGCACTAGGAGACAGAGGCAAGGAAAAACTTCCTTTTAAGAGGCAGAAACCTCGAGCAGAACCATGGCTCAGGGTGGGCGGCCATCTGCCTCGACCGGTTGGGGGTGAAGGAGAGAGAGGGAGAGATGTAAGGAGAGAGAGAGAGAGATGTAAGGAGAGAGAGAGAGGAGGGAGGCAGCCTACACAATATACACACAGTGAAGGTAATGTTGCTATGGACTAAATGAAAAATGGTACAGATATTTATAGTAGTGTTAATGGTAACCATCGTAATGTTAATGATTATAATAACAATAATAACAATAAGACTAGCAACAATAGTCGTTGCAGCAGAGGGTGTCGAGCAGGAACACGGGGGCAGCAGGTGACCCGCAACCACAGATCCAGACTCCACAGCTCCAGAGCCAGAAAACCTGCAGGAAGTGATAGGAGAGAGGAGAGAGACAAGAAAGCACAAGACTACCAGAAAGGGGAGAAGTTGTGTTAGTAACATGCAATAATGGGATGAGGTTGCATACAGAGGGAGAGGAAGTAGAGGAGAGAGGAGCTCAGTGCATCATGGGAAATCCCCCGGCAGTCTAGGCCTATAGCAGCATAACTAAGGGATGGTTCAGGACTCACCTGAGCCAGCCCTAACTATAAGCTTTATCAAAGAGGAAAGTCTTAAGCCTACTCTTAAATGTGGAGATGGTGTCTGCCTCCTGAACCCAAACTGGAACCTGGTTCCACAGGAGAGGAGCTTGATAGCTGAACGCTCTGGCTCCTAGTCTACTTTTGGAGACTCTAGGAACCACAAGTAACCCTGCATTCTGGGAGCGCAGTGCTCTGGTGGGGTAGTAAGGTACTATGAGCTCTTTAAGATAAGATGGTGCCTGACCATTAAGAGCTTTGTAGGTAAGAAGAATGATTTTAAATTCTATTCTGGATTTTACTGGAAGCCAATGCAGAGAAGCTAAAACAGGAGAAATGTGATCTCTTTTCCTGGTTCCTGTCAGAACACGTGCTGCAGCATTCTGGATCAGCTGAAGAGTCTTAATGGACTTTTTCGAGCAGCCTGATAATAAGGAATTGCAGTAATCCAGCCTAGAAGTAACAAATGCATGGACTAGTTTTTCTGCATCATTTTTAGACAGGATGTTCCTGATTTTCGCAATATTACGTAGGTGAAAAAAGGCGGTCCTTGAAATTTGCTTAATGTGAGACTTAAACGACATGTCCTGATCAAAGATAACTCCAAGATTCCTCACAGTGGTGCTGGAGGCCAGGGCGATGCCATCCAGGGAAACTATATCTTTAGATAATGCGTCACGGAGGTGCTTAGGCCCCAGAACAATAACTTCAGTTTTATCTGAGTTTAACATTAGAAAATTACAGGTCATCCAGGTTTTAACATCCTGAAGGCACATTTGAAGTTTAGCTAACTGATGAGTTTCATCTGGCTTGATCGATAGATATAACTGAGTATCATCTGCATAACAGTGAAAGCTTATGGAATGTTTCCTGATAATATTGCCTAAAGGAAGCATATATAAAGTGAAGAGGATTGGTCCAAGGACAGATCCTTGAGGAACTCCATGAGTAACTTTGGCGTGCATGGAGGACTCATCGTTAACATGTACAAACTGAAATCGATCTGATAAATAGGACTTAAACCAGCTTAGAGCGGTTCCTTTAATGCCAATGAAATATTCCAGTCTCTGCAATAGGATCTGATGGTCAATGGTATCAAATGCAGCACTAAGATCTAATAAAACCACTACAGAGACAAGTCCTTTGTCTGATGCAATAAGGAGGTCATTAGTAATTTTCACCAGTGCTGTCTCTGTGCTATGATGAGCTCTAAATCCTGACTGAAAATCCTCAAATAAACTATTGCTCTGTAGAAAGTCACACAGCTGTTTAGCAACTGCTTTCTCCAGAACCTTAGAGAGAAAGGGAAGGTTAGATATAGGTCTATAGTTGGCTAAAACATCCGGATCAAGTTGGGGCTTTTTCAGAAGAGGTTTAATTACAGCTACTTTAAAGTACTGTGATACATAGCCTGTTGATAAAGATAGATTGATCATATCTAGTATAGAGGTGCTGACTAAGGGTAGTGTTCCACACTTTATGTATCGAGTTAGTCTTAAATATTCTTTATGCTCTGTTGGTTTGGTAATCTCAGTGTGAAAAACTGTGTGCCTTAAACTTACTGGTGGAAACTGAAATGACTGTTATTATTGGACTCGTAGCACCCATGATGCAGTGAGTTAAAGTTGTGTTACCGTCCTATGATAAGTGGGTAAGCTGTTGGCAGTGGCGGGTGACATCGTCGGGCAATCCGCCAATTTGGCAGACAGGAAAAACGCACAACAGAAAGACACATGTGGCAAGGTTAGTGTATTGTGGCAGCGTTTCAAACCAAACTCACCAGTCCTGGGTGACAGCCAGCGCAGCACCGGCCAGACTACGAGAGATAAGTCCGGTGTTGTCGGACAATCAATAAGCTTGTCCAAGAGACACAAGAGCCGTCACTTGGTTTTATTTTCGATAGCAAACTTTTGTCCGACTGAAACTGAGTATGTTTGTTTGAGATCTGGACTCATGTGGAGAGTTAACTGAGATAAGGACTCATTCGCTGGTGGTTGAACTTTGGGCCTTGTACTGAGCACTGACTTTAACACTCTGTGGTTTCTTGTCTTCTGTAGGTTTATATGATAGCTTAATATTTCATGCCATGACTTGACTCTCAAATTGTCCATCTCTGTGAAATAAGTAGGCTAATAAAACTACTACTCAGAAAGCAACCCATTTTACTGTGTCCCTGCAGTAATCTGCTTCCCTCTCATCATGTCTGACATAAAGTAATTATAATGATCTTGCATATTCAATGGAAATACCTGGTTGTTAAGGTGGAGTGATTTTCTTGTACTGAAAGACATCTCTCCTTCTGTGCATTAAATCATGCAGGTAATGTTTTGTGTAGATATACTGAACATCTAATTGACATTATCTACATTAAATGAAGCCTAAATATTCAGCGTATACGTTTAAAGAGTGGCAGACAAAAAGTGCTGAAAGTTATTTTGGACCTTGCAGATGCAGGTCTGCTGACTTCTGGACCATGACCACTTCCTAGATATTGAGCAACCTTCATCCACTGAAGAAGGCCACTGGATGTGGCTGTAAAAGCTCTGGAAAGGCCAAGTGGGCCTTGCAATAACATTATTCTTCAACATGACACAAAGAGTTTTATCCCAAATATGCTGGAGCACCAACATGTCCTTTTATTGGAAGTAAGGACTAAAGTATCTGCACAAGGCTGTCCACTTCACCGGCTATGTAATGCATCCAGAACATAGGATGGAAGATTTTACAGTTTTTGATGAAGACTGGCAAAGTTAAGTGTTTGCAAAGCAACAAAGCAGCTGTTAATTATAGTTACTTAAGACTCCAGCTGATGTTTAGCGGTTTATCACTGTGTTCTCACAGCTGTGTTATTATTCCGACTCCCACTGCATTATTATGTATTAACAATCCCATTAACAATTAATTCAATCATCACATATTGTTAAAATGTATTTCAAAGTTAGCTGCTAACGTTACGTTTGTTTGCGATGTGTTAATCGATGTGTTTTTACAGCGATTCAGCCAATCAGAGGCGAGCACCGTGCAACATTAGCCGTTAGAAGCTAGCGTTAGTAGTTAAGCTATCTTGCTAATCGTAAACTAAACAGTTACCGTTCACAGAAACACAGAAACACGTACCGTTTACTGCAGGTCTGTGTAAAGGGACGGGAACGCAAACCAAGGCGCCAAAAGGGTCCAAAGAACGGACTCCTTCAGAATGAAAACCCTCCAGGAGCAGGCGGCCGCTGACTTTGGCTTATCGCGATGTTAGCTGTGCTCGTTAGCTGCGGGCGTTAAACGACGTTCCCACAGTCCTGGACGGCTGCGCCCGCGAAACACCCGCTGCTGCCGACTAACGCTAATTAAGCTGTTATTTATAATCAGAGATGAAAATATTAACACAGCGGAGGAAACACGAACTCCCTATCGGCCCTTCAGGAGAATTCAAGTCGATGTCAGGAGAAAGTAAAATAAGATAAACACAGTTTATTTCGACAAGAAGCAGGCGAATTCCAGCTAAAATCAAACATGGCGCTCAGCAGCTCCTCGGTGCTGCCGCCGCTGGCCGGGAGGTGAACTGCAACAACATGGAAGTGACTGCCTGTAGTTTCTAAAGATGTCAGGAGCTGACAACATACTGAGGTCTTTGTTTAAGAGCTACACCGATTTTTAAAAGTCTACAGAGGTTTCATCACTTGAATTACTTTCTAGAGGCCGTGGACCTATTTTGTTATTGGGCAACTGCACTGACACTGTCTTTGTGTCTTTGTGTCACCATAATCAGAACACTCGTCAGGAGCAGTTAGGGTGACCAGACGTCCCGGGGACAGTTTTGGTGGCCTGTGTGTTAGTCATAGACTGTATAAGGTATTAACAGACCTGAAATCAGATTTCAGCATGTCTCTGTTTACGTCTACAGCTGCTTTTATCTGGATTAAACAGACATAACGTGCAAATAAAAATCACTTTATGTCGCAAAGGTTTGTCTTTGTGATACTTTAACGGTTCTTTTAACAGAATAATCACAATCGTGGCCAAACAAGTGTTTGCATTTTATAGCCTAACCAGGCCGGACATTTACGTTATTATAGGCAATAACAGAAGCCTGTTGTTGCAGATGGATGATGTGTTTGGTGGGCTTATGTCTAATATCCTAGTTTATATTTAGAAAACGGAATGTAGCCTATAATTAACATGACTTACTGCTGAGTTATATATAAAATAAAGATCTCTTTTGCGATTATCCTTATGACTCTGCTTTATTTAACTTGCTGTGTACCAACCAATCCAGTCTTTTTTACCTGTTAAAATACCTTTAAATGGCCAAAACAACACATAAAATGCATTATTCTACTTGCCATAAAGTGATCGAAGCCTCTAATTATTGTCTGAAATGTAATTTCCTCCCTGAAATGACTTGATTATATTCATGAGGGTTATATTTGATAGATTATAACTCACCTAGAAATTTTGTCTCTTAAAATACCTTTAAATGGCCAAAACAAGACATAAAATGCAGCATTCTACTTGCCAGAAAGAGACTGAAGCCTCTACTTATTGACTGAAAGCTAGATTCTGTCTCAAAATCACTTTCAGAAGAGTTGTTTGACAGATTATGAAGCCCGAAATTGTCCCGTTTTTAATTTCATATGTAATAACATTATATTTCTTTAATGCATACTGACCACCGAATTTGTTGTGGGTCTCTGAAAATGTGACCAAAATCTACTCAAATGATCAATTTTGGTGATGTACAAAGTTGTGTCAACCAAATTTGTTTTGTGACGTTGACTTTGTTTGAGTGATTATGAGTGACTACAGCTGGTGACTTCCTTCTCTGAGCCCTTTAAAATACGCATTTGTTTGATTCACTCATTAAACTCAGCCCCAAATGCTATGATGGGAAAGTCCTGATCGACCCGAACTCCATTCAGAAAACAAACATTTTAGAAGTTGTTGTCCTGCTGACAGACCTGACAAAGCATGAATTCATATGTTTAACAAATCTGCATCATGTAGTAGTTATTTCGGCATCAGTTTGATCCGTTTATTGCTTTTAATCACAGCAAAATGTTTACTTTGGGTTCATACAGCTGTAGTAATGGCGAGTTATCGCGTTGTGTGTGAACAGCAGTTGTCCAGCGGTAAAACCCCGCGAGGAAAGCGTTGCGTGGATTACATTTGCGTTTGGTCTGGCTCGACTGAAGTTTGCTGTTGATCACAAGGACAAAGAAAGGCCTTCTGGAGGAAAGTTCTGTGGTCAGGTACTTTCAAATTCATCAGGAAAACTGGGTCATGGACACAGCTGGGTGTTGCAACAGGACAATGACCCCAAACACAAATCAAAAGTGGTAAAGGGATGGCTAACTCAGCTGGAATTAAGGTTTTAGAATGGCCTTCCCGAGTTCCTGACTTAAACCCCACCGAGAACATCTGGACGAAACGTGTCTGTGTCAGAAAGCCAACACATTTAGCTGAACTGCAAGAAACCTGTCAAGAGGAGTGTCGAAGATTCAACCAGAAGCTTGTGGATAGCTGCCGAAACTCACCGTCTAATTGGGGTGAAAATGGCCAAGGGACCTTTAACAAAATGTTAACATAGCTGTATGGAATTTTTTGGTACATTTTCAGAAGAGCCATAATAAATTCATAAAAGAACCAACATTCACGACCGTTTGTTTTTGGGCTCCAATGATTTCACCATAGGAAAATAAGAGTTAAAGGCCATCACGTACATGTTCTTTACATGTGTGTCCCCCAAACACTTTGGGACACACAAGCACCTGATTATAGGTTATATTGTTACATATTTCTCTATTTTATATTGATCTCCACTTCTTTTTAGGCCTGTATCTTACTGCATGTATTTATTGTATTATTTTAATGGTATGTGTGTATGATATTGTTAATCAGGCTGTGTGGCTCCTTGCTGACTGTTAAACACAAACAAACAACAGCAGCCGTAACAGATTTTAAAGCCTAACCAGGGACTCCACGCTGGCCGTTGTACCTGTTGTTCTCTAAACAGCCTACACTGTGATATATAGTCCCATTTAGAGCGCAGGGTGAGCCAATCCGCTGTATCCAAAACATACGTTTACAAAACAGCCTTTTATTAATTTTAGTGCTTCCTTCCAACCCGATCTCGTCCTATATGTCCATTTTATCTGCATCACTGCTGCAGAAATTGGATTTCCTTTAACCTTATGTCATTTTATGCAGCGTGATTTAACTTGAAATATTTTTAATGTGTATTTCAACCCTGGAAAGCACTCTGTTTTGATAAGTGCTGTATAAATAAAGCCGTTATTATTATTATTATAATGTTGCTTTGAAAAACCTGCACAAAAGTGAGACGGTTAATGAGCACGCCGTCACGATCACAAGTCACACATGGGTGGACTGTTCAGGTGTCTCCATACTTTTGGCCGTGTTGTGTATCTGACTTCACAGTTGAGGCAGTCACCCGCACGATGGCGTGATTAAGAGAACATGTATTTATTAAACAACTGACAGACACACGCTTCCATCCCACACCAGCGTCCTCCTCTCAGTCTACTGTTTCTTCTTCACCACGTGGGCACAGTCATATTTGCCTCTGACCACTTTGAGTTTGACTCCGGGCAGGTCCTGCGTCCTCCCGCCCTCCACCAGCACCACGTTGTGCTCCTGCAGGTTGTGTCCCTCCCCGGGGATGAACACCACCGCCTCCTTCCCGTTGGACAGCCGCACTCGAGCGCACTTCCTGTTGGCGGAGTTGGGCTTCTTGGGCTTTCGGATCATGGTCTTCAGGATCACCGCCTTCAGCTGGGGGCGGCCGAACGTGGCGCCGACAGATTTAGGAGGCGGCTTGGGCTTCCCCTGGCGGTGCATCTGGTTGAGGGTGGCCATCGTCCTGGAGAGGATGGGAGCCGTCCAGGCAGAGGCATGCTGGGATGCTGCAGAGAGGGAAAAGTTATTTACACGTTAAACATTTTTAAAAAAGCAAGATTTTAATATAATCGTCACTTGTTTACTTTTTTAAATATCGCAGTAAAGGTTATTCTGGAGTCCAGACTCTGTGGCTGCTTTATAGCCGTATCGCCATCAGATGGTTAAAAGTGTGCAGGCGTGTAAACGTACCTTGAAGAAGCGACGTCAGCGCCGGCCTCAGGCTCCATAACAAAGACATTCCTGAAACAAGCCAGAGGAGAGGAAACCTTTTATCACCTCCTGTTCTGATGTCTGAAGTCAGACGTGTGACAGAGAACCTCTCAGCAACCGTCCATTATTTCCTAAACTGACTCTGAAACCGCAAAAGACAACAAACAGCAAAGTCACCAGAGAGTTTCTAAGAGTTTGGAACAAAGTGTTGTCAAAATGCCTGAAATTAACGAAGGCACCATGAAATCAATGATTTGCCTTTTCCAGTTCTGCACCAAAGCACTGAAATTAAGATCATCTTTACTGTCACATGTCCCCCAAAATACACTCAGCTCAGCTGCGATTCATCCTGTTTACCACCAAACTCTCTTGAAAACCTGCAGAAATTTACCCTACTGTACCCAAGTGTACACATGCTGGTAGAAAATAACTAAAGAATTAAAACCAAGGTCCTCCAGGTCAGTTCGGCAGGATAATCCGACCCAGCGCGCGATTAAAATTGGTTCCTTCAATCCATTAGGACCGGTTCCCGTCTGCAGCCTACATCGAGCGTCCTCACATGGAGGTAATTAGAGCAAAAAGAGTAAATCTTAAAACTTGATTTCAGATGTTCTGGGTGAGACTCGTGCATGCCGAAGTAAAACGTGACCCCTGATGATTTTTATAACACCCGGAAACGCCTCTGCGGCTTCACGATGATCAAGGAGCTCTTAAATCCCTGCTTTATTGAATGGAGTCTGGTGCAAAATAACTGACTCTCTAGTGAGAATTGAGCCCAACGGCGAAGCTGCAAGCTGCACGAGGCTGTTACTGCATTTATAGAGAAGGACATCAGCTGACTGCTAACTTATGTTGTCCTCAGGGTCACACACAGCACGGCTGACGTTGGCTACAGTTAGCTGACCGACAGAGGTTATCCGCGCTACATAGAGACACACCGCCGGAAGGTGATCGCAGAATATCCGGTTCGATAACGGGATTAATAAGAAGTGAAGTTAAAGATATTTAACGCATTTTTTAAATTTAAATACCAACCAAGGACTTTCACGTTTTAACGTGAGCAACATGAACTCCTGCGCACCGGAAGTAATTCCGTTACACAAACAAAAGCGCTTCCGGATATCGTTCCCAACAAAATAAGAGGTTTAGTGAAATGTGCTGTTTGCACATTTTTAATATTTAAAGACGTTTTTATGGTTTTACTTGAAAAAAAAAACAGGTTGATCTCGTCAACAAAACGATTCTACTGCAAACACTTAAACAGATGTAAATGAAACCCCCCTCTTGTCCAAAACATTTAAAAATAATTCCCTTTTTTTCCTTCATAAAAATAATATAATGAATGAAGTCATTCTATAGAAATGTATTTTCACTTCTTCCACAGTATTATATTTGTATTTATTTCTTACAACAATAAATATATTAGATTTCTCTGTAGTTTTGGATGCAGATGTTGGCAGGTGTCATGGAAAACAAAAAGCTAATCTGTGCGCCTACATTAATTATTGGTGCCCTAAAATTTAACACTGTAAATGTCAACACATCCATGTTACTCAGTTATATTATAATCTGCTAAAATCTGTACCCGTTTGTCCTTTTATTAAAACAAAATGCTGATTCCTTAAACATTTGTTTAAGATTGACTTTCTTTACATCCTCTCCTCAGATTCTTCCTCCTCCTCATTAGTGTAAAGCAGGATGTTGCTGCTGTAGTAGTTGAGCTGCAGCTTCTGAACTGTTCAGTTTCAGACTGCAGCTGATGATTCTTTTCATTCTGGATCGGGTTTTCTGCCCCTCGTTTCCGCTCATTGACCTGCATTTGATGGTTTTCCATCAGCTGTCCTTCAAACTGGTGTAATCAGTTTGATTAGTCATAGTTTTATTATCGTGATCACATCACGCTCAGATAAACCGGCAGGAGTTCAACTAAAGTTGTAAATTCACAAATACTTGACGGGGATAAAACAACAGTTTAATTTTTTTATTTTAAATATAAACTACTTCAGTGTTTCCAAATGTTTGCTGAACTTTTTGAAAAGATATCATGTTATGTTATTATATTATATACACATATGTTGTTGGTTGATATTTTTAAAAGCAAACTAAAGACCTAACTAAACAGGATTTAGTTGAATTTTATATCTTTATTTATCTATGTACGGACATTTTAGTCTGTTTAACTGATGCATTTGATGTGTTTTATTATATTTTATTCTATGGCCCCCTTATTTTTATTATCTTATTATTTTTTTATTATTTTATTGTTATTATTGATCTTTATTATACTTTTCTTTAAATACCTCCAGTGCCCCCCCCCCCTTCAAATAATACAAACGTCTTTGCACATGTAAATATCACTTCATTTCATATCATGCACAAACCTTTGCACATTGTTTTTTTTTGCACATTTTGTTAATCGTTATTCTTCCATATTTTATATCAATTTATTTAAATACAACATCCTCTTCTGCTGCAACACGTGTGCACAACACAAACCCGAGTAATGAACATGTAAATATCTGCCATGTTGTCTCCGCCCGCACGTAGTTGTATAAGCTGTATTATTCTCTATTCTTTTATTATTTGAATATTCTTATATAACTAGCATTTGTTTATTCCATATTTATATATTTCTACATTATTTATGTCATCTGTATATCTGTCTGCTTCTAGCACCTTAACACCAAGGCAAATTACTCGTATGTGCAAAACACTACTTGGGAATGAAGCTCTTTCTGATTCTGATTCGAGTTTTATGCTGGTTGTGCCCGTTGATGACAGCGTTTCCTCAGCTTATGTTTTTATTGTCTCTTACTTTAAATTTCTGTGTCATTGTTGTCATCGTCTTTTGTTTTTACAACGTGAAGCACTTTGTGTTACATGGCTGAAGTAAAGATTGATCGATTGATTGATTGGTTGTTCTAAATGTACGTTTTGGGTTTGTGACCACTTCATTTCATTTTCATACACATTTACAATTTGAATGACTTCAAACTGACTTTCTGACTGTGTGTAATCTGTGGAAAACCTGTTCTGTTGTCAAACATATCCACTGATTCACGTTTAGAAATGGCTGAGTCAGACTCTGGAGCGGTTATCAGCCGGGTCCACAGATTGCTGATGGATCAAACTGCCCTGATAATGGATCCAGGTGAGCTCTGCTTCCAGTCAAAGGTCTCGTCCTCGGCAGCAGGTCAGCAGATCTCTATCAGAGACCCACAGTTACATATTAAACTGCTGAGGAGCTCCAGGTGTGCAGACAGGCCAGGCCCCCGGCTCAGCTGCAGTCAGTGTGAACGTGACGACGATGAGGATGGAGCTCCTTCTAGTCTTCACAGCGGTGGTCTGCGCCGCCGGGAAGCCGCTGAGCAAGGCGGCAGAGAGGAACAAGCTGCTGCTCATCTCCTTCGATGGCTTCAGGTGGGACTACGACCAGGACGTGGACACGCCGCACCTGGACCAGCTGGTGGAGGACGGAGTCAAAGCCAAATACGTCACCCCCCCAATGCTGACCATGACCTCCCCGTCCCACTTCACCACCATCACCGGTAACACAGCATCATCACCTTTCACACCTGCTGCACTTCTACAATTCAAAGTATTACTGTTCCAGTAATATCAGCAGTACATGTGAAATACACTAACTGGCACTGTCTGTACAGAGAGTACGTTATTAATCCAGAGGGACGTTTCTTTGGAAGCAAATCACAAAAATTTCAATATTTACTTCAGGTTGATGGAAAATATTTCACTGCTACAAATTCAATGTTATTTAAAGGTCAGTGTGAAATACTCAGGAATCAATCTAATATCCATAACTGTGTTTTCAGTGGTGTGGAAAGACCTCACATAATCAACCGTTATGTTTTTATTACCTTACAATGAGTCATTTCTGTCTACATCCACCGCTGCTCCTCTTACATGTTGCACGTAGAAAGATGATCGGTACGTTTGAGTTCATGCTGCGCTGCGCAGCGCTCACTTAACGTGATGCACGCTGGTGTGACAGAAGCCAGCGAGGCTGTGCAGTGAGTAAACTTCACTCCAAAGCAGCCTTATGGTGCTTTCAGACCAAAAGCGAAGTGAGCGTTCAGGGCAGTGAACGCGCCATCACAATTTGCAAAGACACGGGGTCAGCGACGTGAAGGAATTCACGTGAGTTGAATATTTTCAACTCAAGCGAGAAAGTCGCATGACGCTGAGTCGCGATAGCCTATCAGTGTTGAGATTGTCCAAACGTCACCGACGGCTTCAGAGCGTTGTGTGGAGAGCGCCGGGCAGAGCGGGGGATTGAAAATCTGCAGGCCGGCGGAGAGCTGCTAAACTTGGGGAGAGGAGCAGGGAGCAGCGCTGCAACCATTGGACAGAAAAAACCCCGTAGTCGGTCGGATTCTGCGGGAGGAGATCGGAGTTAACTGCTTTTATTAAATTACCTTTTTACTTTAGTTTTTGGGATTTCAACGTTGATTCATCTTCACTGGAGCTTCTCAGCAGCTTCCGTGCACATCCGGCTCCAGTGTTGTTGTTAGCGTCGTTAGCTCTGCCGGACTACGACTTCATATTTACATAAAAACCAGACAAAACTGGATGTTCAGTGGAAAAAAGAAAGAGAGGAGGTTGAACTACCTGGTGAGTTCAGAAAACATCTGTCTGTAACTTTATTCCAGCTGTCATTGTACTTTACTGTGAACAGGTTAGCGTAGCATAGCCCTGATCGAACCAAACTCCATTCAGAAAACAAACATTTTAAAAGTTGTTGTCCTGTGAATTTTAAGAGAGGCACTGGCGACCGATGCTGGTGCACGTGGGTTTTAGCCTCCTCGTCAGCGGTCGCCTGGTCAGCAGCCGGTTACTCTTGGTTAGAAATTGTGTCGGACTTTCGCCGGCGCTGCAAAACGTCACCATGTCACATGACATTAAAAAGGCGGCTGCAGTTGCTTTTCTCCTGCTGCAGCTCACGCTTGACTATCAAGTCGGCGAAAGTCAGCCGCAGTAATATCGAACGCACCTTAAGAAACAGCACAAGAAGAAACAGAAGAAGCAGCTTCTCCTACACGCGTGGAAAGGGAGGGATGGACTGAAGCGTTGGTTGCAATTCACAATCTCACCACTGGATGCTGCTACACACTGAACCTTTAATGTCAACAGTACGAATTAGTCGGTGTTTAAATTTTATTATTCAGTTGATTCTAAGATTAAATCATTTACTTTATCACTTTATCATTTTCTGTTTATTTAATTGATTCTGTCAATTGAAATCTTGCAGCAACCGAGCTGCATAAAACACAAAAAGAAAAAGAGGAAGGTCAGAAAACAGTAAAAATAAATTGTGAAAATAACTGAAATAACCATGAGGAAAGTTCCTTTAGTACACTGATGTCGATCTCTGCGCAGTAATTTCATTACTAATCAGGTGATGGTATTTGCTGAACATCATGAAGCGCAACTGTCCTTGGACATTAAACAATAATTAGCATTAGAACATATTTATACTCACAGGTGGAGGTAGATAGTAATAATGATACTAATAAAAGTACAAAGTGCAGTGTTGTATGCTTCTACACCTTTATAATAAGTAGTACACCACCACATTGGACTTGTACTCTACTTGTACTTCATGTTGTTGGCGTTGTTATACACACACACACACGCTAAGCTGGCTGTTCCATCGCAGATTTACAGTGGTCAGATTATGATAAGAGATCATTTATTATCCTGAAGTGAACGTTTTCTGGAGTCACATGTTGCTGCTTCCAGGAACACTGAGTGGGAAAAACAACACATTATTTCTCCTCATCATTAATGTAAAGCAGGATTTTACTGCAGTAGTTGTCAGACTGCAATAAATAATTATTTTCTTAAGGATTAGTTTGCTGATTATTTTCTCTGTTAATCGATCGTAAACATTCTGAAAATCAGTTTCCCCAAACTGACTCCTTCACAATGCCTGTTCTGAAATTAAATAAAAATTCTAAAGAAAAGCAGCAAATCTTCACCTGTGAACTTTGAATAGTTTTTACCTGAAAACTATGACTTAAACCATTATTAAAATAATTGCCAATTAAATTTCTGTCAATCAACAAATGTACTCGCTGTACTTGTATAAACTTTTGGGTAGTTTAAAAATGTGATGTTTTGTTAGAAGTTAAACTCTTTACAAAAGTAAAATAAGCTGTCAGATGAGTGAAGTGAAGTAAAAACTACAATATCTTCATCTGCAATGGAGCAGAAGTAGAAAGTGGCATGGTAAGAAAATAGAGGAATTTGTACTTTAATTAAGTACAGTACTTGAGTAAATATACTTTTATTTTTTTTCGTTTTTGTTAGTAATTGTTGTTTTTAAATCTCACATTTGATACTGATTTGTTTTTTAAATTAACTAATTTATTTTTAAACTTTTGTCGATTAATATACACACACACTTACGGTTTTATCCATTTATTATTTTAATTTTTTATTATTATAAACACACACACACACACACACTTACTATTTGATATATTTTCATTTTCTAACAGTTTTATTTATTTATTTTAACATTTATTTTTACTGAATTTTTACATTATATATTTTGTTATTTTATTTTTTATTAGCACACAAACACAACTTTACCGTTTTATTCACTTATTTAATGAAATGTATGAAATTAATTGTCCTTATTTAATTTACATGTAGCTTTGGCAATATTGTTGCTGTACATTCATGCCTATAAAGCTAATTTGAATTATTAAATCAATGCTTAATCTGATAAAAAAATCGTTTTGTTTGTTTTTTTGGTCAGTGATTCAGTGATCTGAAGATTTAAGCATGAAAACTGTTTTAGTTTTGGTTCTGGCTTGTGTGAACTGAGGTCATCTTGTAAAGCTGGACACAGTATGACGAAAATAACAAATGTCATTCATTCACTAAATTTCATTCACTTCCATTGTATTCACGTGGAGGCAGGAATCTCAGAATGATATCTGAAAACGGAGAAATTAAACCAGAACTACATCTGCAGAAGTTTGTTCAAGAGGTTTTTTTCTATGTTGGAAATTGATGGAAAATATAAAATGTTAAATGTCAATTTCTTCTGATGACCCTCATGAGGGTCTAAAGAGGACAACATTTTTTTTTGATTATTTAAAAGTACTGGACTTTCTGTTAATTTTTAGCTTTTCATTTTGAAATGTCTTGTTTCCCGTTTCCCAGGCCGATGGGTGGAGGATCACGAAGTCGTCCACAACATGATGTTTAACGCCAAGACGAACCTAAAAGTTACTCACAAGAAGACTCTGATCAGATCCGAATGGTGGGACAACGGAGTTCTGCCGTTATGGATCACAGCTCAGAACCAGGCGAGTGACCGATAACGACATAAACTAACTGTAGAGGAGGAAATATTACTGGCCTGAAGGATGATGAGCTACAGCAACAAAGATCCATTTTAAACTGAATAATAGTGTCAATAATAATGTCAATTTTATTTCTGTAGCACATTTAAAAACAAACAGTTGACCAAAGTGATGAACAGGGTCGAAGTCAGATACATAAATAAGTATAAAAATAACTACAGCCAAAGTGAATCACAGGGAAACAAAACAACACTTTAAGACATCACCAGGTTAACGAAGGTTAAAAGCTGCTGCAAATAGGTGCGTCTTAAGCAGCGATTTAAACGTTTGTAGGGGCAGTGCAGCTTTAATATGCACGGGGAGGCTGTTCCACAGGACAGGGGCGCCCACTGCAAAGGCTCCATCGCCCTTATTCTTTAGCTTTTATCTCGGGACATCGGAGAGCAGCTGATTTGTTGACCTCAGTGTTCTGACCGGAGAGTGGTGGCGTAAGAGATCAGCCAGATAAGGTGGCGCCAGACCATTTAGGGCCTTAAAAACAAGCTATAAAATCTTATAATCTATCCTATGACGGACAGGTAGCCAGTGGAGGGAGGCCAAGACAGGCGTTATGTGTTCACGCTTATTTGTTTTAGTTGAAAGGCGAGCAGCTGCGTTTTGGACCAACTGGAGGCGATTTAAAGATTTCTGATGTAGACCCATGGAGAATGAATTACAATAATCCAGCCGAGCAGTAATAAAAGCATGCATGACTTTTCTAGGTCTTTGGGAGGAAGATAAGACTTCTAGCTGAAGTAAAGGCCTAACTGGAAGAAGCTGGTCTGATTTGCTTATTGAACGTGAACGAGGTGTCAAAAATAACACCAAGATTTTTAATAGAGGATTGATTTTGGAAGGCTAAGGGGCCCAAAGTGCCAAGAGGGTCACCCGGTACGTCTAAACGTCCACACGTGATGAAGTTTTAAAAACACATCTGATTTAATTGATCACCATGAACACACACTGTAGTTTACTGCTGCCCCTCACAAGAGCCCCAAATGTAAGACTGCTGAAAATAGTCCCCAACAAATGCACTAAAAAGTCAGATGTTATTGAGCGGTGGACTAAAACATTGTTGGTTTGGCACCTGGACCAATTTAAAATATGGACTCCTAATATGGTAGGGGGCCCACTACACAGACTATGATGTTTAGCTCAATTGATTTCTTGTGGACACGAATAAATACCAGCAGTACATGACGCTGCTCTTTATCAGGAAATTCAGCAGCTCTTATCTGATGAAACAGTCTCTTCACTCCTGGTTCCAACAGTAAAGCACCACACCATGATAATCACCAACAAACACACCAGATTCTAAGGAGACACGTTTTAATAAACACAAGTCATAACATTTAACATTTAACATCGTAACATTTGTATTTCAAACAAATGGCAAACTTAGCACATTTTAACAAAACTCCCTTCACCCTCTTGCATCATGGGAATTCTGTGGGAGGGGCGTAGGCTGCGTGTGCGCAGTGGGTTATTTACACAGTCAACTTCCACTGGAAGTGTAGCTGCCCCTCGTTCATGACTTGTTTTTAATTGTCCTTTTCGTGCTTTTACTACCTTCTTCAAAGCTCTCGTTCCTCGTCTTAACAGGTGCATCTAGCAACTACAGTGTTTTGCCTGCCGGATTTAGCCGACATGTTTTAGATTTTGTTGATTTGGTGATTCGTGCTTGCTTATTGTGCTTCTACTATGATTAATTATGCTACGTAGTAAAAATATTTTGTGTCTTTTTTGTCTGATTTAGCTGTTTTTATTGTTGATAAACGGGTATTTTATTTTGAAAATTGACCGAATTCTGTGCCGTTTCTGTGTCCGACTTCCTGCCTGGTTCATCTGTGCTGTGCTGCTTGACGCTGCGGTGCTTCTGGGACGCACTGCAGTGCTTCAGGTGTGAGCACAAACATTTAGTAGAATGGCTGCGATCAATGGACTTTCGGAGTGAGTCATGTAAACTTGGTTTAAAAGACTTTGTAGCAGGTGGGCCCAGTGATGAAGCCCCGCCCCCACTGTGCTGAGTCTAGCTCCGCCCCCGGCTTCTTGCCAATTTTTTTGTTGTAAATCAGCTATAATCAATATTTTTATACTAACAAAATGACCACATGACTATTTCATGGATGATTACTTAATGGAGGAAGCCAGGTTATCAAATTTCTTATTAACTTCTGAGGAGTACAAGATTATTTGATTTTTCTTCAGAAAGACAGAAGCCTGTCATCTGCATAGCAAAGTAAAAGAAAGTAAAGAAATGATGATTATTCATCCAAGTGGAAGCAAGTCGTTACTGAAGGAGACCTAAGACAGAACCTTGAGGTACTCCGCAGCAGATAATGTTAAATTACCAATCACAAATAGTGTCTGCAACTCCTCATGCTTCTTTACCAATACCAATGTGAAAATAATGTGAAAGGTGTCCCTAGTAGTGACGAAACAACAATTATCACCCGCCTCTGTAGCTTCTCGGCTTTACGGAGCTCTACAGCGACTTTCAGCTTTCCAGCTGCAGCTTTCCTGTTCTGGTTCACTCTCAGCGTGAGTTGTAGTATAAGTAATATTAACATGTCAGTGTTTATAGCTTGTTTCCTGTTTCTTGTGGTTTCAGGGTCTAAAAACCGCGTCCTTCTACTACCCGGGAGGCGCAGCCAACTACAGCGGCCAGGCGGTCAACCGTGTGCTGGTTACGGAGGCTGGCCACCCGGATGACAACGAGACTGAGTGGCGTCAGAACATCGACAAGGTAATGAGCTGGTTCTCCGATGAAGACTTTGACCTGGTGACGCTGTACTACGGCGAGCCGGACAACGTGGGCCACGCCAAGGGGCCGGACCACCCGGACAGGAAGAAGATCATCCAGCAGATTGACCGCACCATCGGCTACCTGAGGGAGGCCATCAATCTCCATAACCTGAACGACAGCCTGAATGTCATCATCACCTCAGACCACGGCATGACCACCGTCAAGAAGCGACCGCAGGTGGACGAGATCATCCTCAACAAATACCTGAACTTGCTCAAGCTCACCAGCTTTGAGATACTCGACTACGGCGGGTTTGGCATCCTGACGCCGCGGCCGGGGATGGAGCAGGAGGTGTTTGACGCTCTGTCCAAGGCGCCCAATCTGACGGTCTACAAGAAAGACAAGCTTCCTGAGAGCTTCCACCTCGCCAAAAGTAAGCGGCTGCCTCCCATCGTGGTTGTCGCAGATCTGGGATTCAACCTTAACTCTGTGAGTTTCCTGGATTTTAACCCAAAACCTCACTTAGTATCAGATCATGTTTCTACCTTTTAGTGTCAAATTTTGGTTTTGTCTTCATCCTCAGTTTGATTCTCCAGAGACACCAAAGTACATGATCAAGGTCCTAACAGATCGGCCCAATAGGCGCCCTCAGGCTGATTCCTAGGCAAAATACCCAAAAAAACACCAGGACACAAAGAAGCACTGAATAATGATGAATAATGAAATCAAATTCAAAATGTTGGCTGCTACATCCAGAAAAGAAAATGTCACGACTTAAACTACAGCTCCATTTGTACATCAGCAGCAACACAAACGACTGTCAGTGAGTTCAGAGGGCAAAGCAGCCAGAAAAATGAAGGAAGACGAAACTGCAGCAGACAAACACTCCAATTTTTCTGATTCTGTTTCTTCATCCGTTTGTTTCCCACCAGAGATTCATCGTCTACGTCAACAAAGGCGATCACGGCTACCATAGCGGAGAGATGGACATGAAGGCCATCTTCAGGGCCTTCGGACCAGACTTTAAGCAGAACTTCGTGTCCGAGCCGTTCGACAGCATCCACGTCTACCCTCTGATGTGTAAACTGCTGCAGATCGAACCGGCGCCGCACAACGGATCACTGGCTGTGACGGAGAACCTGCTGCTGCACAGCAGTGAGTCCGACAAAAGAAAATATTACTACTGTTTTGATGCTACTTGAGTATTTTAACTTTATACTTCTACTCCATAATATTTATCGAAGAGCTGCAGTTATTGGTTACTTTTCAGATTAAAATATCAAATTAAAAACATGGTAAGATTACAAAATAAATGGGAAGGTTCCCAACTATTAAGTCTTGTGAATGCTAATATAAAATGAGTATGTACATTTGTCTCCTCGTCGTGATCCAGATGTCTTGAGTTTTTGTCAGTTCCAAAGAGACATTTACTCTCTAAACTTTAGATAGCTTCATTTTAATAACTGTTCAAACGATCCAATATTTCACGCAAAAAAAAATAATCTAATATTAGAAAAAGTAAAAAAAAAAAAAAAAAGAAACAGAACTTTTCTTCTTTCATCGCCCATTGATCATCACACAATCCCCTAGTTTTAACTGGTGACCCTTTGGAGGGACCTGACCCCAAGATTAGGAACCCCTGGACTATACTGTTTATAAAGTAGTTTAAAACTAGCCAACGTTAACCGTTTATATAGTAGTTTAAAACGAGCCAACGTTAACCGTTTATATAGTAGTTTAAAACGAGCCAACGTTAACCGTTTATATAGTAGTTTAAAACGAGCCAACGTTAACCGTTTATAAAGTAGTTTAAAACTAGCCAACGTTAACCGTTTATAAAGTAGTTTTAAGGTTGGCTCGTTTTAAGGTTGGCTAGTTTTACTGTTTATAAAGTAGTTTAAAACTAGCCAACGTTAACTGTTTATAAAGTAGTTTAAAACTAGCTAATGTTAACTGTTTATAAAGTAGTTTAAAACTAGCCAACGTTAACCATTTATAAAGTAGTTTTAAGGTTGGCTAGTTTTACTGTTTATAAAGTAGTTTAAAACTAGCTAATGTTAACTGTTTATAAAGTAGTTTAAAACTAGCCAACGTTAACCATTTATAAAGTAGTTTTAAGGTTGGCTCGTTTTAAGGTTGGCTAGTTTTACTGTTTATAAAGTAGTTTAAAACTAGCTAATGTTAACTGTTTATAAAGTAGTTTAAAACTAGCCAACGTTAACCATTTATAAAGTAGTTTTAAGATTGGCTCGTTTTAAGGTTGGCTAGTTTTACTGTTTATAAAGTAGTTTAAAACTAGCTAATGTTAACTGTTTATAAAGTAGTTTAAAACTAGCCAACGTTAACCATTTATAAAGTAGTTTTAAGGTTGGCTCGTTTTAAGGTTGGCTAGTTTTACTGTTTATAAAGTAGTTTAAAACTAGCCAACGTTAACTGTTTATAAAGTAGTTTAAAACTAGCTAATGTTAACTGTTTATAAAGTAGTTTAAAACTAGCTAATGTTAACTGTTTATAAAGTAGTTTAAAACTAGCTAACGTTAACCGTTTATAAAGTAGTTTTAAGGTTGGCTAGTTTTACTGTTTATAAAGTAGTTTAAAACTAGCCAACGTTAACTGTTTATAAAGTAGTTTAAAACTAGCTAACGTTAACCGTTTATAAAGTAGTTTTAAGGTTGGCTAGTTTTACTGTTTATAAAGTAGTTTAAAACTAGCCAACATTAACTGTTTATAAAGTAGTTTAAAACTAGCCAACGTTAACCGTTTATAAAGTAGTTTAAAACTAGCCAACGTTAACCGTTTATAAAGTAGTTTAAAACTAGCCAACGTTAACCATTTATAAAGTAGTTTTAAGGTTGGCTCGTTTTAAGGTTGGCTAGTTTTACTGTTTATAAAGTAGTTTAAAACTAGCCAACGTTAACTGTTTATAAAGTAGTTTAAAACTAGCTAATGTTAACTGTTTATAAAGTAGTTTAAAACTAGCTAATGTTAACTGTTTATAAAGTAGTTTAAAACTAGCTAATGTTAACTGTTTATAAAGTAGTTTAAAACTAGCTAACGTTAACCGTTTATAAAGTAGTTTAAAACTAGCTAACGTTAACCGTTTATAAAGTAGTTTTAAGGTTGGCTAGTTTTACTGTTTATAAAGTAGTTTAAAACTAGCCAACATTAACCGTTTATAAAGTAGTTTAAAACTAGCTAACGTTAACCGTTTATAAAGTAGTTTAAAACTAGCCAACATTAACTGTTTATAAAGTAGTTTAAAACTAGCCAACGTTAACTGTTTATAAAGTAGTTTAAAACTAGCCAACGTTAACTGTTTATAAAGTAGTTTAAAACTAGCTAACGTTAACTGTTTATAAAGTAGTTTAAAACTAGCCAACGTTAACCGTTTATAAAGTAGTTTAAAACTAGCCAACGTTAACCATTTATAAAGTAGTTTTAAGGTTGGCTCGTTTTAAGGTTGGCTAGTTTTACTGTTTATAAAGTAGTTTAAAACTAGCCAACGTTAACTGTTTATAAAGTAGTTTAAAACTAGCTAATGTTAACTGTTTATAAAGTAGTTTAAAACTAGCTAATGTTAACTGTTTATAAAGTAGTTTAAAACTAGCTAATGTTAACTGTTTATAAAGTAGTTTAAAACTAGCTAACGTTAACCGTTTATAAAGTAGTTTTAAGGTTGGCTAGTTTTACTGTTTATAAAGTAGTTTAAAACTAGCCAACGTTAACCGTTTATAAAGTAGTTTAAAACTAGCCAACGTTAACCGTTTATAAAGTAGTTTAAAACTAGCCAACGTTAACTGTTTATAAAGTAGTTTAAAACTAGCCAACGTTAACTGTTTATAAAGTAGTTTAAAACTAGCCAACATTAACTGTTTATAAAGTAGTTTAAAACTAGCCAACGTTAACTGTTTATAAAGTAGTTTAAAACTAGCCAACGTTAACCGTTTATAAAGTAGTTTAAAACTAGCCAACGTTAACCATTTATAAAGTAGTTTTAAGGTTGGCTCGTTTTAAGGTTGGCTAGTTTTACTGTTTATAAAGTAGTTTAAAACTAGCCAACGTTAACTGTTTATAAAGTAGTTTAAAACTAGCTAATGTTAACTGTTTATAAAGTAGTTTAAAACTAGCTAATGTTAACTGTTTATAAAGTAGTTTAAAACTAGCTAATGTTAACTGTTTATAAAGTAGTTTAAAACTAGCTAACGTTAACCGTTTATAAAGTAGTTTTAAGGTTGGCTAGTTTTAAGGTTGGCTAGTTTTACTGTTTATAAAGTAGTTTAAAACTAGCCAACGTTAACTGTTTATAAAGTAGTTTAAAACTAGCCAACGTTAACTGTTTATAAAGTAGTTTAAAACTAGCTAACGTTAACTGTTTATAAAGTAGTTTAAAACTAGCCAACGTTAACCATTTATAAAGTAGTTTTAAGGTTGGCTCGTTTTAAGGTTGGCTAGTTTTACTGTTTATAAAGTAGTTTAAAACTAGCTAATGTTAACTGTTTATAAAGTAGTTTAAAACTAGCTAATGTTAACTGTTTATAAAGTAGTTTAAAACTAGCTAACGTTAACCGTTTATAAAGTAGTTTTAAGGTTGGCTAGTTTTACTGTTTATAAAGTAGTTTAAAACTAGCCAACGTTAACTGTTTATAAAGTAGTTTAAAACTAGCTAACGTTAACCGTTTATAAAGTAGTTTTAAGGTTGGCTAGTTTTACTGTTTATAAAGTAGTTTAAAACTAGCCAACGTTAACTGTTTATAAAGTAGTTTAAAACTAGCTAACGTTAACCGTTTATAAAGTAGTTTTAAGGTTGGCTAGTTTTACTGTTTATAAAGTAGTTTAAAACTAGCCAACATTAACTGTTTATAAAGTAGTTTAAAACTAGCCAACATTAACTGTTTATAAAGTAGTTTAAAACTAGCCAACGTTAACTGTTTATAAAGTAGTTTAAAACTAGCTAATGTTAACTGTTTATAAAGTAGTTTAAAACTAGCTAATGTTAACTGTTTATAAAGTAGTTTTAAGGTTGGCTAGTTTTACTGTTTATATAGTAGTTTAAAACTAGCTAACTACTCGAGCACAAAAGTACAATGTTTACACAATTTTTTTGGAGGCTTAATAAATTGTTGTTTGATAAAACTCTAGTGGGTTAAATGATGATAAAGTCTGTTTAGGATATTTATTGAAGTAGTAAAATGCAGGAACACATCTCGCTTAGTAGTACCAGTAGTAATCATAGTACTATGATTTCACCAGATTACTTCATTGATAGATGGACAGTGGTGTAGTGCAGCAACATAAACCGTAAATGTGGTTTGTTTTCAGGTGGATCCCAGAGAACTCAACTGTCCGTCGCTCTGCTGCTGTCCATGCTGATCTTCATGTTCACTGTGCTGCTGTAACAGATCCAGGATCAGCTTCCACCTCCTCATCTGAAACATTATGGATTGTAATAATTTCTTAATGTTTACCATGTTGATGTCGAAGACTTTCACAGCTTCCGTCAGTGTTGCTCAGGAAGCTTTTTCTTGGATTTATGTGTCATTATATTATTATTATTATTGAGTATTTTATGTTTAGTTTTTTCCCCCTATATATTACAGCTGCACAGCGAATACTTCAGTAAAAATGTTTCACCTCTAAAACATGTTTTTTTATGATGTCCGTGGAGATGAGTGTCAGTTAGGGAAAGGATCAAGGCCACATATGAAAAATTTATAGATTTTAATGTCAGAATTCTGACATTTGAGTTTTTCCTCAGTGTTGACTTTAAATTCAGAACTCAAATACATTTTTTTCTTCCACATGTTCCACACATAATTCTTCTGTAGTCACTAGGTCTGCTAAGTTAAATGCAAATACATTCAAATTTGATGTTAAATATTTTATTTCCCAGTATATTATTTACTGCAGTGCTCAAGGTCCTTTTATTAACTAGGTTGTGCAGTATAAGTGACTTGGTCCTCAGTTTTCACCGTTTCAACAACCACAAATCAGATTATTATCGTTTAATAAAGTGTCACATCTCAAAGACTCGTTATCGTCGTCACCAAACTGATTTTATTGAAACTTTAAGTAGAAACTATGAAGACAGCGGCTGTGACGTCATTCAATCGGCCACTGCAGGCAACAGGGTGAGGCACAACAGTGATCTCTCTCACACACAAACACACACACTGAAACACTCACAGACACATTCACAACTTAAATCAGCATAACGGATTAAATAAAAACTCCTTCCTGCGTTGGACCTGTCGGAGGTGAAGAGCCTCGTCTGCTTCGTTAAAGCAGAAACGGAACATTTAAAACGATGAAATTAAGTTTCAGATCATCAGTCTGGAGAATCAGTCGTCCACCGAGTCTGTGTTTCGGTTCGACGCTTCAGCAGCCAATCAGAGTGCAGCGGAGGAGAACCGCCTGAGTAAAAAAAAAATAAAAATACCAACCAAAGAAACCTGAGGAAGCTGTTTCCAAAAAGTGGCGGCCATATTTGCTCCCAGTGGTGGAGTCTCCGTGTTTCACCATAAAACGATGAGAAAATAAAAACGTTCACCTTCGTCCGAGAAAACTGAGGATGAGAAGTATGACACGGGGCGAGGCGAAGCCTGATTGGTCCTCCTGTGACCTTTGACCTCAGTTCAGAGAAGATGGAGGGCTGCAGTAACCCCTCAGCAACTGCAGCCACGTCCTCAAACAGCGCTGCCCGATGGTGGTGAGCGGCGGGGGATCATAGCAGCGTGTCCTCGTTCACGACTCTGCGACCGTCCTCGGTCTCCACGTTTATCCGGACGCTCTGCAGCTTCTCCTGGCTGGAAGACACAACGGCAACAACGGGATGAGAAATCTTTGTTTTATTTATCAGTCTTACTGAATTACTTACTTATTATTGGGTATTAAAGGTCCAGTCTTTAATATTTCTGAGGATAAAAGCGTCACCTAAATGAGTAAATGTAAATGTCCACAACTGTTTTTTCTGTAGTGTAAAATGAACAGTTATGTTTTTATTAATCTCTGGAATCTCTGGGAACCTCACGATTCGATTCTGATTCAGCTGCGATGCGATTATAAAACAGTCCAAGTTGGGAGGGGCCACTCGAACCCCCCCCAATATTGAAAGTATTAGTTTGGCCCAGACTAACAGACACACAAACAGCGTCCTGCAGCGGCTGACCGGTCGGCCTGCGCGGTCGCGGATCATTATAAAAGATTAGAAACTGAAAAATGTCAGTATTTAGGGACATTAAACCGGTTTAATGTAAGAAAAGCCACATGAGACTGCAGGCTAATTGGTTGGCCCTTCTCTTGCTTCTCCACAATCTAACGTTAGCTAGTTTAGAAAATAATAAATTATTGCTTCAGCACCCTAAAAATGGTCTAAAATCGCCCCTGCTGCTGATGGAGAAAGTCAGCAGAGCAGGAACATACAGGGAGAGAGAGACAGGAAGAGGCGGGGCCAGCAGGTGTGTTTGCAGCAGAGGTTTAGGCCGGAGGGGAAAGAGAGCAGATTCAATGAGGCTACTGAGTAAACACTGAAATGAAGGTAGAATTAAAATGTTTAAATAAGAAATAACCTACGCTACCAGAAACAGAAATACATAAATAAATGTCTCCGTACAAACTTTTATTGTCTAATCTCACTCCTTCCTGCGACCATCTGTTCACACTGTCCAACCAGGAAACGTGACTCAGCGCACGCACACACACACGTTGGTTTGTTTTCCCGAGTCATTATTGCTTTTGTAGTTCAGAGTGAGCGGACCAATCACAAAGAGCCTCAGCAGATGTCGTCGCCGGTGGGTTTACCTGTTGCAGCGTTTCAGAGCTCTGCTGCTGTCGGGGTTCATGGACTTCCAAATGCCGCTTTTGGCCATTTCATCCGAGATGTTCACCTCTGATGGGTCCATGCTGCACGACACAAACACACGTTACTTTCTGCTGCAGGATCCGTTTACAGGCTCTACACCGTCCTGATTCAACTCACCGTTTCAGGGTTTTGATCGGGAAGTTCATTCCTCCATCGTACGGCTGATCGTCCTCCGCCTCCTCCAGCATCCGCAGAGCGTTCTAGAAAGATAAGGAACAAAGACAATGTGTCAGAGAGAAGCAGGGTCACGTTGTTTTTAGAGTTTCAGTTCCGAGACTCACCTCCTTCTCCCTCTTCTTCTTGTCATCTTCCTTCTTCTTCTTGCTCTCTGGTATCAGGTCGTCCAGGTAGCTCAGCTCTCTCTTGGTGAAGCAGAAATCCAGAAGCTTACGGATGAACACCAGAGCCAGAACCTGCAGGGGACCGTGAGAAGAGATGTTGGGCTACTTTCTGCTTTCACAGTAGTGGAAAGAAAACGTCCAAAATACACATTTAGTAGTTTATTTTACTGTTTACTGTTTGTCTCTGTGCGTCGGTAGATTTCTCACTGCATGTCCTCCAACAGTCTGTCGGATCCAAATATGGTCATTTCCTTTCTACCAGCAACCAATTGTGAGAACTACTAAGGCGGATTTAGACTAAGCATCAAATCTAATTGGCTCTTGTCGATTTCAGACCATGTGATTGGTTTCAACGTGGCGTTATTTTGACGCTTTGTTATATGTTGTTGAGGATCTGATTCGATATTGGCTCTGTAAACATTGACTTTCAATGAAAAATGTATGGATTTTTATGGAATACTTTATCTTTAAAAGTCATTTTTCCAGCAGCTCTTACAGACACCAAACTCTCCAGATTTATTCCTGACTGTCTTCTGAAGGTTTTTACAGAGGGGTTTGTTCATTTTTCATTTTAACAACATTTTATTCTCCAAAACAGGTCGAAAATTTATCTGTATGCCCGTTGACAGTATTTTCTGATTCATGAAATAATAAAGAGAGATATTTTAAATCCCCTCTGTAAAAACTTTTGATTCTAATGTGTCGACACAATAAAACCATAATTTTGAATCTTCGGATGTCAGTTCTTGAAATAGATGCAAATTAGCGCATATTTCATTAGATTCTGCCTCATTTGCATATAACATGATATTTCAGAAAACCTGTAATACAAAAAAATTATTCTCTTAAAGTGAGTAATCAATGAAGTTTCATGGTGATCTCTGCTACACTTTTTACCCTGTTCGCCTGCACAGTCTCGCCTTAAGCATTAATAAAATAAAACATCTCGGTCGTCTCCGTCTGTCTCACCATCATGGGGAAGACAACAGCGGCGGCCGAGGCCTTGATGGTCCAGAGGACGATGAGGCAGGACAGCTGCACCACGGTGAAGATGTGGACCTTCCACAGAGGGACGTAGCGCAGGTAGATCAGGTCCGGCTGGTGTTTGGACGGCATGCCGAACAGTTTGATGCGGTCGAACAGCTGCAGGACGGACAGACGGACATCAGAGACACTGAAACACAGACTGCTGATGGTCTAGCAGGACGGACGGACACTGTGACAGACCTGAATGCCTTTGAGCGAGGACACTCCCATGTAGAGGAAGACGCCGTACAGGACGGGCATCGGGATGAACTGAAGGACAAAATGAAACTTAAAGTTAGATGGAAACCTCTACAGAGAACTGATGAAGCAGCTGCATAATGCAGATAACGCCGGCTGCACACTAGATGATAACTGGGCCACTTTGGGGCCAGAGTCGCCCTCCTGACAGTCGCGGTGGCGTTCCCAAGCCAAACTGTTGCAGCTTGCCCAAAATGAAAACAAAAAAGTTACACGAGCAGTGTGCAGCTGGGATTATTCCTCTGACTATAATCGTACCAATAAAATCTGTAACCGTTGCGTCCCTATTCATCAGACCAACATGATGGTGTTCACCTTGAGGGCGGAGGTCATGAAGACGGAGCAGCCCATCAGGACGAAGATCATGAAGCCCGTGACTCTCTGCTCTCTGATGCCCAGGAACTTTGGCTGCTCGCCCGGCGCCGCGCACTCCGACTCCAGTTTCAGACTGTTGACGTGGGAGATGGAGAGCACGGTCGCCGCCACGAACCACGGCAGGCCCATGATGGAGCACACACCCAGCATCACCGCCACCACCAGCAGGTCCAGGTGGTAGCCACAGCCTTTCTGCAACCAAAACACACACAGCGAGGGAGAGTTTATCGTCCAGCTGCTCCGTCAGAGACAAACCGGTCTGTGTTCGCCTCCTACACTCCGCGGTCCTCACCTTCAGTTTGTTCTCCTTCCTGTTGACGATGACGGCGGAGATTTGCTGGTCCATGAAGATGAGGATGGTGCACAGCAGAGCCGGGACGGCGGCGACCAGCAGCGTCCACCAGGGGTTCGGTCCCAGCGGTGAGATCAGCCACCCTCGAGTGCTCGACGTGGGCTGAACAGACAAACAGCAGTGTTAGAACGTTTTACCAACGCTCTTCTTCTTGTCATCTTGTAGGTGGTGGGCGTGTCCACTGGGGTTTGGGCAGAAGTGATAGTGGGGTATTTGTTTGCCTCACCAGTTCACCTGTGTTTTTTGGGCTTTGACAGAGAGGGGCGGTGAGCCTGGGAGCCAACACTTTCTGTTGACCGCACTCACGCAGGAATTTTATGACTTGGTAACTGTAGTACCAGTTGTAGAGTTGAACAGCCAGGCTTTATCACCCAGAATAAGGTTTATTGCAGAGTAAAGTAAGTGCATAATTAGTGCATAAATAAGAATTATATAAAATAAAAGCAATAGAAAGCAAGTATTGTAACCACAAATAATAATAAAGTAACAACATGTTTATTTTTTAAGTTTCACAAGTCAAGGACTTTCAGGAGCCAGATGTCTCTTCACTTGATTTAAATTACTCAAATGTGCTGACAGAATAACAGCAGTACGAACATTTAAACTATCACAGCTGTGTTTTCCTCTGCTATTGTTGCTGCAGAGGTCTGTGTGACAGCGGGACCAGAGGGCTCTGTGAGCGGACGGCTAGCCGGCCTCGCTAGCTCCTCCCGCCAGTTGGCGCGAGCTTCCCCCGCCGCCACTCCGTAAATGGCGGAGTTGAGAAGCACATTTTTGATCCACAATCACTTTTCGTAAAACGGTCAATATTTGACATCTACACATTTGATTTCTTGCCTCAAAACGTCTCAGAAGTGGATTTAGTGATGAAATCGTGTACGAAGCGTTCTGTTGTCGGCCTCTCTCTCATAAACCCAATCATCAATAGTCCACTAAAGTCCAGTTGCCCTTGATTTTAACCTTCGTTGGATAACTATGACCTGGATGACTGAGAATCTTCATAAATGCAGTTTTCTTTAACTAACTTCAGTCCATGCAGTGAGACTTGAAGCAAACAGAAGCTCATATATAGCTGAAGGAGCTACTGAATATACATCACTGTGTCGTCCACGTAAAGGTGTAATTTAGCAGTTTGCAACTCCTTCCCAATATTATTGGTGTTTACCAGTTGTAAACTTTGACTCTGCAGTAAAAAATATTGGGACAGACTTTAAAAATGTGTTACAGACATTCAGCCTCACCAGAGGGTGAATTCTAATGACTTTGGTGAATGTATAACGTTTCCTTTAGCGCCACCAGCAGGTGAAACTTTTCACTTGAGTCCATCCTGAACGAGTAGTATGTAGCTGCAGTACCGGAGGCTGCAGTTTCAGGACCCCCGAATCATATTTCAGCCAATCGTGTGGTTCCACTGATGTAAGGTGATGTCTTTTTTACCTTTAAAATGCATGCGTGGAAGCGGTGACGCATGCATAGTAAAGTAAAGCTTTTTAAACCTTATTTGGGGCAAAGTTACCAAACTCTTTCAGCGATTTTTATCAGATTTAAATGCTGACTCTAGTCATGTAGTTTTTATGTCCCGGTGACCAGTAAAAGTGCAGTTCTGGCCCTCTCCCCATTCATTTAGAAAGGAGCCTGGTCTTGTTAGTCCAAAATAGCTGCTCAGATGGCGGCTGAGTGGCAGGACTTTCCTAAAAGGACTTTGTTCTTGCTGAAGACATACATTTTTAAAAACAGCTCACAGATATAGTTTCATTTGAAAAACAAAAGGCTCGGTCATTTTATCAAAATCTCAGTTTTAATCAAACTTTAATCAAAAAAGGAGGAAACAGCATTTGTTGGGAACCATTTTCAGTGGTGGATTAATCCACATTTGGGGTTTGAATTGGTGTTTTTGTGTGTGATCGTACATTTTGAGGTGGTTGCTCTTCATTTTTGGACCCGGCAACAGAAGAAACTGACCTAAAAACCCACCTGTCCAAAGTGTGGTGTAACCTAAAAACCCAAATAAAGCAGCAGACCACACTGAGCAAACAGCTGCTGAGGGTGTTTCTCATTCAGCAGAACTGAATCTGATCAGCTTTAACATCGGGAAACAAAATCTTCTATTACAAACCTAGATTTTTTGTAAAACAGTATAAAAATTGATCAGTTCGTTTAATGTTAACCCGACACTTAAACAAGTTTAATCAAAATACGGTCTACTGATTTATAGATTCCCAACAGAAACACACGCGACAGTCGGGTGTTACCTCAAAGCGGTCGGGTACGTGGAGCTTGGGTGAAGGAACTCCGACCAGATAATCCACCAACACCATGATCATGATGGTCAGAAACACGGCAAAGTCACTGATGGTGGATCGGACCTGCAGACACAAAACATGCAAACGTCACACAATAAAATGTGATCATTTCCAACCAGAGACGGATTCATTCGGGTGGCAGCGTGTTTTCGAGCTCCTTTGAAGAAATTTAGATCTTAATCTAATCCTTTTTAACACACACATTTACTGTTTTATTTATTTTTAATACATATATTTTTTGTTATTATTTTTATTTTTTATTTTATTAAGTGATTAATGAGCTGTATAAAATGAATTGTTCTTTTGCAATTCTGTTTTACATTCATGCCAAAACAGCTAGATTGAATTGAAAATCCATTTCAAAGGAGCTTTAATCACCCTCACTCGTCTTTAATGTTCGGGATTACCACTAAAACACCAAAAAGACCAAATGCATTCAATTGAATTTTAGGGAAATGCACATTTGTTATTTGATTGAATGGTTCAGCGGGGTAAGAACATAGTCAACTGATTATTTACAATCCATCGTTAGCTCGGTCAGTAGTGCACAGGGCACCTGTTGTTAGAAGGGGTGTTTGTTCAATCTCCACTTGCCGCTAGGATTATTTTTCTCCATTATCAACGAATTATTGATTGATGAAGAGATCGTTTTACATGTTCACAATTAAGCTTGTGCAGGAGTCTGTGCCTCCCGGTGATTGGTCCATATCAACCTAAGGACGCTTATTTTCTGACCGCTCTTTCAGAGGTGTGTCAGGCAAGCCAAACTCTTGAATTTCCTTCAGAACGTAAGAAAGTAAAAGCTCTCAATTAAAGAGGACATAAAGTAGCCTTCTACTGCAAAGCCTTTCTAGAGCTTTTATTCTGTAGGCACAGTCTGTTAAGAGGAAGTGATTAGGTGAGTAACTTTTGCTGTCATGACTGAGCTCTGTTTCAGCACCAGCTGCTATAATGTTTTATTTTTTGCCGCTATCAAAGTAATCTGTCCGGGGGTCAGATATTACTGCGGGGCGAGCCAGCTTTGGCCCGTGGGCTGCCTATTGCCGACCACTGCTTTAAGGGGGGAAAAAAAGAGGAGGCTTGGTTTGAATATTTATCTCAATACAAGTATTGTGTAAAAAAAAGACACACATTAAATGGCACATGTAGTTTTCTGAAGAATATAATTTCCCCCAGGAAATTTCTCCCTCCCTTACATTTCTTTTATATTCCTTTTGCCTTCTGGGCAATTTGTGCAACTGTGACACAGAATTTTCCCCTCGGGGATCAATGAAGTATTTCTGCTCTGATAAAAATATTTGCATTACCTTTGTGTACCAAAAGGTTATCTTCATATTTTAAATTCAACATCTTAAATCTCATTTCAGGGGTCAAATTGTAAATATCTGCAGAGATATTATGTGCAGATCTTAATGTCCGTATCAAAGATTGTTCAGTCATGATAACATGAAACTCGAGTTTAAACATTTATCGACACGCAGATCTGCTGAGACTGTGTGGAGGACGGACAGATACGGACCTTTGTGGGGAAGTATCTCTTGGTCTTGAACTGTTTGAAGAAGGAGGAGAGGAAGAAGGTGGTGAAGAAGAGGATGATGGACCAGAAGAGGACGTCGGGGACGTAGGGGCCGTGCGGGCTGCAGGCCGAACCGACAAACTCGCCGCGTAAATCCACACAGTCCTGCAGACGGAGAGAGAGAGAATTTTAAAGAGCTGCAGTTCCTCTTACGTCCACAAGATGCTGCTGTGGTCCGACTGTAGTGAAGGGAGAAAACCTCCAAGTCAGCTCTCTCATCAGATTCAGTGTGTTTAAGGAGGAGTAAAAAGACTTGTGACAGACCTTCACACTCAGCTGTTCCCACTGGATGTTTTCTGAGCTGATGTTTTTCTTGCTCCACATCTGGAGGACGTCAGCTGAGGCGTTTGCAGGCGGAGAACACTGACACCTGCAACAGAGCAGCAACAGGTGAGTCAGGTACACGCTACGTGAGCGTTTGATTCACCGATTTGATCCGTTGACCCCTTTAGATCTGAATGACCTTTACCACGGGCAACAGTCGAGCGAGGACTCCTGCACAAAATAAGGGATGCCTTCCGGAGCGGGGGCCAGGCCACTTGGGGGCCCGATGGTGTGCCAATGGTGGTATATCATAACTTTAAACATATTTTCAGGAAAGTATTCAGATTGATACCAACGGATGTTAAAATAAGCTGTCTGCTATTGAAATCATAAATAATATATCTACAAACATTTCTCAATTTAATTCAACGCCATTTTTTTGATTGGTCAGTAAATCTATTTATGTTTTCAGTTTTTATTCAGCCTGTTGTTAATTCTACAGTATTGAAGGATGCAATAATGCTGATGTGTCTGACTGGTTACCTCAACTTTAAAAAACAAATCATACCATAATGTGGGCATGTGCTTCATTCACATTGTACCAGTATTTCCTAACAAATAGGCAGCCTATGAAATCCAGCGTGATCAATCAGAAAATGAGTGCGTTTTATTAAATCAGTGCCTCGGCGTGCTGTCACGCGTCTGACAGAGCACACAGAACACTGGCCCACAAACCGTGACGTTTGGCTTGACCAGAGTTGCGGAGCGTGGACTGGTAGCTGGAGAGGACTGCCGCAGGAGGCCCTGAGCGAACCCCTGAACCCCCAACTGCTCGGGGCGCCGCACTGAGTGGCACCCCTGCTGCATTAAAAACAACTCCCCCAACTCCCCTATTGATTCAAAACGTGACGCCCTATTTAGTTCTCAAATACGGGACGATTCCTTATTTTAAGGGACGTGTGGCAACCCTATGTTTAATGCTTCAGGTACACGCAGGTAAGTATGTGAACAACGCTGTTGGCGGTGCCGCCGCATGTCTACGCCTTCTCATCGTTAAAAAGCAGGTACATCTGCGGCTTCCGATCTACGCCGTAGATTCGGTACAGAAGTATAAATCAGGCTTTATGCTGAACAGAGACCAACTGTATGGAAATGAATGACACATATTCCCCTCAGGAGAGTTTAAGGAGGTATAATTGTGTGAATTTTTGTGTATTGATTATTTTGTCAGCAAGTCGGACAATGAGATTCTCCGTGAACAAGAGGAGAACAGAAAACACTGTAGTGACTTTCAACCTAAAGTGATATTTTTGCAGTGAATCAGTCTTCGCCTGCTAGTTCACGGGGCGTCCAAACCACAAAACAAAACCCTTGGATGCCGTTTTATTGATATGCTACTACACCTGCAGCTAGTGTTGTGGCGGAGAGAACGGCGAGCTACTAATCTAAAGCTTCAGAAACGCTGCCGGTTCGTCCTTACGTGTAGAAGGTGAGGTTGTCCAGCTCGTCGTGCATGTTGAAGGGGTAGAGCTCCCCGAGGGTGACCAGCTTCTCCAGAGCCTCGTAGATGAAGATGATGCAGATGAGGGAGGCGAAGGCTTCTTCGGTGAAGCGGGTGATGTAGCAGACCAGAGAGCTGGCGTCGGTGGCGACCAGCAGCAGGCAGAGGAAGGCGGTCCAGAGTCCGATACTGGTCCTCAGGGACAGGTAGGACAGGCCGTACTCACTGAGGACAGACGGAAAAAATATACGGCAGTGTTTTTAACAGGATTAACTCGCCTCACACTGCTAAAGATCATTTTCAAAATCATCAAGTTTTTACATTTTCATTCTTCTGCTCGCTGTGACCTGAAACTCGTGTTCAGACACTCACAATGTTTGTGGAAGCAGCATTTCATCCTGTGGTCATACAGCTGTAAGCAAAATGATGCGTTCAAGGACCAGGGCTCTTTTCAATACCAACACCACTTTATTTTGACACTTTGACAACTCTGAACATGTTTTCCTACAAAATTCTTTTCTTCAGTCAACAAAAAGAAGCCAAAGAACTTTGTACTGATAAAGTTACGATTTGATCAAAGGAGTCGAGAAGATTTTACATCGGACGGATTTTTAGTTATGCAGCTGAACTAAACTGAAGTCTGTGAGCAGGTAGCTGAAAGTCTCTCTCTGTACATCAGGTCCCTGCGGGCCACAGATAGAGCGGAGTCTATCTGATCAATACTCCACCAATCAGTAACAAAAGACAGAAGACACTGGGTGGACGATCAGGGGTTCAGATGATTCTGGTTTCAAACCAACCGCTGGTGAATCTGACCTCTCTTTATAATTATTTATCATTTAGTGTTGAATCACTGATCTTGTAGCAGTCCAGTCTCCAGTGTTTCTTTTAACAAACCAATGGGGACGCAGCCCTGAAAAACCCGCCAGCACAAGAAGTTCGTTTCAGCGCAAACGAGAGAGCTGACAGCGTGACGGCAAAGCTGAAAGGGAGAGCAAAAGTCTGATCAGAGGGAGCTTTGAAGGACTTTTTGTTTGCAAGTTATGTGTTTTTTTTCCCCCTCTGGTGGAAGTCAATTTAAACATCTAAGCTTTACATAAGGAAAATCAATAATGTTTGCAAAACCTTGTATTTACTTGGACTGTGGCAAATGATGGGACAGCGTTTGCTACCTGACCAGGAGAGAGTCCCAGTGAAACGTCAAGGTCAGCCTTAACGAGACTAAGTTTAACTGAGAATCTAAAATCATCCCTAAATATAGTTCAATAAGCTCACCTTTAATTCTGACATTCAACGGTTGCAGCCTTGTGTTTTAATGGAAAAACAGACTTTGGTTTGTCGGGATGCCCTGTGGGGTCCGAGGCTGACTGCAAGAACTCGGGGCCCCAGAGGTTACCGACCTCCCTCTGTTTCTCCCCACATGTTCCACCTTTGGTTTGGTTTAAACAAATATATTTTGTTACACGTTTGCCGTGGGGTGTTTCCCTTTTCTTGTGGCTGCCAGAGCCAGGTCATAACAGGTGGTGCTTAGTGTCAAACAGGACACATCCAGCCAAGCTGCTAAGTTTTTAGTCAGCTTTCCTGCAACAGCATCTCAGGTTCTGCAGATACTGGGACGGCTTAGAGTGCAGGCTTTTTACACATTTCCCATTTCGCTATTCCAGACTTTCTGGTAGATTTTTCAGACCTTACCTGACATCTGCGTACAAAAGCTAGATTTATATTATGTAAATAAATGATTTTAAAATCCGTCTGTTAAATTGTCTGCATGGTGTTAGTTTTTAGTGGCCGTTCAGTCTACACAGAAAACTGGGCAGTGTTCCACAGTCAGACTACTTTCCCCTTAAGATTTTTAATAAATGATAATATTAGGGGGGAGCCGGAATGATTTAAACACTGTTCAGATAAAGGTGATTTTAAAAGATGACATTACAAACAGAAACTGTTTTTTGTTGTGATCAACAGCTCACATTGTGTGTGTTCTATAAATACCATTATATATTGTACAAATGTGGAACAATAGCTGTATAATCTCAGTTAGAATGGAAGGTGTGCACTGTTTCACACAGGAGTGGGAGGGAGGGAAGAAACGCAGCCTTAAACATTTCAATTGTTATGAAAAAAAAAAAAAATGCGTTTCGCCTGTGTCTTTAGAACCTGAAGAAGCCACAGGTGAAACGCATTGTGAAGAGCCTTAAACCTGCGTCCTCTAGCAGCCAGCAGGGGGCGCCTTAAACCTGCGTCCTCTCCAGCGGCCAGCAGGGGGCGCCTTAAACCTGCGTCCTCTCCAGCGGCCAGCAGGGGGCGCCTTAAACCTGCGTCCTCTCCAGCGGCCAGCAGGGGGCACCTTAAACCTGCGTCCTCTCTAGCGGCCAGCAGGGGACGCCTTAAACCTGCGTCCTCTCTAGCAGCCAGCAGGGGGCGCCTTAAACCTGCGTCCTCTCCAGCGGCCAGCAGGGGGCGACTTAAACCTGCGTCCTCTCCAGCAGCCAGCAGGGGGCGCCTTAAACCTGCGTCCTCTCCAGCAGCCAGCAGGGGGCGACTTAAACCTGCGTCCTCTCTAGCGGCCAGCAGGGGGCGCCTTAAACCTGCGTCCTCTCCAGCGGCCAGCAGGGGGCGACTTAAACCTGCGTCCTCTCTAGCGGCCAGCAGGGGGCGACTTAAACTTTATTTTGAACTTAACAGGAAACTTCTTGGCTCAAGCCTGAGCAGAGCGTGCACGTCACATGTTAACAGGTTGAAGTGATGCACCTTAGACAGAGTCGTCACACCAGCAACATCACAACTTTCACTACAACAAGCGACCCAAGCGGAAACCTCCAGGTCTGAAAAGTGACGCCTTAAACCTGCGTCCTCTCTAGCAGCCAGCAGGGGGCGCCTTAAAGCTGCGGCTGCAGAAAGAAGTGTGATTGTATAGAAGTCTCTGAGAAACTGTTTCTACTTGTCAGCTGATTTATTCCCTCAGTAAACACTTTCCTGATGAGTTTCTGGTCTCAGTCGCTAGTTTCAAGTCTTCCTCAACACAGCATGATGTTCATTTAGTAAATTATGGTCCCATTTAGAGGAACAGAGACCAGGAAGCAGGGGAGGCTTTAGGGCGGGGCTACAAGCTGACTGACAAGTCGCTACCATGGCGACCTGCCAAAATTAGCATCCCAGCTATTTTCACAGTTGACATGCGTTACAGATGCTAATCAAGCTGGCTAGCTCCACCCTCTCATCCAAATATGGTCAAGTTTGGTTCCAAAAAACCAAGATGGCCAAACTGCCAAACTGGAGGCTTCAAAGTGACAGTCCACAACCCAACAAGGGACGTCACGGCGGCTCCGCAGTCTGCGGTAGTAACCCTACGCATTCGTCTGAAGACCTTCGTCGGAACACACACTCCAACGCAAGTTCCACATAGATATGTAAAACAATAGTAAAGGTGGTAGCGTTACAGATAGCGACGAAAATGAAAAATAGCATTAATAATGAAAGCTTTTCAACAATAATAGCAGCAGGTTTCGAGAAGAAACCCGGGGGCAGAAGGAAGCCCGCAACCTCAGATCCAGAAACACCTGCAGAAAGTGACAGGAGGAAAGATGAGAGGGACGAAAAAGCACAAGACTACGGGAGATGGAAGAAGTCGAGTTGGTAACATTAGCATTAACAGAATAAGAATGCGCAGATGGAGAGGGGGAGAACGAGAGAGGAGCTCAGTGCATCATGGGAAGTCTCCTGGCAGTAACTGCCTCTATTTGGAATAAAATCACTGGGTGCAGACCGTTAGGAGACCAGAGTCTAATAGTTGTTGTGCAGTTAGCATCGTGACATGTTTTGATGCATCTCTCTGCAGAACAGTCTCCCTGCTGACCCGGGTTCAGCCTGCTGAGCTAATCAGTGGTATCAGTGATCTCAGTCAACACTGACTCAGGACAAACTGTACAATAATCAACCGAGGCCATCGACCACAGAGAGGGTCTCTATAAGAAGCAGGAGCCTCTCGGTCCTCCTCACTCAGTCTCACTGTCACTCATCATGTCTCGGTGTCTCCCCGTCCTGCTGCTGTTAGCCCTGGCCTGCCTGGCCCGGGTCGGCTCAGCGCAGCCCGTCGACAGCCGGGCCGAGCTGAAGAAGGTTCAGGCCGCCCTGGAGGAGCTGCAGGCTGAGAGACGAGGTAAGGCTGCGTCTCTGAAATATTTATTCTATGGCTCAAACCTGACCAATCAGAGAGGATTCATCTCAAATTTACTTTAAAGAAAGAGTCCCGTTAATTCAAACATTACGCTACTAGAGAACTGTTGGAAATGCGTTTCAGAATTTTAAGCTCAGTGACTGGATGTTTATTGCCAAACTGCACCCTGTCCACAGACCTGTACCTTCTAATCAAAAGAACCAGATTCAGATTCTATCAGCTGTTCTCTTCTGGTGATTCAGCCAAAAGAGTTTCACGTCATGTCAAAGACTTGAAGAGAGAGAACCGTCCTTTAAGATGAGTTTAATGAGTGTCCAAAAACATAATGATTAAAAACATTTCTATCGAGTTTAAAGGGAGATTTTTGCTCCTGAGTGGAAACTGAAGAAACCAGATTGATAATTGTTTGGTTAAACTATTCTTTATGGTCAGAATGTGAAAAACACCAGTGGCATTTCACAAATCCGAGGTAGAACATTCAAAACAATTCTGATAAAATCTTTTTACATTTATTCATTTAGCTGACGCTTTTATCCAAAGCTACAATTGCTATACATGTCAGAGGTCGCACGCGTCTGGAGCAACGAGCGGTTAAGTGTTTTGCTCAGGGATGCGTCACAGTGGGAATTGAACCCGGGTCTCTCACACCAAAGGCATGTGTCTTTTATCCATTGCACCTTCAGCACCCTAAATCTTCAAAAAAATATGATTAGTAAATATGTTTTGAGTCCCTTTTCCTCAACAAAATCAATCTTAATAGAAAAATTAAGCGCAATAATATTATTGTTTCATTGGCCAACCCGACTCAGCCGACCTGATTTCATCGGGCAGGCTGTTCCAGAGCCTCGTGGCCCCGACTGAAAACTGTCCCCTTTAGTTTTCAGTTGAGACTCTGGACCTTTGCACGAGGATCTCAGAGTACGTGTTGGTACGTACAGGACTAAAAGGTCAGAGATAAAACAGGGCGAGAGGCCATGAAGAGCTTTAAAAAAAAGTGATCAATAACATTTTAAAATCTATTCTAAAACATCGTCTGAGACAGAAGCTAAAAACAGGGGCGACACATGCCTTCGGTGAGAGAGACCTGGGCTCGATTCCCACCACAACATCCACCAAAGTGTCCCTGAGCAAAACAACCCCGAGATCTCCAGAGGCGTGCGACCTCTGACAGTTCATCAATACATTTTTGCAAGTTATAAAGGCCGTTGCAGTAACTCGAGCGCGATAAAGGCGTGCAAGATGGTCTCAGTGTCCTTAGAAGCCGTATTTATGATATATTTCTAAGATATTAAAAACACGATTGCACAAGCTTTTTGTGGTGTGCTCATGTCCCCACCACTTTTTAAAGAATAAGTTGTTAAAATACGTTCAGAAATACGCAGTTTAAAAACAAATGAAAACATTTTATTTGCACATTAAGAAAACATGCAATTAAAATATAGAAGAAACAAATGTGCATCATCCAAAACAGATCTGAGAACAGCACAGAACGACTGAGAGCTGCACTGACTGTTGTATTTATATACTTTGAAATGTCACCTGCCACCTGAATTTTGCATTTCCCTTTACATAAATAAAAAATTTCCACCCTTAGTTGGTGCAGAAACTTTCACCAGAATGCAGGAGATGAAGTTTAATGATCAAGTTTCCCGGGGGAGGCCCGCCCCCAGACCCCCCGCTCACATCTCAACATTGATCTCTTTAAAACACTGTTTAAGGATGTTTTCGTCTCGTGAACCTGATAGCTCGCGAGACACCACGATAGGCGCTAAGTGTCTCTTCACACCTCTAATCTGAGCCCCCACCGCTTTTCAACACAAAGTGACACCCACGGCTGTTGCTGCTCAAAACTTCAACTACTGTCGAACCACACGCAAAGATTTTCCCGCAACATGCTTGATACAAACTACAATACACACATTTTTAGGACATCTCTCTCCCCCATGACCTACTCCAGGATTTCAGTGTCTCCTCCATCGAGACGGAAGCGCACTTTCATAGTCAGAGTGAATTATAATATAATATTTCAGCTTGCCAACATAATCCAGCACAGTTGGTAGAATTAAAGAGTCATTTCTCTTGAGGTTGAGGTTCACCACAAGAGGCTCCAGCCTGTGTATGTTTTATGAAGCAGACTTCTTCCTGTGTGACCCGCTGAGGTTTAAACAAACGCTAATCGTCTTTAATTGTTTGCAGCGATGGCCGAGCGTCTGGAGGCGGCCGAGCGGGAACTGAAGGCCGTCAAAGGTGAGACGTCTCAAACGGTGGCCAACACTTTTAATCCCCTCATTTCATGAGTAAAAGCAAGTTTATAAATGGTTTATAACCCGTTATAAGAATGAGCTGATTTGATATTTAATTGCATATTAATTTGTGAACAACATTAACTCCTCCTGTGGAGACGCATAAGCAGAGATGAACAACAAACACTTGTTGTACTGTAAATAAACTCTTTAAATCTCTTTATATATGCTGACAACTTCATTATAGTGAGTTTCATGTCTGTAATATACTTGAATTAAAAATCAAGAGGTATCTCATACAAACGTTTTAAATGTTAAAAAGGACACATTTCTGAAAAAGAGGAAACTGTTTTGTACAGAAACGCCTAAAGTTGCCTTCGCTGCCTCGCTGGGAGGAAACGGCCTCCAGAAGACGACGTCTGGCAACGTAGACCTCGTCTACAGGGACGTCCTGACCAACGTGGGCGGGGCTTACAACCCTGAGACAGGTGAGATACACAAGTCAAGTTTCTGACCAAACGTAGCTCAGATTTGAAATTCTTTTACAGTCATTTTGCAAAATTAACCCTGATGTTGCTGCTCGTCTCCACCCACTGCATCGAGCACACGAGCTCATTGGCCGGTGGAGCCGATTCTCCAGTCGCTGCCATTGAACTGCACAGCGAGGTGACATCATGAGAAGAGCTGCAGTCGAACCATGTGGAGAACACGATGATGTTTGTTAGCTTCAGGTGTAGATGTGAGGAAGGTCACAGCCTCCTCATCGCTCCACACACAGCTGAGCCTTTCCACACGTTCAGCCGCCGCTTCATGTTCGGCAGCGTTTATTCATCAAGTTTGTTTATCCACAAACTACTTTCACCCCTCAGACACACATTTAGACAGACTTCTGGTTTCCACCCTGGTCTCTGTAACTCACACGCCTGTCTCGGTCATGCTAGTTCCACTGTACTTCCGTTTCAGGACAAAATTTCAGTTCCTCGTCTAAACCTTCCTCGTTTCTCTTCGCCGTCCCTCCAGGTGTGTTCACAGCACCGATTCGTGGAGTCTACTACATCCGCTTCACAGCCAACGGTCCCACGGACTTCACCAAGAGCGCCGTGCTCTATAAAAACAGCTTGGAGATCCAGTTGATCGCCCACGAGCAGCCGTCCGGCGAGGGCAGCGACACGGCGTCCAACGGCGCCGCCCTGCTGCTGGAGAAGGGCGACAGGCTGAAGATGGTGCTGTGGCACGGCACTCAGATCTGGGACAACAGCAACCACCACAGCACCTTCAGCGGCTTCCTGCTGTTCCCCATGTGAGGACGACGCGAGCGTTTTTACCGCAGCAACAGAATATTTATCTGAATATGGCGTCTGCAGCAACGTTTATCACATGCAACAAAAAGTGGACATCTGCTTTTGTTTCTCTGTGCTGAAGGGTGGACGAGGCTCCGGCAGAGTTCGACGCTGAAGCCGAGCTGAAGACTCTGCAGGCTTCGCTGAAGCAGCTTCAGACAGATAATCTGGGTAAGTCTCAAGGTCCTGATCCTCTCTCGTTTATACACTGATTTTAATTTTGATATTGCATGCAGCACCCCGTGTTTCACCTCCTTATTTTTATTCTATTCCTTCATATATTTCTGTTTATAAAGCTGCAACATACCCTGATCAGCCAAAACATGATGTCCACTGACGGGTGAAGTGAATAACACTGGTTACCATGTCACCTGTCAGTGGGTGGGATCCATCAGGCTGCAGGTGAACATTGCGTCCTCAGAGTTGATGTGTTAGAAGCAGGAAAAATGGGCAGCGTGAGGATTTGAGTGACTTTGACAAGGACCAAATTGTGATGGCTGAGTCAGAATATCTCCGACCCGGTTTGCAGGGTTCAGCTCCCATCAGAAGTTTTGTAACCATTGGACAGTTAATGTCTTATTTATGGTCCATTTTGTGTTATGCCACGCCCATTTTCTTGCGTTTGCAGCGCCCCCTAGTGGTCGATTTGAATGGAACTTTCAGGGCTTGTCTCAGGCACTCATCTGGACAGGTCCTGTGAGTTTTGTGATGATTGGCCCATCGGTTGCTGATTTAGGTCCATTTGATTCCAGAGCCACGCCCCTTCCAGAGTTAAAATTCAATTAAGTTTCAACCTGCCTCCAGGTGAATCTGTTGAACCACACGACTGACATCAATGAGTTGATTGTGGTTTTGTGCATCTGTGTGTTTCTAGGTGTCAAAGAGAGACTGGAGTCCACAGAGAGGGAGCTGCAGGCCATCAGAGGTCAGTCACTCTTTAAGATACCGGATTTAATAGCAGCGATACATTTCTGATGGGCGGAGGAGGGCTGCACTAAAACAAACACTCTCGTCCTTTTCTGGCACCTGTGGAGGAGGAGCGTCATCATGTGGACATTATCATCAGTTCTTACAGAAATAACATCATTAAATCTAAAATTAGTCTTTGTATTTTTATATTTATTGGCCCAATAAACCCAGTCCTGCTTCAATCAACTCCAGAAATTAGTAAAACATATACCCAAAAACAAGAAACCCACACGCTATAAACGCATCTCTTTGTCTTCGCGCAGATAGTTTCGGTTTAATTTGTCCAGGTGTTAATATACTTGAAACTGAGGGACATCGGCATAGTTACTGGGCTGATTCTGTAGTATAAAGTGACCACATTTAACTTTAAAGTCAGAGTAAAGCTGATGATACACAGAGCAACCTTTAGAGCAACAGTGCCGTCACTGGTATTGAGTAAAGATTACTACCTTAATTTCCTTCTTCCACCTCTCCACCATCCTCCCCGTCCATCCGCTATCCGTTGAAAACATAGTCAGATTTTGCACCAGCAACATCGCTCAAAAAGTTTCCCTGTGTGTCATCAGCTTAAAAGGTGAATAAAGTATGTTGTTACTGGAGCTGAAATGGTTCTTCACTTTAAGTACAGATGTTACAAAGGTTTCAAAAACATTTCAGAAATTCCATCATCTTGAAAAAGAACCTTGTTTTCATTTATCGCCACTGGTTTTTGTTGGTCTTCAGACGTAAAGAAGGTGGCATTCTCAGCTTCTCTCGGAGGTGACGGCCTTCAGAAGACGACGTCAGGAAGTAAAACGCTCCTCTACAAAGACGTGCTGACCAACATCGGACAGGCGTACAACGCTGAGACAGGTCAGAAACTCTCACACACAGATTACTGAGTTAATACTGACTTTGATTCGTCAGGTGGACACAAACATGACTGATCGTGTTGCTCTGTAACTGCTGGACTGTAAATATTTATCTGTAGGCTCCAACCTCCATTTCCAAAAATTTTCACGCTGTGTAAAATGTAAATTGAAACCAAAATGGGACGATGTACAAAAGATTGAATCTACTGACAGATTTGTCAAATATATGAGCTAAGATAAATCGGCGTCTGCGTTTATGACAGCCGATTAATGATGAATAAAAAACAGAAACTCATGTCATGAGTGTTGCATAGTTTTCCCACCAGAGGGCGCTCTGCAGCTTCCCTGAACCTGACTTAAATAATAAAAGGTGCGTTTGAGTTCATGCAGCGCTGACTTAAAGTGATGCATGCTGGACTTATAATAAGACCTGCTGCTTGAAAGTTGTGTCCGACTTTCGGTGGCGCTGCAAAACGTTGCCACGTCACATGACATTAAAATCTAGCGGGAGCAACGCCACAGCAGGCGCCAAGTCTGGCGGCCGCAGTTGCTTTTCTCCAGCTGCGTAAAGTTGGAACTAGACCTGAACGATTAATCGTTTTCAAATCGAAATTGCGATTGAAAAAACGTGATTAGTTAATTGTGGAGAGACGGGGATTATGGATTAATTATTCGTCAATCGAAACGCCATGCGCCTCCTGTTACGGTCCTACTCACCAATCAGAGCGGGCACAGGGCGTCTCCATTTTAAAACAACGAAACTAGAAGAAAACGTGGGATGATGGCGTCGAACAATCACAGGTAGCGGCTGAGCGCCGTCAACTCCCAATGAAGTGTTTCAGCAGCGGAGCGTTTAGCCTACACGTTGTTAACTCGTTAATTTGTCATTTTGTGTGATTCAACTACGGATAAGCGCTCTGCGAGCCCGCTCCACTCTCTGCAGGCTAACGTGACATATCCACATGGAGCATTTCAGAATAAGAGCGTTTTGCCTGCCTGTTTTTGTGACTTGTTCAGATTTTGTTTATTTGTTCAGTTGTTCTGATTCTTGAGCTTCTACGATGGTTCAGTAGCTACGCAGTTAAATTGTTTCTTCTGTTTTAACTGTGTTTATTGTTGATGTGCAATAGGGAGTCTCCAAAGAGAGTTTTATTTTGAAAATCAACCGGATTCTCCAAGCCTGCGTGGTTCATAAACTGGCAGTGAATACTGAACTTTAGCAAACTTCAATAAAATAAAAAAATTAAACACTTTTGTTTATATTTTACACAGCGTGCCGGCGTTTTTGCAAACAGCGGTAAAGCGTTAGCCAGGAGAACTGGAGAATAGATCAGATGTTGGTGTTTAAAGTTTGCTCTGCGGAACCAAACAGATTTTATAATTTGGAAATTCCAGTTAAAAATAAGAATTCAAACTTTTCTTGCAATTGAGTTATTTTGTCCCTTCTCACCTGCCATACGTCCCTGTTAATTAACCCTTCCCTCTCCAGGTGTGTTCAGAGCACCTGTGCGTGGAGTCTACTACATCCGCTTCACAGCCAACGCCCCCACCAACTTCCCCATGAGCGCCGTGCTCTACAAAAACAACGCTCAGATCCAGCTGATCGCCCACGAGCAGCCGTCCGGCGAGGGCAGCGACACGGCGTCCAACGGCGCCGCCCTGCTGCTGGAGGAGGGCGACACGCTGTCCATGCAGCTGTGGCACGGCACTCAGATCTGGGACAACAGCAACCACCACAGCACCTTCAGCGGCTTCCTGCTGTTCCCCATGTGAGGAGGAACACTGTCGAACCTTTAGTCAACATCTGAGAGGACGTTTTATCTCTGTTGTAAAACCATGTTCAGGTTACGTCTCCGCTGACCGAACCGGAGTTCCTCTCTAATAAAGTTTGACTGATAAAACTTCACCTACCTGAGCTTTAAAGTTTGAATAAAAGAAACAGCTTGTTGCAGCTCTTTCAGTTATTAAAACGGAAAATTCGAAAAACTTAAAAATCCTGGAATGAAAAGTTCTTTTTTATTTTTAATGTTTCACTTCTAAGCAAGTAGTTTCATAACTAAAAACAAAAAAATTGCGGAATGAATCAGGTCAGAGACTAAACTTTGTATAACTATTTTTCCAACGTTGTCTCACACCTTGGGAACAACTAAATGCTTAAAGAAACATGAAGAAAATAATGTTATTTTAAGCATTGTACTCAAGAGCAAACCTCATTTATAGTGAGGAGACAGTGGGTTTAAATTAGAGCCTTACTGATATGGGATTTTCAAGATCGGGCAATATTGTTTCCCCCCCCTTGTTTTAAGAAGCGCATGACATAAACAGAGATATTCCCTAAAATGTTATGTTGAGACCAAGATACCATGACATAATGCAGTATAAAAAGAAACTTTGTTATAAATAGAACTTTGAACAAAAGTAAAACAAAATATATCAAGGTTTTGATGGACAAGAGGCAAATAAAACTACAGAAAAAAATAAAAATGTAAATATCTGATTTGCAATAAATTATGGAGTACTACTACTAAGTAAATAGTGTATGTATTGTGGGGGCCAGGAAAACAAACTATAAAAATTACCCATATACCACTACTGCTAGTACTCTCCTACACAGGTAATTTATATTTATATATGAAACTCTTTAATTTAATGTTCATTAGCAGAAGTACTCCCTAATTTATAACAAATCAGATATTTGTAAAATGTTTTGTACATCTGACTCTTATTTATCAAAACCTTGATATATTTAGTTGTACTTTTGTTCAAAATACTATTTATAACAGCTACATTATGTCAGGGTATCTCGGTGAGGTCTCAACATAAATATTTGGGATAATGTTTCTTAAAAAGAATATCATCCAGATTTTATAATCCTCAACTATTGAAATCAGCATCAGACGTAATAATCCTATATCGGTCGGGCTCTAATATCTAGGGCCCAGGATTTTGTGCTACGTCCCTGACCGATGTATTTTCCTGGAAATATTTTGAGTTTCAGAAATGCAGAAATAAAAGCAGTATGATGTAATCTGGTGGGAAATGGAGCAGGTTAAATAAAATAAGGGCTTTATGTAAGTGTTACAAAACATTTTTCCATCACAAAAAGCCTTTTTAATACTCACAAAACAAAGAAACAAGAGAAAACAAATGCACAATCCCTCTAAAGCCAATTACATTCTGATCCAAAAACCCACAAATCAGGATAATCCGTGACCCCTTTGGCTCCATGAAGAACAACAAAGCTTCGCTGCTCGGTTTGAGCTCCTACTTACCTAGATTTTAAAACATACCATCTAATTTTCTGGGTCATTAATGAAGTCACTGAGGCGCCATGTTTAATTCCCACCTGCAGGGGGAGTCGGAGCTCAAGCACAAGTATTCAGATTCCTCACTTATATTAAAATACAACAACCTAAAAACACTATTACAAGAAGAAGTCCTGCATTCAGCAGCAGGAGTATTACCAGCTTCATGGAGTTAAAGTATCAGCAGTAAAAGTATTCGTTGTGCAGTAAAAGTATTCGTTGCGCTCCTCCAAAGGATCAGCAGATGAGTGATGATTAATGGGAGAGAGAAGAAGAAGAAAAGTTCTGCGTGTGCAGGTACAGAAAACAGGTGTTCCCGCAGACTCACCTGCAGAACTTGAAGAGGATCTTCTCAAAGACCAGAACTGGACCGGTGCTGCCCAGGATGGTGAGAGGCTGACCAGCAAACAGGGAGTAGGCCACGCCCGTCATGGACGCCCCGAACAGAGACTCTATGGCACTCTACCGGGACAGTGAGAGAGAGCGAGAGAGGTCATAATGTTGTACCGCCCCTTTAAGAGGAAACGTGACATCAGTTCATCGTCCCGTCAGTCGAGTTCTTACTATGTTTCCTTTGGTGGCTTCTCCCAGCAGCCCTCCGAACGTGATGACGGGCGACATGCAGGCGCAGTAGAGGAAGAGGACGGACGCCAAACACTGCAGGCTGACCGCGTCCCTGATGTCACTCCACAGGAAGGGCGCCTTCCTCCGGACGTCGTTCACCAAACCACCGAAGATCCTGACGGACAGACGGAGTCAAGTCACGGACACATTTCGCTCATCAGTGATGTTTAGGCGCCCCCACATTTTTTCCCAGCAGCTTTAGCACCATGACAGTAAATTCTAACCTTCTGTCTTTTCGCAAAACACACTGATAATCTGTGACTGATTGTAAACAGTCGTTATTTGAATCACGGCACAAACTCAAAAATGTTTACACATATATATATTATTGTAAAACGAAACTTAAAAAGTGCTGACAAACTGTAAAGATCGACCAGCTTGGTAGCATCGCAGGAAGCGCTCCGTGCTTTATAGCCAGGTTTACTGGCGGCCATACAAGTGGCTGTAAAATGGTGGCAATGACTTACTCTTTTCTCTGCCTTTTTATCTGGCCAACAACACACGGCAACAGCCCTTTAAATATGACTTAGGTTCACCATCGGCTGATCTGCCACTTATCATACTGAGCAAAACACTACGGCAGATCTACAACATCAGCCCAAGATCAGTTCACACACAGGCTTATCGGCGTGTTGGTGGTAGTAAGAGATGCACAGATTGCATTTTTCCTGGCTGATTCCAATTACAGATTATTTAGAGGTCTGACCTGCCGATTCTTTCTTTTTAACAATTATAACTGACAGCATGCACAAACATTTTATGTTTTTTTATGACTATATACGTACCGTAAAACTTACGTACTAAACTTACTGCCTCCTTTACTGGCCTGGTGTGGGAACACATTTTGACAAATAAATGCCTGGTGTGGTTTTTATAGAAGTTCTTTGGATGTATAAAACCTCTTAAATGCCACGGGGTCGCCGCTTTAGCCGCTTCTATGCTGCTTAGATTGTTAACAGGCTACAAATATTAATGTTTAAACGTTGAATTTGATATTAATTTGATTAGTATTATTCTATAATTAAGTATTATTCTGTTTGAAATAAATAAACTGTTTCATAGTAGTTTCAGTTTTGTGCAAAAAGAATTAAAGGCCTGTCCCATGTGGACACCTGTCCTAAATAAAGGCAGGTGCGTGCCGTGTGGCGGCAGCTTGTTATTAATTACCGACGGAGCCACCGCAGTATGAATGACATCAATGACATGAAACGCTGTGTGTATGATGTAAAGATGGCGGTCACGTGATTTCCGCCTATGGCCTCAACAGATTTTTAGGCGCACTCTGTTGGTTTCTGCAAAATGACATTCAGAGCTCCAAAGAAAGGACAGCACGCCGTGCATGAAGCTGTGATGACGCAGCTGCAAGCCACATCATTACACATCTACACACGGACCCCTGGCGGTCCCCGGACCTCCCTTTGAGAACCACTGGTCTTTTCTTTTACGCACTGCCTGCGTGTCTCACACGTGCAGGTACAAGTGATCTTTTCAGAGTCCTGTACAGCGAGGCAGACTGACCTCCCCGTCCTCTGCAGCTCTGGTCCCGTGTGATGCTCCTCCTCCTTGATGGTGTCAGAGATGTGGGCGGAGCCATTAAGGACAGACGGCATCTTCCTCTTCTCCTGCAAGAGACGAAGGCACAGAGCAGAGTTCAGGTCAGACAGGACGGCGCTGAAGTTTTATTTCACGACCATCGCAATCTCTGAGGCAGACCTCACCTGAGACGGGACGTTCTTCGGGGGTTCGATGCGGATGCTGGGGTCCCATTCGCCCGGCGGAAGCACGGTCACCTGATCCAGGAACTCATCGATCCCCGACAGCAGGTCGATCCTGTCCCTCGCCTTGTAGGCAACATCGTGGAAAATCTAGCGGACAGAGAGACGAAGTCTGTTCATCAACTAATCTGGATCTCGTAACAGGAAGTAATCAAGCAGCTCAGCAAAGTAATTAACTAAATACAAGGATTTACACAGTCCATTCAGAATCGCCAAGTCCTGCCTGTAGTCGACCGCTAGTCGAATCATGTGTTTGTGTGCGGCGATTGAGAGCGCGGGTACAGACCGTAAGGGGGCGCTTCCAATCTCACGCAGCGTAAGTTTTGCTAGTAGCGGCTCATGTAGCCAACTTGAGTGACATCCTGCACTTTTTAACTCAAGTTAAACGCATCACAGTGTAGCGCACATAAGCTGTTGCCATGGTTACTCTCATCAGAGCGCCTGCCGTTTACTCGCGGCGCGCTCGTCTCCCTGTCGAGCGACCCCGCGGGGCCAAGAGACTACGCTGAGACTTTAAGAACGTTCCTCAGACCAACATCTTCCCCGACACTACCCAGCATGCAGCTCTCCTCTTCGCTGTGGCGTTTGACCGCTCGTCTTGCTTTTCTTTATCCGCTTCTCCCACATGCTGCCGCAGCGTAGTCTTCCGAAGCCTCCCTCCGCTGCTGGTTTGCAGGCTGATAAACCCCCCCCCCCCTCCTGTGACTCATGGTTTTACTGGATTCAGAGCCAGCGAGCAACGGACTGTCAAAATAATAATAAACGTTGACGTGCGATAAAATAATTGCTGGCGTTATTGAACTAATGCCCGGCCCTATTTAAAACATAAGCAGTCCGACTCCATAAGCCCTGAAAACAGACGCTGAGTTCATCTGCAGGTCCTCTGACTGCAGGGCCAGAAATCATGCGTAACAAGTTGTTTTTATTAACTTTAACAGTACTTTCACTCACAGACTGGAGGTTCCTGTTCAAACGCCTGTGTAATAATTAATTTCAGACAAAATTTAACTTCCACGTCAACACAGACATCTATCTGCAGAGAATGCTCAGGTACAGGGCCCAGATGTCTGTGCGACACCTCGCGTGATGGACTGATGGGAAAGGTGGACATGTTGCCTGTTCCTGCAACACTCTGGTCCAGAGCTAACAAGATCCGAGTCCTCCAGCAGGGGGCACCACGCCTCTACAGAGTAAAGATTACCTTCCTGACAGCAGAGGAAAAAAAAGGGTGAAGAGTCTTAAATTAATCTAAAATGTTAAATTTCCTCTTTCTGGTCACGATAGAGGAGAAAACCGTGACGTCGGCGTATTAAAACTTCAGCTCTCTGTGTGAGGATTTCTCTCAGGAGACTTTATTTTTACTGTTTGTTGACCAGAAACTAAACGGCCTTGTCGTCTCACCTCGTCCGTCATCAGAGTGGCCATGGAGCGTCCGATCTCGTGGTACTGCGGGCCTTTTCCAAACGGGCCGAGCAGCAGGAAGACAAACCTGGACGGACGAGACAATAACGTCGAGTTTAACGGCTTAAATATTTCCCTCTGAGTGAAGCAGAATAGAAAGTAGCAGAAAATACTCAAGTATAATTTGGAGGTACTTGTAGCAGCTGCTACAACAACAGTGCGTGTTGCTCACCTGGTGGGCACCGGGACCTCTGTGAGGCCGGTCAGCAGCATGGCGGGGGACAGCCGGACGAAGGCGACGATCGGCCGCTCCAGGAAGTCCACTTCACCCACCAGGACGTTGGACGCCTCTGCGCCAGGAGGGATCTTCTTCATGAAGTTCATGTCCACCTGAAACAAACCAGGCAGCAGGTCGAGTCTCACTTTCCTCTGATCCGATACAGACAGGAGAGAAACCTACAGCACCATCTCACACATGATCGTTTTATTTTAGGGCTGCAACTACTGATCTTCATCGATTAATCTCAATCAATAGTGACATCATGAAGCAACAGCAGGCGTCCACCAAAACACTGAAACAGCACAGCTGAGCAGAGTCAGAGTCACGCCGACTTCACTGAACGACACAAACGACAACAGAATCCAAACGCACATCAACACGGCGCTCCACCACGATGAGCCACAACACAGGCCACTGATTGGTCGACAGCCGGCGGGTGGCAGACTTACAGCGGGCTTTCTGCCGGCGGCCGGCGGCAAACAAACACAGTTGCAGTCCTGCTGAGAAACACACACAGCTTCTGATTGGCTGCTGCAGGGTCACACTGACAAAACTACCAAGACTCAAAGTCATGTGACTGAACGCAGCTTGTTTATTGGCTCTCTGTGACCAATGTGAGTGACCCTTTTGTTTCAATTCTAAATGAATAAATAAACATACTGATCGGCTGTGCACACGAAACAGTTAGACACGTTCTTTATTTCTATTTTACATTTGAGTTTCCACTTTGTGTTTGTCCTTTCAGCATCTAATTTACATTTTCCAAATGGAGGAAGCAGCTGCTTGAACCACAGCCGTGTAGTTCAACCAACACACGCGTCCAACGGCGTTCTGACAGGAAGTGGACGCTACAAATTTCACTGCAGAGAAAAATGGAGAAGAAGAATTAAAAAAGAAAGTGTACTTCCATCCTCCAAAAGCCCAAGCCTGACAGGAAACACTGGAGAGGACGGGGTACCCGTCTACATACAGGGCGTTACGGCGTTACGTAACCAGGATACAAAAATAAAGTCACTGTATTCCGTTACAGTAGAGAAAATAAACCGATTACTTTAAGCAGAAAGTTTCCAACAGAAAATGCAGTGCTATTTACGGTTTACATGTTTCCGGAAAAAACACAGTGGCGATCTGTCGCCACGCCCCCTACCCATCATGCAGACTCATCACAGTTTGACCACTGGCTCTTGTCACCCCGGTCAGCTAACGAGGCTGTGTTTGGACCTGTTCATGTCGGGTTCACTTCGAGGCCGCTGGGCGCAGTTTAGTTGCTAGTTAGCAGCAGTTAGCTGACTTGCTACAGCAACAAGTACATTTACATTTATTCATTTAGCTGACGCTTTTCTCAAAAGCGACTTACAATTGCTACACATGTCAGAGGTCACACACCTCTGGAGCAACGAGGGGTTAAATGTCTTGCTCAGGGACACAATGGTGGACGGTCTCACAGTGGGAATCGAACCCACACCAAAGGCAAGCATCTTATCTATGCGCCATCACCACTCCTACTAAATTAAGTTAAGTAAAGCTTAAAAGGGAACTCGTACATCACAGAGCTGAGGCAGAGCAGCCGGGAACATCAGAGAGAAAACCAGATAATATTTTCCATCAAATAGGATCCAGTTTCTGCAAAATCAGTGAGTAGAGTTTTCCTTCAGTAATCAGTGGGGCCCGGCTCCAGAAACACGTCATAAAAACAAAGAAAGCTTTTCATTGGTCACTAAATTAATCCAGGCCCCCCAGAGCAGGAGGATTCATCAACATTTTAAAACCCTTTTCTGGGAAATGACACACTAAATCATAAAGAATACAACCAAACATTTTGATTTCATGGGATATTTTATAGCCTAATATGTATGCACCTCTAAAAATCCCCTGAGCAGACAACACATCTTTGATACTCTTTATTTGCCCATTTGGCATTGCAGTAATCCAAAAGTAACTAAAAGTAATCAGGTTACATTACTTTTATTTTCTGGTACTTGGATTACGTTACTGATTACAATTTTTAACAAGCAATTGTACCAGATTACATTTTTAAAGTAACCCTCCCAACCCTGTCTACATACAGCCATTCTGTAAAACACCCCACATTTGAGAAGCTGGAACCATCAAACATCATTTTGGCTTGAAAGGTGATTTAAACAATTAATCAATTATTAAAATACTTGCCCTCCGCTTTGGCCAAGTAAGAAAGTGCAAGTCCTGCTAGCAGTGTTGTAAAAAATATTGATTTTGTTTGAATACATATTGATTCTGAATATTTTAAAACTCATTTTCCGCAGTATCGATACGGAAATGCGCTCACATAGACCCGCCTCCTCTCACTCACAGAGCTGTCTTCTAGTCTTATTTGCTTCGGCTTATTTTTCAGTCCTGCCCTACTGTGCTGTGATTGGCTAGTGCAATTAGATGCTGGCAAAGGACACAAGAGAGCGAATATCTAAGTTCATTAGATCATTTCGTAATTTAATTCGTCAGTCTAATCAATGTTGTGTCAATTTTTCAAGGTATTTTATCAAAGTTAGAAATTCCAGTATGGTGACACTATCTGATAGATTGTGATGGTGGCGACGGAGAAATGATCCTGGTCCAGTATGATCCAGAGCTTCATATCAACACCTGAACTCATGGATCTGATACCCAGCCTCCCTGGACCTGTGGTGAACACTTCCTGTAACAGAAGACATGAGCCAGTAGCAGGGGGGGGGGGGGGGGGGGGGTCTTTACCTTGCTGAAGTCCACGGTGCTGTTTTCCCGGCTGCCGCCGTTGATGCGACTCTCGCCGTTCTTATTGTTGTCGAGGTTTCCTGGAGCCGAGTGAGGGGACGCCAGCAGACCTGCAGAAAGAGAAGAAGTGGTCAACTTCCACACTGGACAGCAGGAAATAAGAGCTGGTGGCGGATCAGGTTCTGCTTTGGTTTCTGACTGAATCCTGCAGGTGGACCAAAAAAACCACCTTCTGCCACATGACAACTTTATTTTGAACTTAACCGGAAACATCTTGGCCCAAGCCTGAGCAGAGCGTGCGCGTCACATGTTAACAGGTTGAAGTGATGCACCTTAGACAGAGTCGTCACACCAGCAACATCACAACTTTCACTACAACAAGCGACCCAAGCGGAAACCTCCAGGTCTGAAAGGTGACGCCTTAAACCTGCGTCCTCTCCAGCAGCCAGCAGGGGGCGACTTAAACCTGCGTCCTCTCTAGCAGCCAGCAGGGGGCGCCTTAAACCTGCGTCCTCTCTAGCAGCCAGCAGGGGGCGCCTTAAACCTGCGTCCTCTCTAGCAGCCAGCAGGGGGCGCCTTAAACCTGCGTCCTCTCTAGCAGCCAGCAGGGGGCGCCTTAAACCTGCGTCCTCTCTAGCAGCCAGCAGGGGGCGCCTTAAACCTGCGTCCTCTCTAGCAGCCAGCAGGGGGCGCCTTAAACCTGCGTCCTCTCCAGCAGCCAGCAGGGGGCGCCTTAAACCTGCGTCCTCTCCAGTAGCCAGCAGGGGGCGCCTTAAACCTGCGTCCTCTCCAGCGGCCAGCAGGGGGCGCCTTAAACCTGCGTCCTCTCCAGCGGCCAGCAGGGGGCGCCTTAAACCTGCGTCCTCTCCAGCGGCCAGCAGGGGGCGCCTTAAACCTGCGTCCTCTCCAGCAGCCAGCAGGGGGCGCCTTAAACCTGCGTCCTCTCCAGCAGCCAGCAGGGGGCGCCTTAAACCTGCGTCCTCTCCAGCAGCCAGCAGGGGGCGACTTAAACCTGCGTCCTCTCTAGCAGCCAGCAGGGGGCGACTTAAACCTGCGTCCTCTCTAGCAGCCAGCAGGGGGCGACTTAAACCTGCGTCCTCTCTAGCGGCCAGCAGGGGGCAACTTAAACCTGCGTCCTCTCCAGCAGCCAGCAGGGGGCGACTTAAACCTGCGTCCTCTCCAGCAGCCAGCAGGGGGAGACTTAAACCTGCGTCCTCTCTAGCAGCCAGCAGGGGCGCCTTAAACCTGCGTCCTCTCTAGCAGCCAGCAGGGGGCGCCTTAAACCTGCGTCCTCTCCAGCAGCCAGCAGGGGGCAACTTAAACCTGCGTCCTCTCCAGCAGCCAGCAGGGGGCGCCTTAAACCTGCGTCCTCTCTAGCAGCCAGCAGGGGGCGCCTTAAACCTGCGTCCTCTCCAGCAGCCAGCAGGGGGCGCCTTAAACCTGCGTCCTCTCCAGCAGCCAGCAGGGGGCGCCTTAAACCTGCGTCCTCTCCAGCAGCCAGCAGGGGGCGCCTTAAACCTGCGTCCTCTCTAGCAGCCAGCAGGGGGCGCCTTAAACCTGCGTCCTCTCCAGCAGCCAGCAGGGGGCGACTTAAACCTGCGTCCTCTCTAGCAGCCAGCAGGGGGCGACTTAAACCTGCGTCCTCTCTAGCAGACAGCAGGGGGCGCCTTAAACCTGCGTCCTCTCTAGCAGCCAGCAGGGGGCGACTTAAACCTGCGTCCTCTCTAGCAGCCAGCAGGGGGCGACTTAAACCTGCGTCCTCTCTAGCAGCCAGCAGGGGGCGCCTTAAACCTGCGTCCTCTCTAGCAGCCAGCAGGGTAGGTTGAGCACGTCCCCAGGAATTAACGCTACGCTGGTCCTCGCCAGTAAGTATACCCGGGGCTTTAATCGTTCAAAACAGCCCCGCCCCGAGTAGCGGGCAGGGCCCGTCGCAAAGCTGGTATCAGTCATATGACAGTTGTTGAAACTCTGGCGGGGAAAAAAGCCAGCAGTCACTGGAGCACCGAGAGAGTGGGCGGGGTCGCTCAGTTCCCGCTTGAGCAGCTTGTTTAAAAAACAAAGACAGAGAAGCGAAGTCAGCGGCTGGAGCGGCGAGACAGAAGACAGCAGGGAGAAGATAAGGAGGTTGTCGGTTTGGCTGCTGGCTATAAGGTACATCAGGTGCCTTTTGTTGAAACGTGTTCAGCTTTTCATAAAATCGATGTGCTCGTTAATTTCACTTCAGGTCAACTGACCAATCACAGCCTGGATGGGGCGGGACATAAAAAAGGTTTGACGCGCTTCAGTAAACTTTCAAATGTTGAACTGCATGAATGGTTCTGACTGTTGATGAGATAGCAGCATTAACAAACTCCTGTTTTGTTCAACTGGAATTAATTACACTAGTGAGCTGTATAGTATAGTAGTACTACTCCATAAAGTCACAAAATTATATAATTAACACTCTAACAGTATACTATTAGATTAAAATTGAACTTTTTATCTAATATTAAAATTTTATAAATACAAATACACTCATTTAAACTAGTTTCTGAAAGAGTGGAAAGATGCAGATTTCCACTGCACAGTAAGCCAGTATGTCCTTCTAGAGAGCAACACGTTCCCCTGGTTCTGATGTACTAAAGTTACTGTAACGCTGCTCACTAGTCTTGTTTCCATCAGGTGTGGGTTGTTTGGCTGCTGCTGGTGGATCGTGAATCAGTCACTGGTTCAGAAACTACACAGGCACCAATCACAGTAAAGTTTTTTGTGAAGACTGGTCAGAGTTGTAAAAGCTGTTTTCAATGTCTCAAATTTTCAAAAGATCTGTTTCAATATTTTTAAAAAGCGTTGACAAATTTTTAAGGTTGATGCGTCCAGATACCAGGGTCTTCACTTCCTGTCCTCTACTGGTTTCACACAAGGAGAAGGAGCACACATGTAGAATAAATATAATAAATAGTATGTTAAATTCTGTGTTACTTGAACATTTTTTGCTGTGCTCCTAAATTTTTCCATTTAGGAGCACATGTGCTCCTGAAGTAAATCATCTTTTGTTGTCGTTTTCAATAAACTCACGCCTGGAAATCTGTAGCAGAGAAACCTCAGACCTTTCTGTAAATGACTTCTAAACTGAACCAGGCCAAGTGAAGAGACACTGCTATATATTTTTATTATAAATATAACTGAAATGTATAAAAGTTTCTGTATGGATGCCACACGCCTGCCTCGGGTACAGGTGGTTTTATAATAATCAGTTTCATAAGAGTCTTTTTAAAACAATGATTCCTGTTCTTCAAACTGTCCAAACTCTGAGCTGAAGCTGCCGATTTAAAAACACATGAGTGCGAAGAACCTCAACTTAAGAAAATCCACGAGGCAGAAGAGACATGTGATACCGTCACTGTCACACACACACAGTTAAAGCATCCCATCAGTGTCCTGTTACAGTCCAACAGTCTGGAAATCCAAACCCGGTGCAAATGTCACTCTGCGTTCCAGCTGCAACTCTATCTGACTTTAGGATTTACGTCTTCAGTCTTTCAATGTGGAAACGAGTCCACTGACAGAATCACACGCTGTATATGTTACACTGAATACAGTTTGTTAAAACGTCCAAACGAGAAGCTTTCCTGACTTAAGCACATTATAAAACAAACTTATTCAACTTCCATGAAACTCTTTTTGGGCTCTTTTCTCTGGACTTGATGTTGATCAACTCTGCTCATTTCAAGTCGTTTAGTTTTTATTTCATCCAATCCAATTTTCTTTGTAAAGCACATTTAAAAAACAACCAGGGTGATCCAAGAGCTGTACAATGACATGAATCAATCAACGAAAAAATGATAAAATACCACCATAAAACAGCAACACACAACTCTCAAACTGGGTTAAAAGTCAAGGAGCGGAGGTGAGTTTTAAGACTCTACAACTCTCGGGGCCGTGACAGAGAAAGCTTGACCCCAGCTGTTCATGAGCCGTGTTTTAGGGACAACAAGGAGTAACTGTAGACCTTCAAGGCCTTAATGGAGCATTCAGCTTCAACAGATCAGCGATACAGGCTGGAGCTGGCTCTAAAAATATAAATCCTAAAACAAACTGGGAGCCAGTGAAGAGAGGCAAGAATTCGCTTACAAGTTCCAGTTTGGAGACGAGCGGCAGCATTTTGAACCAGTTGTATTCGAGAGAGGGAGGCCTGGCTAACACCTGCATTTAAAGCATTACAGTGATCTATTAATGCCTCTATGTCCCTCGAAATCAGTGAAGGATAAAAAGAGCTTTAGCTGATAGAAACCAGCTTTCACAACAGAAATCATCTGCTTCTCCAGTTTAAAAATCACAGTCCATTTGCGAGGCATCAGAAGCACCACTGGGTCTAAATATCATGACGTCTGTTTGTCATTTCAGCATCTAATCGACATTTTCCATCTCTCTGGATTAATCTTTTCGTCGTCACGCTCTGACTGCTTAACGTCTTTTTAGACTTTAAAGTCAGCTTCTTAAAAACCTGTCTGCTTCACATTCTCAGTAACGAGGAGGCAAATGATTAGGCTCGTTCCGACTGGCAACTGGATCGCATATCGACGACTGAAGGGAATATCAGCGATTGGACTTTCTCTAAGTACACAAAAGGCCTATTTCATTCAGATTTTGACAGATTTGTGAACAATATTTGTGTTAGTGAGCACTTCTCCTCTGCCGAGATAATCCATCCACCTCACAGCTGTGGCATATCAAGAGGCCGCTCAGACAGCATGGGTATTGCACAGGTGTGCCTTAGACTGGCCACAATAAAAGGCCTTAGACTGGCCACAATAAAAGGCCACTCCAAAATGTGCAGTTTCACTGTATTGGGGGAAACAGACTCCAGTCAGTATCTGGTGTGGCCACCAGTGCAACACATCTCCTTCGAATAGAGTTGATCAGGTTGTTGATTGTGGCCTGTGGTCCACTCCTCTTCTATGGCTGTGCGAAGTTGCAGTCAGGTCGAGACCCCGATGAGGACGACGAGCATGCAGATGAGCTTCCCTGAGACGGTTCATGACAGTTTGTGCAGAAATTCTTGGGTTATGCAAACCGATTGTTGCAGCAGCTGTCCGGGTGGCTGGTCTCTGACAATCTTGGAGGTGAAGATGTTTGATGTGGAGATCCTAGGCTGATGTGGTTACACCTGGTTGGCGGTGGTGAGGCCGGTTGGATGTACTGCCAAATTCTCTGAAACGCCTTTGGAGACGGCTTATGGTAGAGAAATGAACATTCAGTTCACGGGCAACAGCTCTGGTGGACATTCCTGCAGTCAGCATGCTAACTGCACGCTCCCTCAAAACTTGCAACATCTGTGGCGTCGTGCTGTGTGATGGAACTGCACATTTTGGAGTGGCCTTTTATTGTGGCCAGCCTTATCTGGGCAAAGGAGAAGTGCTCACTAACACAGATTTAGACAGATTTGTGAACAATATTTGAGAGAAATAGTCCTTTTGTGTACATAGAGAAAGTCTTTGAGTTCAGCTCATGATGAATGGGGGAAAAAACAAAAGTGTTGCATTTATAGTTTTGTTCAGTGTATTTTCTTAAACACTGTCAATGTCCCAACTTCAAATTATTTATAAGCAAGCATGCAAGGAGCCTCGCTAATAAGGATAGCTCTGTTAACATTAGAACACAGCTGGGCTGTCGAGGTTAGCACAATGTACATAGCTGCTATCGATTTCCCACGCGTGCTGCACCAAAGTAACACTGCACTGTGCATTTACAGATGTTTCTTGTGGTTTCCCTTAAAGCTAATAAGGATGTTTCTTCCATGCTGGCATTTCACTGACTTGCATGGGCAGTGATCTTAAGTAGCCATGATAAGACGATATGAAAATAGAGAAGATAGCCAGTCACCTTTGGTCGACACCCTGATGTCGCCTCACTGAAGGTAAAATGCATCATGAGTAACAAAATGGCAGATCATTAAAGTCCTGTCGATTTGGGAAGCGACTTTGTCCGTTTGCATTATGACTTTCTCCAAATCGTGCAGTCCTAGTTTGGTTAGTAAAGAAATCAGCAGCAGCACGGACGGACAACTGCAGGCAGATTTTACAACACTACAGCGTGGTGTCCACAGTCGTTTCACAGTTTTTGATCCTGTGTCGTTATAAACGGGGAGGCTTTACTGAGAGCTACAGCAGAGCTGGGAGCTGCCCAGTACAACCAGTCTGATCCTCTGGAGCAGCTGGGGGGGGTTAGGGGGTGCTGGAGCCACACCATGCAGAGTCGTGCTGACGGGTATTTGCCTGCGTCACTGTGAGGGAACAGCAGGTCCTGGTGGGAGATGTTGTCCTGTCTGTCCTCCATCCTGAACACCTCCTCTTCAGGGGGGTGAATCACCACCTCGGGGATCCCTGCTCCTCCCCACAGCCCCCCCGGAGCAGAGCAGCGACGTGGCGTGTCGAAGGAGGTGTGGCCTGACAGGTCGGAGGGGGCGGGGCTGGGCGGGCACGGTACAGAGAGGTGGCGCCCGTGGCGGGCCTGGGTGGGGGTGGCCTCGGGCGAGGAGGCGGGGCTTGGGAGGAGCTGCCCGAACATCACGGAGAAGCGACGGGACAGAGTGGAGTCGTCACAGGAGGTGGCCGAGAAGCGACGGAGGGTGGAGCGAGAAGAGGAGGACAGACCCTCCCCTGGAGGAGGAGGAGCAGAAGAGGAAGGAGGTGAAGGGACAGAAACATCAGCGGGACGACGACTGAACGAAGCTCATGCTGGTTTTAAAAGTCAGCGTGCAAAGTGAGGATGCTGACAGACGATCCATCTAATGATTCACTTATTGATCCGACTGATTGATCACAGTCTGGTCGATATATTGTCATTCTGTCTTATAAATACAAGTCAGCTGATCATAATTATTATTATCATCATAACTTTTATTACCACAAACATACTAATATTATTTTACATCTGTGTGGAGCACTGTGCTGCTGTGTGTTTCTCCTGTTTTTGATTAGCTTCAGCTGCAATTTAATTTCTTTTCTTAATAGTTGCTTTAGAACATTTTAGAACACAATGTATTTACTAGGGGTGTGCGTCTTCACCGGTCTCACGATTCGATTCCTCGATGCATCACCTCAAGGGTGGGGATTTCTAGGTACCCGATTACGATTATGAGGCTACGATGCGATTGTAAAACGAACAGGATAAAGATTTTTCTCACTGTGTGACTACTTGGTACTTTTAAAGTATTTGTAAAAATCCAAACAAGTAGGTAGTAATGAAATGCAGCTATTTAATGTTACTTCATATAAATGTAGCTAATATAACATTATTACTGACCTCTGCTGCAGCTATTTTTATTTCTGAGGCTGCTGTTATTACTATAGAGTCAGATGGGTGTTGAACTTTACGCTCCAGCCAAACCACGTTCACTCCACCTTAATGTATTTGTTCCTGATCTCGTATAGTGATCTTGTATTGAGCACCGTGGGCCTTGAGTAACAGCATTGGGTTCATTGTGTACTCGATATGTGGATGAATGACTGCAAACAAACTTTACAGCAGCCAAATAACATCCTGCTCAGCTTCCAGACCGCAGTCTGAGGAGATGTTTGTTGTTTTCCAAAAGGCGGTAACAGACAGACTTTATAATTAATAAGACAGACACGCTGTGAACATTTACAGCCAGACTGAAACGTAGCGCTCATATGTTCCTCTGCTTTCACCGCCATCTACTGCCGCCTGTCACGTAGCCGTCATTTGAAGAATGAGCAGAGGACACTAGCTAAGCGCTCCATCAACATTACGTTATCAATTAACCTCTAGATAATCGATTATTGCCATTTGTGATTCGATGCAGAATCATCCAAGTCCGTATCGCCATGCATTTAAAAGTCTATTATTTTCCACACCCCTAGTATTTATGATGTTACTGTTGCTTTTCTTAGAATTGAAGGAGACCCATTATGCTTTTCCGTACTTTCTGTCCTATCTATAATGTTTCAGTGTCGGATGTTCATCTTAAAACATGGCCAAAGCTTCAAATAAAGAGGTAAACATACTTAAAAGAAATCACTTTGAGCAGAAACTACAGATTTCCTCCAGTTCCTGGACCTGGTTTAACAGTTTATTCTGCTCTCTACATACTGTTGGGGTTTTGGGAAAAGGGGCGTTTAAGTATGCGGCACCCTCTGCTTGGAATCAGCTGCAAAAATGTCCTGAATCTTCAATGACATGGAGGCTGGCAATTCTGGCTCTAGATGTTATGATAGATTTTTCGGATTATACTTGTTGTTTTATTACTTGTGGTGATATTTTATGACCTTGTAACTCACTAATTATTCCCGTTAATGTCTGCAACCTTTTGCTGCTAATTTTGCTGGAAAAGAGATTATTCGTCTCAATATAGGTTTTTTTTCCTGGTTAAAGGCATAATAAAAATATTTTTTTTAATCCTGTAGATTTTCTATATAGGGTAATTAGCACAGTCCCATCCTCCTGCCAACCGCTCAGCGCATGACGACACCAGTCAGAAGTTGTTTAATATGTCGGCCAACAACACGGCACGTGGTTTCTTTTTTCGGGCCAACAGCAGCCTGGTAAACGCGCTTCAGGGAGAGTGGGCTTTTGGGAAATGAAGGACTGCATGAAAGGCCAGTATTCTTTTTGACTTTGAATCATGCTAAGCTACCATAAAGGAGTCACAGAACTACAATATTGCACTGGAAATGCACTACAATAGATCAACTTTAATTGAGATTTATAAATGAAGTTTTGCTTGGTTTTCTTTCTTGGATATAAAACGTCTAACAGGTCCTTCAGTGTCTTTGGTTACTGCCTCCTATCGTTAACTGGCTGCTGGCTCTTCATTAGTATACATGTGTCCTCTGAGCGATGGCCTTCCTTGTGATCACATTAATAAAAAGTTGTGTCATTTATAGTTGCAATGTCTTTTAAACTACTGTTTCCTCAGAAAAACCTGCAGGCCGGTCGCTGAAACAAGACTCTGAAGCATTAACTGCCATTTCACACGTCTCCCCATCAGATGGATTCATGTCTGCTCTCTGCAGGTTTCAACACGGCAGCAGAATGAAAACATTCCTCACTCGCTCACAAACAGGATTTATGAGTCTGGGTATTAAAAAGCAGACTCGTCACATGGTATTTGCTGGTTATTAGCTTTGAGACTCAGCAGGTCAGTTCAGGTTAGACCTGACCACCAGGAAACTGCTGCTGAGGACAAAAAACGGCTTCCGACTTCCCAGTAAATATTAAAAGATATTATAAATAAACTGTTCACACTGATCACGCTGCATACAGGTGAGTAACAGGGCTGTGCGATATGACAAATAATAAAAATAAAAATACGTTATTTAATCTCTCATTATCGATATATACAGTCATATCGATCAGCCCCAGTGAGAATCATGCTACAGTTGCTCTTTAGTGGACTTAATCTGAAACACTCGTGCAGCAGCAGCAGCTCCATTTAGAAACAACCAAACTATTCACCAGCGTCGGCGAACACAAGACACACCCCCATCACACGTCAGTCTACAGAAACACAACCGTGCAGACACGATGCCATGCACCAATCAGGAGACCCGTCGTCCTGTCACTCTGTTACCGCAACCAATCAGGACGGATGAAGTTCTTCACAACAAGACGAGACGCTTTGCTTAAACAGGAAAATATTTAATTATAGAATATTTATCACAGGAAACTGTCAAAAACCTGTTACTAGGTTTCACAGAAATATGCACAATATCGTGACCTGAGAATTATCTTTCTGTAATTTGTCAAAAATCAGTTATTCACATGATCTCACATGAACATTTTGTTTCATGTCACATGATTTCTGCTACTCTGAGAATACTTTTTTTTTATCTCGTTGGAAAGTTTACCTTTACCGTTAGCTACCATGCTAACCAGCTCATCATGATAACGTATGATGAGCTGCAATAAATAATTCAAGCTACTGTGACTACTTTAAAGATGACAGCTACTGAGTCTCAGATAAAGAACGTAGGGATGTAGAACGTTTAGAGTGGACTCATTGAACAGTGAACATTTTGAAACATGTTTCAACTTGTAGAGAACTTCGGTAAAAAGGTGACAGATTAGACAGGGTTGGGTATCGAGAACCAGTTCCGTGTAGGAACTGCTGGGTGCTGGGTATCGTTCAAAGATTTTCAATATTGATACCTGAACGAATTCGTTGTTGTTTGTATAAAGTAACTCAATTATCACATTATCATCATTAATATTGTTATTTTAATAATTGTTCCTTTGAAAAATTCTACTGCTTGTCAAAAAGCAAGACATATTTCCAATGTAACATAGGCCTATATTGTGTTTTTGTTGTTTTTATTCCTCTGTTTAGTTTTTGTGATGTCATTTCATTGTTTATTCATTACATATGTTTTGGCAGTAGGGTGTTGAGACGATGACGGTCTTGTTGCAGTCAAAGACGGAGCAACTTTCTGCTCTTAAGTTTATTCCACGCACAGTCAAGGGCTTCACCGGGTTTGTCATGTCGCCGTTCTTGGCAGCAATTATCTTTTGTAGCAAATATTGCATCGCGCTGTTGCATTGGTGCTGAACCGGCGTGAACTAGTGTTTACATCCCCACAGCCAATTACAATCACTTTTAGATCTGGGCACATCAAGTTTGCTGCATGCTTATTGGCTCCAAAGTTTGGCTTAGCTTCACTAACAAACTGCACCAGCTGCAGTCAGGAGGTTTGGTGCGAGGGAGGAAGCAGCTCCAACGTGACGAAGCGTTTCCTTCAACACGGCGTGAATCTGGAGGAACGCTTCACCGTGTTCAATGTGTCGCGCTCTCCCAGATCTAGCTAACGCCAACAGTAGCAACGCATCAGGTACTAAAGACAGGTGAGCCTACGTTCAGCTTTTATACTGAAGGGAAACCAATGATGGCAACAGATGAGACGAGTCCCAGAGACGCCGCTCTAGGACAGAGACTCCTTTCACTTTAGAGACATGAAGGGCAAGAGGAGCGAGGAGGAAGAGGAGGAAGGTCACCGAGCGCTAAGAAGACCTGTGGTGAAGGGACCAGAACCGAGATTCAAGAAGTAGAATCTGAATCATTAAAATTGAAACAATACCCAACCCTAACATATCTTCATTCATCCAGAGGCAAACTGTTGTGCAGCAGATGCAGTACGAAGTAGGAAAGAGTGCAAATATAAAGAGTGTGAATTGTTAAGTACGTCTGAAATGCTTTCTGTCATCTTCAGTAGAACCTGATAGTTCAGAGGTCACGATATGTCAGAAATCTGTCAAATGTTTCTCTTTCTGCTCCTGGATAACATCTGTGATTCACTGGAAAGATTAATTCACTTGGAGAATCTCATCCTGGGAACTGAAGAATAAGACCTTCCTACCAATTTGCAGAAGTGTGACTTTCAGAATGATGAGAGCGCCGTGGTCTCACCGTTGCGTTCCAGTAAGTGTGGCTCGGAGTGTTTCTTGCCTATGTCAGCGAAGGATCGAACCAGCGGGATTCGGTTGCTCAGCTTCTTCTCGCTCTGATGGTGGTGACGCCGCAACATGGCCTCCCTCACTTTCTCCCGAACACCCTCCTCCAGCTGGCCCGACGCCACCATGCTGTCAATCACCATGTCTGCATGTGAGGAAGGACAACATGAGGTTAGCAGACATGTTACGTGTACTGAGACGGCTTGTCATAGTTACGTGGTTCAAGTATAATCTCCAGGAGCAGACAAACATGACGTGTGGAGTTCCCCAAGGATCAATACTTGGTCCTCTTTGACTTATCATACATCATTATTAAGCAGATGACTAAATGTGTCTCACTCCGTGAGTAAAAGCAGCTCTACCGCCCTGACATGTGATTTAATATCTAGTTTAAGATCATGAAGTCGTCTGACAAAAACAACATAAGACAAGTTTAACGGGACTGACTATCCTGATATTTAAAAATGAGGAGACAGGACATTTCAACACAGCTCACAGTTTTCACTCTGGAGTTCCCCAAGGCTCAGTCCTTGGGTTTCTTTAATTTAAAATTGTTCCATTCAGCCAAACTTTGAAAAACAATAAAAACCAATGACGATAAATTTGCATAAATGACTGTAAAATTTGCCACTTTCATCTAGGAATGTATTACTTGGTTTGTTAACCCCCACCCTGGCTCTGTGTTTTTTGGTCACTTAAAATAGTCAATCTAAAAAGCCTATGTGAAAACACTTGATAATTCAATTATCAATCTCAGAAACTGGCCGTTATTTAATTAAGATCTCCTCCCTAAAATAACCGAGGCTGCAGGGCTCGCTGTCTGAACGTCATGCTGTAGTGTTAAGAATAATGTAGTTTTAGCTGCAGGATGAAACCTAAACATATTTTATCAAGTGGTGTGTATTAATAGCCTACTTTTCATCATAAACACTGAGTACAGATGGGGTGTGTAGTAGGGTTTTAGTACTCAAGACCGGTCTTAAGACCACTTTTTGATGGTCTTTGTCTCGTCTCGGATTCAACCGCATTTGCACACGGTCTTGTCTCGGTCTTGGACATTGAGGACTCACTTTAAGGGTACTGGTTTGGTACTGGCATCGTCAAACACCAGTCGGTATCCACCTTTCGTAGTACGGGTTAATCAGGAAGTTACACCCAACGTCAAAGTTACACCTGAAGTTACCTGGATAAGCCAGTTACCTCGCTTCATAGTACAGGCCACGTATGTATTTGTGAATGAAATATTTTTCATTTAAGATAAAGACGTTTCAAAATATATAGTCTTTTACATCAATCTTATCATAAAAGAATATCATGTCTCTGAACCAGTCAATGTCTTAAAGAAATATTCCAAATCTGACCAAAATAATTTGCTACATATACAATCATGAAATAAAATGACAAATGATTCCAGTTTCGTTATTGCAAAACACTTTTCCTCAACATCATTCCTGAATCTTAATACAACTGTTTGTTTGATAAAGTGATCGTGCAAGTCAGAAATCATGGTGTATTCATGAAGGGATGGTCCAGTCAGTGGTAGTGACACAGCTTACGAACGTAGCTGAGGTTCTGTAGCTTCAGCGAAAAGGATGGACAGCTCTTCAGAAGATTAACTCAACATCAGCACAGTGACGGCCGCGTCTGTTGACGTACTGACCTGCGATGTCCTCGATGGTGCTGGCCCTCATGTCGAGCATCACGGTGCCGTTCAGGATGCAGGAACGCAGCTCAAACAGACTGTGAAGCGACAGCGTGGCCACATACGGTTTACTCCAGCGCTCACCGCCGTCTTCTACGTCCTCCTCAAACTTCAGCCACCTGAAAACAAACACAGACTCAGCTTCAAATACAGGAGCATAAAACATCTTTACTACCTGCCCAAATGTAAACGCTCACATCAGGCCTTAAATAAAATCAGACATTTCTAGCCTCTAAAAGATTCTTCAGCCTGATTAGTCTTCCACTGATTTATGTTGCACTGCTAATTTTGGCAGCATTTCTTGTGTCAGACTTTCAGATCATATTTAAACACTCCATAAACTTTCATAGTTATGCAGATGATACTCAGTTATATCCATCGATCAAGCCAGATGAAACTAATCAGTTAGCTAAACTTCAAATGTGCCTTCAGGATGTTAAAACCTGGATGACCTGTAATTTTCTAATGTTAAACTCAAATAAAACTTGTTCTGGGGCATAAGCACCTCCGTGACGCATTATCTAAAGATATAGTTTCCCTGGATGGCATCGCCCTGGCCTCCAGCACCACTGTGAGGAATCTTGGAGTTATCTTTGATCAGGACATGTCGTTTAAGTCTCACATTAAGCAAATTTCAAGGCAAATTTCAGGAACATCCTGTCTAAAAATGATGCAGAAACACTAGTCCATGCATTTGTTACTTCTAGGCTGGATTACTGCAATTCCTTATTATCAGGCTGCTCGAAAAAGTCCGTTAAGACTCTTCAGCTGATCCAGAATGCTGCAGCACGTGTTCTGACAGGAACCAGGAAAAGAGATCACATTTCTCCTGTTTTAGCTTCTCTGCATTGGCTTAATAGAATTTAAAATCATTCTTCTTACCTACAAAGCTCTTAATGGTCAGGCACTATCTTATCTTAAAGAGCTCATAGGCTGTGTTCAAAATGGGCTAAACAGCTGTCTCAGAAGGTGTCCAACAGGACAGCGAGGCATCGAATGCTGTTCGAAATGGCTTGAACGATCTCTTCCTGTCACATAAGATGCCTTCAAACGATTTTTGAAAATCTAGCAAGAACTAAACACTGAACTATAATATCAGCCCGTGACTGTAACCAACCAAGTTTGTTCAGTCTGAGGCGTCCGTTAGCCGTTTGGCTTTTCAATAGCTAGTTAGCTTATGCTAAGGCTAGCGTCTCTTCTGACAGCCAGAAGAGACACAAGACAGCGTGCTGACGTCACACGTTGTCATAGGTGCTGCCCTAGAAGGCTGTTCGAAACTAATGTAAACAGAGCTGCCTTCACCTGCAAGTGATGCCTTCTGAGGCAGCTGTCTGTTACGGTAGAGAGGCAGCGAGGCAGCTGCTTTCCATTAAGAACACAGACATAGTACCTTACTACCCCACCAGAGCACTGCGCTCCCAGAATGCAGGGTTACTTGTGGTTCCTAGAGTCTCCAAAAGTAGACTAGGAGCCAGAGCGTTCAGCTATCAAGCTGCTCTCCTGTGGAACCAGGTTCCATCTCCACATTTAAGAGTAGGCTTAAGACTTTCCTCTTTGATAAAGCTTATAGTTAGGGCTGGCTCAGGTGAGTCCTGAACCATCCCTTAGTTATGCTGCTATAGGCCTAGACTGCCGGGGGATTTCCCATGATGCACTGAGCTCCTCTCTCCTCTACTTTCTCTCCCTCTGTATGCAACCTCATCCCATTATTGCATGTTACTAACACAACTTCTTCCCTTTCTGGTAGTCTTGTGCTTTCTCGTCCCTCTCCTCTCTCCTCCTATCACTTCCTGCAGGTGTTTCTGGCTCTGGAGCTGTGGAGTCTGGATCTGTGGTTGCGGGTCACCTGCTGCCCCTGTGTTCCTGCTCGACACCCTCTGCTGCAACGACTATTGTTATTATAGTCATTAACATTACAATTATTATCATTGACACTACTATAAATATCTGTACCATTCCCTCCCCTCTCTCTCTCCCTTCCATCCCTCTCTTTTTCTCTCTGTTCCTCTCTCAAAACAAAAAACAAATTATAACTCCTGAATAAATAAAGGTTCATCCTCTACAATGAACCAAGGATCTCCAATGAAAGCAAAGTGAAGCTGTGTGTTATTCTAAATAAGGTTATTTCAAACAGAGGAAACTCTTTAAGGATTATCTTGGATGAAACAGAGGTAGTGGAGCGTTTTGCTAAACAAAACACTGAAAGAAAAACAATGGAGTTTGGAGGATTATACAATCAGATGAAGGCTGAAGGATCATCCTGAATAATCTAAATGTAAAAGTGTGAGCGTGTCCTCGCCTGGCAGTCTCCTTCCACTCCGTCAAGTCTCCGTCTCTGAAGGAGATCTCGTCCAGCTCGGTGAAAAGGTCGTGGGGGATGTGCTCCTCGTCGCCGTCTTCTGTCCCGAGGATGAACTGGACTCTCTGGGACGGCGTGTCTGCAGGTCAACCGACAGCTAATTAGATAATCAATTTCTGACAATCAGTGTGTGATTAAATGCTGTCCGAGTCTGGACCGACCGTATGTGGGTGACTCTCGTCCGTCCTCCCGGTCCGAGCGGCCCCGTCGTTTCCGGTGATGTCTGTGTCCTCTGTGACGGTGGCGCCTTCGACTCTCTCGGCCCATGGGAACACGGACGCCGACGTACACCGCTCTGTGACCTGACGGAGGGAACACAGTCACTAAACAGCCCAGTCGGGTCATCATGATCATTTATCCTAAGTGGGAACAACAGCTGAAGTTCATCACTCCCAAACAAAGAAAAATGAGGGGCTTCTAAATACATCTATGTAGAGATCTTCTACCGGTACAAATGATATAAATACAACAGCACATTTTTAACAAGCATTAACTTCAGATTAGATAAGAAAGATTTTCCCCACCTACTGTGTTCACGCTGCAGCTGTAAAACCAAACTGACAGGCTTGTCAAGTTCTGCAGGTTTCCCCAAAAGGCTGCAGCTTTTAGGATTACCTGTATTTTGATTTTACATAATATAGGGTTGGTTTCCAGAACCGGTTCAAAGTTGCAACCGTTAGCAAATTTCCAAGAAACGTGCGTTTGGATTCTGCTTATTGGTTCCTAACTTTCTGCATATTTCAGTGTTTATCAGCCAGGAGCTGCTACGCCGACCTAACGTCACCTCATTTGTTACGTCAACAAAGCATGAAGAATTAAGTAATTAACTTATTAGCAATAAATGACTCAAGCTACTGTGACTACTTTAAAGATAACAGCAAATTAAAGAACGTAGGGATGTAGAACGTCTGGAGTGGGCTCACTGAACACATTTTGAAACATGTTTTAACTTGTAGAAAGCTTATAGAGATTAGACAGGGTTAGGTATCGAGAACCGGTTCCAAGTAGGAATCTGGTACTAAATTTCCAAGAACCGTGGATTCGTTAAGACCCGTGCGTTTGGATTCTGCTCCTCGGTTCCTAACTTCCCGCATATCTCAGCTCCTGACTGAACTGAAGCAGCACCGGACCTTCTGTTGTTCATGTCCGCTGAGAGCCAAACACTAAAGGAAGACAGGAGAACGAGGGAGAGAGGCGTTCTGTCCACAGCTGGAAGCAGCTGCTGCCATGATTGTGTCACAGTCTAAGATGCAAAGAACATTGTTGTCTATTGTAAACTCTGTGCGAGCAGCAAAAAGCTTTCAGCTGCGAACATTTCTACATCTGACTTATTGAAGCGTCTGCTGAAGCAGCACAGCGACGTGAAACTTACAGAAAGAAACTTCTGCAGCTGCCGTCACTGATGCTGGACTCGTCAGGAGAGAGCGGCGTTAACGTAATGTTTTGTAACTGCTGAATACTGCTCTTATAAACAGGCTACATGTGCAGAGAAACAGCTGTTTAAAAGTCGGGATCCACTTGCTTTATTTTTTTTATTTCAGCCGGTGGTGTTAAGAAACATCAGGCCCAGGCTATATGCTTTGTAAGAACCACACTCCTTGCTGCTGTCATGGATATGATGTTAAAAAGTCAGACTGCTTTGTTTGGGGGGTGAAGGGGGTTGGTAGGGTTGCTTTCCCATAATTTGGATAATTATCAATGCAAATTTTTACTAGGCGTATTTAAAATAAGTTTTGATTGAGGAGCTGTATTGAGAAGCATATATTTATGCATCACTCCTGTCTGTCTCTCTCTCTCTCTCTCACTCACTCTCAAACACCGCTGCACAAACCTGTCCAACGTTAGAATAATAGAATAGAAGTGTTTCCTTCAACACGGCGTGAATCTGAAGGAACGCTTCACCGTGTTCAACGTGTCGCGCTCTCCCAGATCCAGCTAACGCCAACAGTAGCAACGTCTCAGGTACTAAACACAGGTGAGCCGACGTTCAGCTTTTATACTGCAGGGAAACCAACGATGGCAACAGATGAGACGAGTCCCAGAGACGCCGCTCTAGGACAGAGACTCCTTTCACTTTAGAGACATGAAGGGGAAGAGGAGCGAGGAGGAAGGTCACTGACAAGATCTGTGGTGCAGGAACCAGAACCAGAGTCCATAAGAGCGATCTTTGGTGACTATTTTGATGTTACTGTTTGCCCTTACTCTCCGGCTGACTTGTCCTCACATGTATAAACACAGACCGAGTGATGTTTGCTACTCTGTGATTGACTGTAAACACAGACAGGAGATACTTTGCTGCAGAGTGTGTTTGGGTGTCAACATTAGACTCACTCTCCAGCTCCTCTTTCTCAAAGTTGGTGTAGAGGGTGGAGCTGGTCTTCCCCTGGTCCAAGACCGCCTCCTCATCGTTCCCCTGCAGAACACACACGGGAAAAATCAAAGCAAAGGGAACAAATTAGTCCATAAAGTTGCACTAAGCCTTTAGACACACACACACAGAGTCCCGACCAGCTGACAGATGAAGCGACACAAAGCAGACACACGTTATTTCCATTATTCCTGACAGTCTAATCTCCAGGTTCTCTCTGCAGGAACGAGTTGTTTCACATGGAAGCTTTGTTAATAAATGAAACAGACACATACTTTGGGTTCTGCAGATTTCAGAGCGTGGCTGGTGTTTAAGGGAGAGCAGGGTTCAGTTTATCATTCAGCTGCTTTATTCTCAACAGTAGAACTAGATATATTTAACACTGGCCAGTAATGCTGTTTGTTAGATTAGATTCTTTCTTTTTCTCCCCACAAGCTTCCCAAAACTAAAGGGAGTGTGTTGACATAAGAATATAAATAACCAAGGAACAGACACATAATGGACTTAACGACCGCTTCAGCACTTTCACCTCTACTGTTTACCACGCCGGTAAGTCTGAGTCATACTCGTTTCTGTAAAATGAACTGAAGGATTATATTTTGTATTAATCTGCAAATATCATCTCCGTTAATCAAATAATCTTTTGGTCAGTAAAATATAAAAAAGTGAAAATTAGCTCCTTCAAACTGCTCGTTTTATCGGTCACGCACGGACAAAAGTATTCACCCCCCTTGGGTTTTTTTCATGTTTTGTTGCCTTAAACGATGGTTTGAGGATTTAATTTACACACCGAGCCCACAACTTTGAAGATGTTTGGGGTTTTTTTAAATTGTGAAGCAAACAACAAATAGGACAAAATAACAGAAGAAGTCAATGTGCATAACTATTCACCCCCCTAAAGTCAATACTTTGTAGGCGCTCACAGCTCCAGGTTGCTTTGGATAAGTCTCTATGAGCTCGCTACATCCTACCACTGGGATCCTCCTTACAAAACTGCTCCAGCTCTTTCATGTTGGAAGGTTTGCGCTTGTGAACAGCGATCTTTCAGTCGGACAACAGACTTTCTATTGGATTGAGGTCTGGGCTTTGACTAGGCCCTTCCAACACATTTACATGTTTCCCCTTAAACCACTCAAGTGTTGCTTCAGCAGTGCGTTTGGGGTCATTGTCCTGCTGGAAGGTGAACCTCCGTCCTAGCAGATTTAGCACCTCAACTCTGACCAGTTTCACAGTCCTGGCTGCTGAAAAACATCCCCACAGCACGATGCTGCTTTGGGTGATGTGATTGCACCAGATGTAGCGTTTTCGTTTTGAAAGTTCAATTTTAGTCTCATCAGATCAGAGCACCTTCCTCCGTACATTTTGGGAGTAATGGCTTTCTTCTGGCCACTCTGCCGTAAAGCCCAACTCTATGGAGCGTACGGCTCGTCGTCGTCCTATGTACAGATACTCCAGTCTCTGCTGTGGACCTCTGCAGCTCCTCCAGGGTTACCTTAGTCTCTGTGCCGCCTCTCTGATTAATATCCTCCTTGCCCGGTCCGTGAGGTTTGGTGGGCGGCCGTCTCTTGGCAGGTTTTACTGTTGTGCCATGTTCTTTCCATTTGGTTATGACAGATCTGACGGTGCTCCTGGGGATCATCAAAGATTTGGATAATTTTTTATAACCTAACTCTGACTTGTACTTCTCTACAACACTGTCCCTTACTTGTTTAGAGACATCATGGGAGTGTTTGGTTAGGGGTGCCTCTTGCCTCTTATGTATATATTTTTCCTCATTTCACTTCTGATCCATCACATAAAATTCAGATTCACTAAAGTGTTCCACAGAACTGAGGGCTTTGTTTTCCCTTTGACGTGAACAGGAGCGTCGAGCTCACGGCTGTGGGCGGAGGTCAGGTGTGTGAGAAAAATAAATATTTGAATCCCTAAATTGAAAATCGAATGTGTACCTGATGATCAAATATTCGGGTCCAGCCCTGGAGGAAGTAAGAGTTAACAAATTGTGCAATCAGTACAAGGAGACTGCAAGGAGACAGAAGAAGAAGAGCACAGGACGTTAGAGGGGTTATCAAATGAAGTGTTCTCTGCAGAGTTTTCAGGAGCTTCTTGAAGTCAGAGAGGGACGACCTGACCAAGATATTTAGCTTATTATAACGTAAGACAGAACAGGAGCAAATCCTCACAGGAAGCGGAAACTCCGGAGTGTTTTGCTAGATGATAAATGACGGCTAAACAATTACAGGTTCTGTGCGAAACACCTGGGACAATGTTAGAAATACTTCACGGTTGTCCCTGAGATAGTCTGAAAATCAGAACGTCAGAATCAAATCAACCACAACACACAGAAGCAGAGACTGGTTTTAGTTTCTGTCAGTGCCTCCTTCTGGTTTTTGAGGTTTCATGTGGTTTCTGTTTTATGATGCAGAACTTGACTATCTCGCCTTCCCGCCCTCCTCCTCTTTTCAGACTCCCATAAAAACTACTTTACACCTCAGCTGTGTGAGGAAAAGGTGACGTGACTACAGACACATTCAGAGTTTATTTGTAATAAAAACAACATTCGTTTAAAACTGGTCCTAACTTGTGCAGCTCTGGAGGCTCAGGACCAAACGGGATGCTTCCTGTCAGCGCTCTAATGAACACAGACTCGGCGGTTCGCTCTGCAGCTGCTCCCGATACCACTTTAACTTCATAAAACCGCGCAGCTGCTGCACTGACACACTCTGCCCGTCTGGCTCCGCCCACAGCCGGGGGGGAACGCCGTGACTCACCGCGCAGTCCCCGCTGATGTCAACAGGAAGTGCTGCCACAGATCAGCAGCTGGATGGACTCAGGAGACACAGCTGATCAAACAAACATGACGGAGTGAAGACGATCTGAGAGCGTTTCCTGCAGGTCACACACCCCTTTGCTCCTCTATCCGTGTGGGGACATAAAGCAGTCCCTAACCTTTGGCCCTCAGCCATCACAGCTCCACTCCTAACCGTAACTTAATGTTTGTCCTGCAGCGACATGATACCCTGTCAGTGTGCATTCAGGTTAAAGTCCCCCCGGGATATAAAAACATAAAACACACGCTGCTGCGATGTTGGCGTGTCAGACAGGAAGCGCAGCTCCACGCTGGTTGGTTGTGAGACTCTGAGCTTGCAGCCTGCTGTCCGTTTAAACAGAAGCATGCTGAAAGAACTGAAAGCTGGAGTCACAAACAGCTGGTTGTGATTCACGACTGAAATTAGACTGAAAGTCTTTACGCCCTCACTTTGGACAGCTTCTGTCCAAAGTGAGGGCGTAAAGTCGACACTAGAGGCTGAACAACCGCTTCAATCAACCGCTAAAGTTGGTTTCACCACAATAACTAGGGATGCACAGAAATGAAAAGTATTGGCCGAAGCTCAAACCGAATATAATGAAACACTTTGCCGAACATGAACGAGTACTTTCACATTTTCCTTCCATTTATTTTGCTTTTTTTTCCCCCACTGCATAAATTAAATAGTCAAAATGAGCTTTTTCCTCAGTGTTTCCCACAGGATGTGGAGAGACTATGGTGGGGGGTGTCCATTTACTTTTAATGGACACATGTATTCTGTTTTATACTTTCTGTGAATATAATCCAGTTAATCTTATTTCCATCCTGTACAGACGCCTTATTTTGAAAACCGGACGTTGTCACATGTGTTTCCTCCTCGCGCTAAATCCATCCAGTCCGACCCGGTTTGATAAATAATGTTGTAACATGAAACTTCACAGCCTCTCTTCATACTAAAGAGCCAAACTGACAGGATAAAGTCTCTAACCTGCCTGTCAGCTCGCTCTGGGCCGCTTCACTTACCGTAAAGGCCGGAATATGTGCGCACTCCAAATGTAGGGGCGGCTATCTTAATCTCCTTCTCACAGACGAGTGACCGAAACACTGAAACAGGTTCTTTTCTAAGAAGTCAGCCACAGATGGAGCGGATGTGCTGGAGACAGCAGAACACTTTAAAATGCTTCCACACTGCCGACATGTCAGAGGATCCGTTCAGTAAAATTTATTCGGCCTTTTGACTCATTAAGCCGAACGCTGAAAGAGCGTTTTTTTTGCCATTTTCATTAATTGATTAATTTTGGTGGCCGAACATTCGGTGCATCTTTAGCAATTACCTGGGGCAGAACATGACTAGTGAGGACGTAAAGTCAAATAGAAGGTTATTTGTCCCCTGATGGGCATCAGAAAGAACACACATACCAGAATATAGACACAAATACCACACGAATATTAAAAGAAGTAGTAAAAACAGAAGTAAAAACACAGAACACAGTACTCAAAGGCCGAAGTACTCTCTGTTTCAGTACCACTAAGATGGACAGATAACATTTAGCAGCGTGGTTGGGAGGTCTAACCCATATTCCCTTTTTTCCTTCTTACTGTTGGTTTTGGCTTGTGTGTCCTTGAAGCAGGGTCTGAAACTAATTCATAACTAAATCGATTATTAGCTTTCTGGCCGGCACGAGCCGCTCGGCATCGTAGCACATGGTAGTAAAGCTTGATCCATGTTGAAATAACTCAATAAATGGAGGTCTCTGCTGGGTTACTGTGTTGCAAAATGACATGCAGGGTGATTGATCAATAATTACTCCATTAATCGATTAGTTGTCAACTATTAATTAACTGCCATTTAAAAAAATGATTGATCGTGTTGAGTCATAAAGAAACAAAGAAGTTAAATTCTCTGATTCCAGCTTCTTAAATGTGAATATTTTCCGGTTTCTTTCCTCTTCTAAACTGAATATCTTTGGTTTATGAAAAAAAACACAAGACATTTGAGGACGTCACCTTGGGCTTTGTGAAACACTGATCCACATTTTCACAGTTTTCTGGCATTTTAACGACCAAACAACTGATCGATTAATCCAGGAAATAATCGACAGATTAAGGGGACTTTCACCTCGTTTGGTCCGAACCAAAATTGCACCGTGGTTCGCTTCGTTTCTGGTGTGAAAGCATTTTTTATGGATGGTTCAGACTTTCAAACTATTTAGAGGAAGTTTGCAGTCTAAACTGGAAACAAACAAATGCACGGAGAAATGCATTGAAACTGTTTCAGACCCTCCCCTCCAGCAGCAGACCAAAACCTCACACCACAAGAACACTTCCTTCCCGTCCTTACCGTGTGAATTTTGCACATTCCTCATCAATTTCCAGTATATTTTTTGCATTTTTTGTATGCAACATGTATACAAATTTGATCACTTAACTTTTTCTGTATATGCATTTACATATTTAGCTTTATGTAAATTAAAAGGAGCGTATGTGAACATGGGATTTATTATTTTGTTTTCTGTGGTATCAAATTTGGTATCAAGAATCGTGGGATTTCACTGGTATTGGTATCGATTACAACATCTCTGGTATCGTTACATCACTAATCCCAAGTCCCCGAAACCGCCACTCTACAGCTTTAGTATAAACGCTGAGTGTGTGGTCCTGCCAACCGGACTGAACCGTCTGCTGTGTGCGTTCTTCAGATTAGACAGGTTCATTCTGTCGTTATATCTGCGGGATCTCACCTTTTTTTCCTGGTGTGAAGCAGACTTTAGACACAGCTGACACAGCAGGAGGCGTCACAGCTACAGATATCAGTGCCAATCCCCGAACAATGCTTTCCAACATAAAGCTGAATGTTCTCTGAACACAAGCAGCAGCACAGGACTTTAAATAAAATGGAGCACACTGCAGGTCAAGTACTTTTTACAGCTTATATTTAAGTAGGAATATTAATCCTTGCAACATAGTATTTTACACTGTTGTACTGGTACTTTTACTTTAGTAAAGGATGTGAATCTATTGACCGCACCGCCCGGCGCAAATGCCTGAAGCGTCCAAAAACGCTGCGAGTGTTGGATCCACCCGGTTCGTCGGGGTCACACATACAGTAGATTTCACGCTGTGGTGGACACGGGGCTCAGAGGATTCCTCCCTTCCTGTCATCACAGCACTCACACCAACTACAACGCCTCGCTGACACAGGAAGCGGAGAAATCTGCAGTGATCGTGGTGTGAGCGGTGAAGAGTTCAGCTCTTGAATATTTCAGCAGGGTTAAAATGTCGTCCTGAACGATGAGTTAAATTACAGACAGTGAAGGTCTGTAGAGTCCCGGCCCCGTCGGGCTCCGGTCAATCAATTCATCAGTTGCTTGACACAAATTGATAAACCATCTACGTCATATCTCTGGATGAAACCTCCTGACTTGCAGAAACCCACAGCAGCGGAAACTGATCTGACGAACGCATAAGTGACTTTTAGGTGTGATTTTCTTTCTGTTTGTAGTAAAAAAAACAGTTTACACATATTGCAACACAGTAGTATTTGTAAATAATGTGTTACATATAATATGTGTGTGTAAAGTATGCAGTCTGTTTTCCTGTTCACAACACGGGCTTGATTGTGAACATTAATGTACTTTTTAATTTAAATCTAAATGCATTACAGAAGCTTTCTGAAGCGTCTGTGGAAAGAAATGAAAAAGTACTTCAGTTCTGTATGCAAATCCAATTTCGAGTTCTACCCACTTTGTTACTTAATCATTCTACTGCACTGCATTTCAGAGGGAAATACTGTACTTTATACTTCACCACACAGATTTTTCTGCTATAGATATAGAAAACTTGTTTTTCCACTTGATGCTAACAATAACTTCAAATCATCATCTTGTGTGCATAAGAAAACAAAAAGAATATCATGTTTAGTAATTTAACGCTCAGAAAAGAGCCATTTTGCATATTGAGTATTTTTACATTTGATACTTTTACTCATAAGAGAGTACTGTTACGCTGTGGTTTCTAACTTTTACTTATGTAAAAGGGGGCTGAGTACTTTCTACAAGGAAAAGACCAGAAGACTTTTAAAAAGATACTAAAAATAAAATCTGGCCCGGAGGAATCTGGCTCAAAGATCAGCTTTCAGATTTACAGTTTCCACGAGCAGAAAAACGAAACGTCTGCAGCGATGCGCTCGGGTCTGCTCGCAGTTTCTTCACTTCCGGACCCTCGACCCCGTTCCCAGGTCTCATGACACCAGCTGTTACAGCTGTCAGACTTTAATCACCTTCTTTTTATACGGCAGAAAAATGGAGGGAGGTTAAAATAAACCGTGGAAAGTGATTTCTATTTCAAGCGAAGAGCACTGATTTTCTTCTAACAATAAGAGAATATCAGCTGTCCGGCTGACTTCTGCAGCTGTGAGATCATGTGTATTTATGTTTATCTTTACACCGATGTGCAATAATCACAAATACTTTATTGATCTGCAAGAGGAAACCGTTGTATTACAGTTTCTCACGTTGGTAATCAAGGCAGAAATAAAAAGAATTAGTTGGCAAGTAGAAAATACAAAAGAAAATCTAATATATAAATAGGAGTGTGGAAATATGTGCAGTATGTATTGCAGTACGTGTTGCAGTACTGGGACAGAGCATTGCACATTAGTCGAGTAAATGGCGGCCAGGGTTACTAATGAATGTTTGATCTGAGGTCCTAAGATCTGTTATGTATGAATGTGTTAATCAATATTACTGTAAGTCTATAAATACGGACCTGCATTTGGAAATTTAAGAAAATATTCAAATATGACTTTACAGGAAACTCTTTAAAATGTGTTTACTATTGCATTTGTGTGCATATTTTAAAACATATTATCCCAGTTTCTGCATGCTGTAATGAACCAATTTATTTAATTTCATGTGTGCTGGGGTCCGACGCCTCAGGCTGGACAGATCGTAAAGCTCCGTCTTCTTCTGTGGCAGTAAACTGGTCTTTGGGCTCTGGGAAACATTTATGATGTTCATAACAATAAATCCATCAGGAAGTAACTAACAGATTAATCATTCCTGCATTGATCAACGTTCATAACGTTTAGAGGCAGGATGTGTTTGAGGGTTTGCCTTGGCACACGTGGGCTCACTTCTGCTCCGTCACTGAGCTCTTTTCCTGTTTTAACTCATTTCCTCAAAATGTTTCTCGAGTCCCATGGAGTATGACCTGTCAATCACGTCCTGTTAAAATCCTCCCTTGTGCCCTAATTATTACAACAGAAACAATCTGCGGCTTGTTTCTAATTATATCTGTGTGAAGTGAAGCCATATGAGGCCACAACCACAAACTTTAAGGAGTCTGCTTTCAATCGGACGACGTGAGAGAGCCAAAAACAGCAGATACATACCAGGGACATCGCTCTGGCCACCCTCTGACTGACTATGTCTCCCCAGAAGTCTCCCATCGCCGCTCTCTCCAAAACACAGCCGACTCCGTCAAATTAACTCTCCACTAAGCGCTCAGGAAACACAGAACAAGTTCAAAGCAAGAGGAAAATGTCTGGCAGTAAACTCCCCTCAGATAAATCCAGCAGCAGCAGCAGCGTGGATCTGCGAGCCCTCCAGGTTCAGGACGTAAATACAGACGCCGCGCAGCCTGCAGAGCCTCGGCTATCATTCATGTATTTATAGCAGAGCGTGTTGCTTCACTGAGCGCCTGTCAGAGCAGCCAGCGAGCCTGCAGTCTGCAAACACAGCAAGAACCAAAAAAACAAAAAGAAAGAGGGGGCGGGTCTGATGAACGAGTCATCCTGTTTCACAGCAGAGCAGCCCTGAAGTACTCCCACTGACACTTTACTTCCCCTCTGATACTACAGATACTGCAGTACTTCCACAGGAGGCTCCACTCCGACAGGCACTGGTCTTACAGGGGCGGGACAAGGACCAGGTCAAGAGCAACATGTGCCATGTAAAAACACAAGCCAGGACCAACGTGTCACAAGTCCAGAGCAAGACAAGGCAAGTCAGTGATAGAAATAAAAGAAAAAGTTGTGGGAACTGTCGTGTTTCTCTGTTTGTGTAGCTTAAAAAATATGCAGTTGTGTGTTTAACATCAGTAAAAAATGGTTTTCCATTTGACAGCCAACAAAATACTTCAGAGATCCTCGTCCCTCCCTGTTCGTGCCTCACACTTAATGCCAGCTCAGGAATTCTAATAAAAAACAAACCACTACATGAGCACAGAGCACATGTGCATATAAACCATGGAAAAATTCATTCAAGGGTCTGAATTGACTGTTTGCAGTTCAAGGCGTCCTGTCAATAGTTTTAGAGAAGTATCTTTTATTATGGTGGCATGTGGGGGAAATTATATAATGACAAACCCATGATAGGAGGTTTTATATTTCCTCTTCTGTTTCAGAAAACACAAACCCACCAACCCGCAAACAAATGACCAAATACAGACATAGACCTCGACTCCCAGAGGCTCATAACAGGAACAAGATATCTGGCTGACATACAGCAGGCTTTCCCAACTTCCCCTCTTATCAAAAGCACCAATATATCTCCGGAGACAAATGAACAGTTTGAGCCGACTTCCCTCCTGCAGCATCTCGGCGGTTCAACAAGACTGGAGGGCTGTTAATGGTTATGTTTAATACTACCTATGTTTGACAACATGTTTGGTGTCGCTGGCAGTGATGAACCTACAGAAAAATCATCAGCAGAATCTGCAGCCTCTGGGCTTCATCAAACTGCAGACAGCTGGTGAACATAGTGGAGCAGTTAGCAGCTAAAGAGCCAGATATTTCCCTCAGGAGCTGGTGGAGACCAAACACAGAGCTCACAGAGAGAAAACACTGGACTCACCTTCATCGGGCAACACAAACAATCATGTTGCTCCATTCATTGTTGATTAATCTGTCCATTATTCGATTAGGCGTTTGGGCTATAAAATGTCAGAAAACCGTGAAAAATGTCTCAGATATTCAGTTTACTGCCACAGAGGAGGAAAGAAACCAGGAAATATTCACATTTAAGAAGCTGGAATCAGAATTTAGATGATTTTTTCTTTAAAAAAAAATTACTCAAACCGATGAATCCATGATCAAAATAGCTGGCGATTCATTTAATAGTCGACAACTAATCGTTTAATCACTGCAGCTCTGTCTCACACAGTCGGTGATTTACCTGCAGTACACGGCGGTCAGCGTGTTACCAGATTGGAGGACCAGAGAGCCACTGAAGCTAAGCTACGTAGCTGTGCGGTGGACAGGGTCAGCTCCAAAACCTGTTGTAAGCACCTTATAGACCCCAATCAGTTCAAGTGTACGCAATATCCGCCAAGAAAACAGAACGGCAAATGTTTTCTGGGGCCAGCTATCCACTCCAAAAGAAGTCGTAAGTAAATATCTAAAACTGGTCGTCACAATAAAACCACTTCCTGTGAGGTGCTTTATTTTCAAAGTGTTCAACATCAACATCCGTCCAAACGCACACATCAGATCAAAGTCACAAATCATTTTTATTGGTCCTCACAGCAGGGGGAACAGACCTGAAGGGGACAATAAAGCCATTTGTCCGAGAAGGAGGGAAACAGGAAGCTGTGCATTCTGGGAAAAACAACAACAACCCTGGAGCTGCACAGGGGTTCAGTGATTGGTTCAGAGGCACGTCGGAAGGGAGGTTTGAACTCTGCTCAGGCTTCAAACATATACACCTATTTAACATATACAGGTATTTCAATAGCACATCCCATCACTTTGAAGCACTGTGTGTGCAAGGCATGATGGGATACATGTCAACGCAAACCGTGGAGACAATTAAGTAAACTGGTCATTATGAAAAGATGCGAGAACCAATCATGTTCAAGTCTGAGATGATGCTTCCTGTTTCTGAGTCTGTGAGGAGACATTTAGACTTTTAGTCCCCAGTATGGGTCCAAATCCACAAACACTGGATCCTACATTTCCCACAATGCAACTGGACCTTCATTACAGGCTCTTTCTGTATGTCACACATACCGACTGAATGTCAGACGGCTCCAGATTACGACGTCAGGGTTAGTTATATTTGAATAATTTGTTTAGCTCTTCTCTTTGCAGCTGGTACAACTTATTTTTTCCAGTTTATCACTCGTACTAATTTTAGGCTCATGGGAAAAATCAGAACCGTGACTTCAAAAGCGAGTTCCATACCGAACAGAGATTTGTGTACCGTTACACCACTAATAATAATAATTACTACTTTCCATCTTGGGTTAATTAAAGTAGTCGAAGTTACTCAACTTTTGTGTTGTGGTATCTGTTTCAGAACTGTTGTTACAGCCCTAATAAATATCAATATTGATTGTTAATTGATAAATGATCAGGCTAAAACGATTCTAGAAACTCAAGTAACTCAATTACTACAAAGCATCGATCCAAATTCTCCGTTTTATCCATATAACTACATACAGCGCAATTACTGCAACACAACGCGCTGACGCTGTGGACAAGTGACGACGACGTGATTTGATGGCGCCGATTGCTAAGTGGAGGAAGAGAGAGAAAATAGTGAGAGGGGAAGAAGAGACAAAGACAGAAAGTGCCCAAAGTCTGGGATCATTTCAAGCTCAACAAAAACTCCAGCAGAATTATTTCTTATCCGATGGAGTAACTCGCAGAATACTCCATTACTGAAATAATCGGTAGCTGCAGCCCTATTTAAATGTTTCGCCTGCTGCGAGCGGTCACAGAAATACCACAAACACACAGCCGTAGATATTAATAATCAGATTTGCTCCCAGGACTCCCCAGAGAGCAGAGACATGTCTTCCAGCCGTTCCCATATTAGGAGAACCGGCAGAGAGGAAAAACCACATGAAACCACATCTGGACTGAAACAACCTTTATTAAACAGACTGGGAACAGTGGGAAAACTAACCCCAGCCAACACACACACAGCAGAGTGAGCTCAGGTCGCTGATAAATAATAGACTTACTGGCAGTGAGATTAGCCAATCAGAAAGCAGCAGCGGGCTCTTCGCACTCAGTTCAAACCGCAGACCAAATTCTCCCGACACCAGTGCTGCAGTCTTGTGCTGGTGACGTCATTTGAAGCCAGGATCGGTAGTTAACGGAGGTGAAGCCACGGCTTCAAGGTCCCGCCCACATACCAGACCGACCCAATCGCAAGCAGAGCTCAGCTGTCTTGTTTTTTTGGAATCAGACGTGACCATATTTGGACCATGCGGTGGAGTGATGTTAGCTGGGATGCTAATTTTCAATTCAATTTTATTTATATAGCGCCAAATCAAAACGACGCGCTTTTCATAGAAGAGCAGGTCTAGACCGTACTCTGTGATGTTATTTACAGAAACCCAACAGTTCCCACCAAGAGCAGCACTAGGAGACAGAGGCAAGGAAAAACTTCCTTTAAGAGGCAGAAACCTCGAGCAGAACCATGACTCAGGGTGGGCGACCATCTGCCTCCACCGGTTGGGGATTTTTTGGGAAAAACAGGCGTAAAACAAAACGTACTTCTTGCAGCCGATACGAGTCACCACTATCCCGACTGACAGGTCGTCAGGGCCAATCAGCTTGTAGCCCCGCCCTAAAGCCTCCCCTGCCTTCTGGTCTATGTTCCACTAAATGGGACCATAATTTACTAAATGAACATCATTGTTGAAGAAGACTTGAAACTAGCGACAGACCATGAACTCATCAGGAAACTGTTTCCTGAATAGAGCTGAATGTTTTGGGGGGGGGGGATCTAATTGCGATTTTTCTGCCAGAAGCTGCGTCAAGCAGCGCAGAGCGGACAAACCAGGCAGGAAAGTCAGACACAGAACGGCAGAGACAATCCAGTCGATTTTCAAAATAAAACACCCTGTCCCAATCGGGTATCAACAATAAACACAGTTAATATGGACAAAAAGAGAAACAATTTCAATACGTCGCTACTTAACCATGGTAGCAGCCCAAAAATCAAGGACAACTGAAAAAATAAGATAAAAATCTGAACAAGTCAGCAAAATCAGGCAGGCAAAACGCTCTTATTCTGAAATGCTCCATGTGGATATGGAACCTGCAGAGAGCGGAACGGGTAGTCGACAGTTGAAGCACACAAAATGACAAACTAACAAAACGTTAAAGACGTGCAGGCTAAACGCTCCTCTGCTGAAACACTTCAGTATGAGTTGACGCCGGACAAAACAGCCTGTGTCGGTTGAGCTGACGCCATTATCCTACGTTTTCCTCCAGTTTGGTTTGTTGTTGTAAAATGTACACGCCCTGTGCCCCCTCTGATTGGTGAGTAGGACCTTAACAGGAGGCGCATGGCGAGGCTTGTGATTGGTTAGCAAGTCTGTCACACTAGGACGACAACGGCATGAATCTGTAACTGCATGACTGTTTGAAACGGGTCAGACGTATAATTAACCTACATTTTAATTGCATCATTTTGCCATCCCCTCGATTTACTAATCGAGGGGATGGCAAAAACACTAATTGCGCGGGAGCGGGCGATTCCCACAGCAGCGCTGATAAGATGGAGTCAACATACGTTGAAAAGAAGATAAGTGAGTTTATGCGGCTGCTTTTGAGAACGTACTGCAAGGGCCTGACTCGAACCGGCGACCTCGGGAACGGGAGGCGGACATGCTGACGAGGAGGGTAAACCCCATGAGCACTAGCGTCAGTCGCCAGTCCGTTTAGGGCTGGGCAATAAAACAATAATG